TTGAGGACAAGACTTATAGCCTCACCTGCTCCTTTGGCACCGAGAGGAGCGTTGTATATGTTTAGTATATGAAGTGAAGGGCCTTGAGGGAGTGGGATTTTCTAAAGTAAACTATTAGCCTGTGTAGACTAGTAGTAAATACGTGACTACCGTAACTTTCAATTAAGAATAAGATGTATCCTGGAAGTGGAGCATCTCTTCCAAGTTTAAATTGTCTCTTGTAAAATAGTCTTTTGCTTTACACCCCTGTAGTCCAGGGTAAATTTACTCCCTTAGCGTCATTGCCCAAATCTGGGATGTCTAGGACATGGCTTTGGATACCAGTTATAAGTTAATGAATAAACATGTACGTACTGTATATGTACCAGTAGTAAGAACTACTGTACCTAGTATCTCAACAAATTTAATTATACAGCTTCATTCTTAGAGTTCAGAGATGGTCAAGAGATATTATACACCCATAACACCCACTCCCGGAAAGGTCTGAACCTTGTACATATACAACCACTCCTACCCTTAGCAGAACCCCCAAGATACTCATCCCATCAAGAGCTACACAAAAACCCGGTATACAATGTTTCAAATCCCAAGAATAGATGCAACTCCCAAACTCAACCGTAGCTTCCCCTCTCCATCAAATCCATCAGCGCTCTCCTATTCCTCCGTCTCCCCTCCGCCACCGTCTGCGTCCTCCCCCCATTGAAATCAGGGATCCTCAAATCCCAGCCCTTTCCATCAGGCATAAAGCCTGTCTCCGTGGAGGTGGGGGTTTGGACTTGCGCAGGTAACTGATTGGTAAACATCATTGAGGGTGGCCGTTCGTTTGACGGTAGTTCGTGCGCATTCCTCGGGATGACGGGCCATGACATGGCATGCTTATTTAGGTGGTTTCGTTGCACGAGGTGCAGTGGTCGGGCGGATGGATGGGGGGTCTTGAACAGATATGCTGTGTCGACTACTTCTGGAGGTGGATTCTGGGACGACTCGATGGCTCCATGATCTCCATTGATAGCCAGTCCTGAGTTATCCTGCTCTTCGATTCTCATGGTTTTTGCTAGGGGATTTTGAATTGGTGGGGACGTGGATACTGTTTTCCATGACAAAAACCCTGTCGGTAATTCCATTGCCCGGTTGAAAGAATTCGGTTTCATCAGAGGTCTTTTCGGCATCTCAAGAGAATTCCGCTTTTTCGACTGTGCTCGTAAAAGTTCGGACGCGCTATTTCTATCCTGCTGAGATCCAGACATAGATCCGCTCCTTATCGATTTCTGGGCAGGAGCCCGCAAACTTCCAGTAGTGTTATTTTGTTCAGGTTCTGGACTTGAAGGTTCACTATCTGGTGTGTATTCGAAAGGGTTGATAGGACCAAGGAGATTGGTTGCACTAAGACTTCGTTGGCGTAAGGAGGGATAGGAAGGTACGGGGAGGGTCGTCAAAGATGCAGAATGATTTCGCGTATGAGATTTGGAACTTGGGGTAGCAAGTTTTGCTATTTCAGGCGACTTTGATGGCGAGAAGACTGGTGGGTAACCTATAGATAGTATCTTGGGTTGTAGCGACGTTTTATTCAGTAAGTGGAAAGGCCGTGGTCGGGATGTCCCTTTCTCTTGTGTTTTACGTAAATCCGAGTTTGTATCTTGTGGTGTCCATGGCTAAATCATTGAGCTGGCTGGTTTTGATACCGGGGTAGGGATGATATTGGACGAATTTGACTTATGTGTATGGGGTTTTATCACTTCTGTAATCTCTGGGCTATCATCTCTATCTGATATCGTAGATAAAGATATGATTGTTCTCTCAGGAGAATACATCCCCGAAGATATCGAGGAAATGGAAATCGAGGGCCTGGTGATTTCAGAGCTCTCTGAAGATGCGGGGTTGGATGACTCTGAAGTCTCTGAGCCTCGTGAAGTTCGGCGATGATTTGAATCAGTCATTGTTCTTTGGCTGGCTTCTGTTTTTGACTTGACAGCCCTCGGTGGTAGTGGTGGAGCTACTTCCTTTGGCGACCCAAGCCCAGATCCAACCTTCTTTCGTGGTACTCGTAGAGGTCGATGATGAAGCGACGATTCGATAGAGGATGCTAGTACTGGCAATGGTGCCTCTTTTGTTGAATCTTGAAAGTCATTAGCAAAGTAGCCTCGAAACTGTCACGGTTCATACCACGAGATAATTCCTTCGAACCTTTTCCAGCTTCTCGAGCTATCTTTCTTCTCTGCCACAGACTTATTAAGTCATCTAATGACATCGAGACTTCGGGTTCCAAAGTTTCAGGTTCTTTCGTTGAAGAGATCTGTGCCGTCGTAGAATGTGTCTGATTAAGTGCAATGAGAAGAGCTAGCAATGAAGATAGGTCTTGCTGGCAAGTAGATAGTTTCAATTCCTGATTTACCAATTTTCCATGATCATTGAAAACCCATCGCGAACGATTTTCAAATGACATTCTTTTGGTCACCGCATTTTCTGATCTGGTACTGTCTTTCATCGTTTCAATCTCGTGAAGCGTCTTCTTCGCATTGAAAAATATGCCTTGAATATATGATAATCTTCCTGGTGTATTTATGAGTCTTCCTTTGACAGAATCAAGTACCAGAAGACGCTCTACTTCTGTCAGATCGCGGCGTACGCCTTCAATCGTTCCCTCAAACGCGCCACGATCCGACTCGCTTTCGTGCACACGACCAGCATGATTCGAAAGCTTAAATGCAGTATTAATGAAGTTAAAGGCGAAGTCTCCGACAACAGAGTGCCCCATCTTGGGCTCTGATAGGTCAAGATCAAGAAGAGATGTTAGAGATATCGATTCTGCGAAGGGAGCAAGTGGGGTTGCGTCACAGCACCACCAGGGCAACGTTGGTAGCGGTTACCAACAGTAGGCAATCAAGGAGCATCAGTTTGCATAGGCAGAGGACGATCGCTGCTTTAGAAAATCCACTTCGGCCGCTGTTGGGGGCCAAAGTCCAACTGCATGACATCTGCAACGTTTAGCACAATAACAATCCCCCAAAATGAGTGAAATAAGATACCGCCCCAGGTGATTTCTATCTTCGAATGGTAGAGGAAAAAGGATCCGAGGCTTTGAACTGCAAATAAGAGTTTTAATCCACATCTAAATCCTCAATCCAGCCTCCTCATAATAGACACTTTCTAATCTCACCAAGTCTTGTCACCAAGATTGGCAGCATGTATGCCTGATTCGGATAAGGGAACATCCAAGGTACGATTGCCGAAGGTAAATCTCATGATGTGTAAACGAACGTTACAGAGTGGTTGTTTTCCGAACCGGCCAGTCATATTTTCATGGATGAATGCAACCCAAAAAACAGATTTGACGGCTTTGATTACATGGGTATATAATTCAGACAGAGACATAAAGGCGTCCAATGGTAACACTGACTACTGTACAAGGGGGGTTCCAATGCATTTAGTAGGCTGTGCCACTGATGGACTGCGATCCTATAGCGGTAGACCTGCGGGTTTAAGCCATGAGTTGCAGAGCTATCTACTGTTGATAAATCTGTGGAGAGTCAAAGTCACAAAGTAGGCTCTAACAAGAAGGAATATGGATTCGATAATTTTATTTTTTATCAGGAGGGGCGGTACTAGATATATACAGCCAGTCGTCCTCGGGGCAGAGCATCTTAGCGAGCCAATCGGGAGCTGTTTGCCGAAGCACTAGTGGAACCTCCTTGCTTCCTTACCTTACGGGGCGAGCGGGGATACCTGCTTTCTTGCCGGCGTACAAATAATGCACAACTGTTCTTACACTCTCAAAATCATAGGATGTGACTTTTGCACTCTTCCTCCAACATGGCCGACTGCATGTCTCATCACAGCGCTGTCTGAGAACGGCAAGCTCCTCCGGCCCGCTCAGCACACGTGGGGGCGAAAGCACTTCAGCCTCATCGCTGACAGTCTGCACCAAAGCTGGAAACACAAGTAATCTGTCACCCTGTCTTGTCCCGCTGAAGTCGAAGTGGAACGAGGCTGGTTGAGAGAATAGGAGGAAGGCAAGTTGGGCCGCGCGCTTCATGGTGCCTTCCAAATTTCTTCGTCGCGCCTGTATATCTACACCCTGGTCAATAAATGGGCGGAGCACTGCGTCTGCTGTTGTTATGGCCCGGTTGACGCTCTGGTTTCGAGTATCATGGTCGCTTGAAGATTGGCCATATTGTCGCTGAAGCAGTGCCCCAGTAATTGCTTTCCATTTACTAAAGAGGACTGGTTGAACTGTATCGAAGTTGTTAGCGAGCATCTTGTTGAGATATAATGGTTTTACTTACCTAATCCAGTCTTTTCTGTCGCGAGAGATGCAGCAAGTGCGGCAATCTCCTGAGGGAGAAATGATGTGTTAGAACCATGTTGTCCTTCGCAACTTGAAAGTATGAGTTGCGCGAGGTACAGTCGAATGGCGGCTAGCCGTGTTGATGGTTTCAGTAGTAGCTTTCGTAAAGTTGCTGCTGGTATTCCAGTAGTATGGGCCAGCTCAATTACTTCCGTCTCATCAACAAGTTCCGGTCGAATCGTGGACTGATGGTAATAATTTTGAACGTGGTTCTTAATTCCATCGCGAACTCGAGACAATCCTCCTATTATGGCATCATCTTCAGCGGGCTGAGGTAACAGTCGGTCAATGTTGGTTACAGCTGCCCCTCGTGAAGATGAACTAATCGCTTCCATAGGAATCTTTACATCTCCGAGATAACCACTCTCTGGGTATGGGCCCAGGGATTGGTGTTTTGGCTGTCGTTTTCGACGGACTAGGAGAAAAAAAAGTAGGCCTGCAATTAGTGCTCCAGCTGCTGCACATCCAATTCCTATTCCGGTAGTGGCCCCCTTGGAAATACCTTTGCTAGGTGCGCGCGAAATTGGAGCCGACGAGCTACTATTACCAGCTGGTGAGGACTCAAATGCTGTCGAGATGCTGGTACTTTCAGTTGGGGTTTGGTATGGCGGAGTTGGCTCCGGCTCTGTCCCTCCTGTTAGTGTCATTGAGTTGGAAGACTGCTGCACTGATTGAGAAGACGCATTTGTAGACGTGGGAGTACTGGTCGAACTTGTTGATGTCGTGCTTTCCGTTTTTCGAATACATAAACATCTTCCTCCCTGGAATGTGAAATCCGGAGTTTGCCATGCTGTGCATTTTGAATAAATGTTGGCTGAGTTGTCAAAACACAAAGGCTGTTGCCCATCCTCCAATTGCTCTTGATCTTGGTTGCAGACACTTTTCCCACCCTCCGATCTGCATGGTATAGTTGATCGAGTTGCCGTCGGAGCAGGAGCGCTAGTTGTCGTCATGACTATAGTGGAAAGCCGGACTGGTGATGGCTTCTCAAAACTCTATCGGTGCAAAAGGTTGATGAGAAGAGAATTGTGAGGGGAGCCGATATATGAGACGCCGTGCCGCCCATCTAATCTGAGCCCCCTTGGAAGCTCACATCGGCTGAATTCAAAAATTATGATCTTTCACTTACTCACGTAGCACAACAGCCCAATCAAAGACCTTGTTACCTCTAGCAGGCCAACCATGATCCTTTAAACAAAGTCCTGGGCGTTGGTTCCACCCTTGACGTACATATCTACTGTGCCCTCAAGTGCAACACATCATTCGCAAGGCGTTTATAAGTGGTCAGAGGAATATGCAAGTGATTCCTGCGCCCCGGCCCCCTTTTCATAAAAATAGTTGGCAAAAACGATTCCCATCCAATGAGGCTGAAACAGGCCTACTATTCCGGTTGGTTTGACGGCCGCTTTTAGATGTTTGTATCTCTCTGCGTCGCCCCCAAGTTTCTCTATCTCCTCTTGTACCGAGGTGTCAGAATTTCTTTTGTACCTGTAAGCAAATTCTGTTTGGATTTGTTTGTTGGGATTCAAACTTTTGATTTGAAATTTCTGTTTGTTCGCAAGATGTCGGGCGATTCTCGACCTGAATTGGTCATTGCTGTTGATTTTGGAATGGCATGTACAGGTGTGGCCTATGCAAATATCGCTACTGGAGAGGAAACAGTTCGATGGCTTCAAAAATGGCCAGGAAGATCAAATGCGGTTGAGAATAAGGTTTGTTTATCCATCTCACCAGAATTTCGCCTGGTGATTTATACGCAATGATGTATAAATACTGAAATTTCACGGTAGGTTCCCACCGTTCTCGTATATCCCAAAGACTCCTCTATACCCTCTTCGTGGGGCTACCTTTCCGAAAAACCTGCGGAACAGATGAGCGAGGAGAAGGAATGTAAAGAGTGGTTCAAGACCTTTTTGGATGATGATAGGTTGAGGTTAGCTCAAAGAGCTGCCCAGGGTTTTTCGGTGTGTCCGTCTTCTATGGAAGAAGTTGAGCGATTGTAAGTCATTTCTTTGAAGAAATTCGCAATTATTGGGCGTGTACTTATATTAATCCAGATACCGTGACTACTTCCGCTTTTTGTACTCCACAATCCAGCAAAAACTCCAAGGCGAATTGGCCAATCGTTGGGAGCATGCGAATATCGAATTCATTTTCAGTGTACCAACGACGTGGAAACTGGTTCCTACTGTTGAGCGTTTTAGGCGCACAATTGAGAGGGCGGGGTTTGGAGCACATCCGAATCATAAAGCTATTATTGGGTTGACGGAGGCTGAGGCTGCTGCTGTTCATACAGCGAGGGTTTTTCCAAAATTATTCAAGGTACATTTTTGAGGTGCTTTTGATGAAGACTAGCTGACGAGGATGTTTAGGAAAGAGATGTGTTACTAGTTTGCGATGTTGGATGAGGAACTACAGTAAATACCTCGAGATCTTTGTGGTGAAAGCGCTGACTTCAGCTCCAGGATTTATGCGTCCTTCGCGTCACAGATACTGGTGGGGTAGGTGCTCTCAGTCTTGAGCAGATGGATATCGTTCAAGGTATCTTCAATCATCCTTCACCCCTCCGGTTTCCCCGCTCACTAATTATTCTAGGTGCAACAATCGGGTCCGTCCAACTAGACACAGCCTTCGAAACAACAGCGCGCTCAAGATTAATAAAAGCGAACCAGATTCTCCCAATGGGGATCGAAGACAAAGAATTAGATGATATGGCTTGGGAAATGGCGAAGAGCAAGGAGTATCAGAATGCGAAGTGTGAATATGGATCCAGTGACGACGATACAGAGTTCTTCACTGTGGCGATTCCGAGGTTACCACGAGGATATGTCAATGAGAGCGAGGGCATCAATTTTGGGGAAATGAGGTTCAGGAGGTGAGACTACTTCGACCTTCTTTTCTGTCTAACTCTTAGTGTAATGTTGCTGTGTTTAGGGGGAGAAAAGGTGCTGAATCTGGTTTAGGGATGAGATAAGGAGCTATTTCGATGTCCAGGTAAGTTTTTGAAATTATTGTTTACAAGAAGTGAGCGATTGGCTAATTCTAGCTTGAAGGTTATTAAACTATTTGATCTAATCGATAAACAACTCGGTCGTCTCGCAACAAAGTTTCCCCTAGAACAAGTGGTATATATGATCCTTCCATAATGCGTACAATTTCCTAATCACTGTTTTCTCTAGTCACATCTCGTCCTCTCAGGCGGCCTAGGAAATTCAGCATACGTCCAAACCTGTCTTCGAGTGCGCTACACAAATCCCACATCTCCCGTTCCCAACGCGCGCCGTCTGCAGATCCGCGTCGCACCTGAGCCTCAACTGGTGGTTTGCAAAGGTATCGTGGCTGATCGAATGCAGAAGCTGAGAAGTGGGAGGAGTATGTTGGGCTGGAGGGTTTCTAGAAGTAGTTATGGGACGTTGTGTAAACTCTTATACGACGAGAATGATCCAAGACACCAGGGAGTCACGACTATGGTTGATAGTTTGGATGGGAAGACTTATGTGATGAAGAGCATTAATTGGTTTATCAGACAGGTTTGTCTACTCCCATCGCCGTCCCTCCGAAGAGAAAATCAGCTCGTACCCATTAAACAAGCTGGGGTCTCTCTTGGAAAGACGAGAGATAATCCGGAATGGAATGTGCTAATATGATTCCAGGGCGAGCCTGTCTCCACCGACTACCCAATCGTCAAAAGCTTCATCAGAAAATCCCCCCCAGCCACAAAATTAGACCCAGACCCCCATCGGAGTTTTCTGACGGGAATAGTGACATGTGATTTGGAAAGGGACTTCCTGCCATTGGTGATGGATTCCTGTCAGTCTATATTCTATTCCTTGTCTTTCTATGTCTTCTCGCTTAATCCCCACATAAATAACTGATGAGAAAACAGCATGTCGAACTCTCTGTGAAATCTCCTCGGATCTCTCATCCCTCCCTCTGAATTCTTTCAAGCTTAAGAACAGACATTGGTGGAATATGGGGAAGGAGAAATATCATAGGATAGAATATGTGATTAAAGGTATTCATTTCCCCTGACCATACCCGATCCACTCACTGTTGCCCCCCAACAATACCCAACAAACCCGCGCTAAGAAATTTAATCAGTCAACATAGGACCAGCGGATATATCCTTCGAATTATGGTACAACGGCCAAAAGATCTCACAGGAGAATTCCATATCAGTTGAGTGGAAAGAATCTGCTCCGCCGAGGGAGGTTCCTCCACCGAATATATTCGGGGTTTTGACGGGGAATCAGTGCGTACCATCTGTGGGTGGGGAGGGTAAAAGAATTGGGACTCCTGTGCAGGGGAGTGAGGGGGGAAATTATTCTTGGATTTGACAAGGATTGTGGGGTTAATCTAACGTATGGGGGAGAAGTGGTACGCTGTATTGTTATGATTACGATTATGATTGTGGAAGCGAAATGTTGGAGGTATATGTGTATGAATGAACGTCTATCGATTTTGCGTACCTTAGGGCTTTATGTGAAGTACTTGTGTATAATTCGAACTGATTATGGCAAATTATCGTGCCTTCCATTTGTAAGAGTCTCACGTTTTAATCTCGTGGGCCATGGTCAGAAGATACCGGAACGAACCAGATGCATCTGTAAGAGTTATATTAATCATGACACTCATCCGGGCCGATTATCAAGGTCAGAAGATAGAAAATTTCAATTATGTCTTTACATTCTGTTGCTTTGCATTCGACTATTTATAAAGTTTGTCATTATGTGAGCTACCCGAACAACGAGACGTCTATTATACGATATCAATCTCCAAGGCCGCACTTCCCACACCAGTCAGCCTCTTTTCAGTACCTGATAACCAGCAACGTTGGGATCGCAGGACTCCCCGAAAAACATGCCGAGATGACGAACTCCAGAATCGCCTAATAGCGCCAGCAAAGAAAGAAGAAACATGGAGAATGAGGGCAAGGTTCCTCATTCTCAAGTGGTAACAGAGGGTATTATTTTCCAAGATACGAGCTTGTACCTTGCAGCCATTAAGTAGGAAAGAACGTATTTTTCATGAAAGAAGTTGGCAGATCGATTAAACAAGATAAAACCAGAAATGAATAAGAAATGATAACAAACCCCATGAAAACACTTGAACATGAACCAGCTCTTGTTGGAACTCTGAACATGGGACTTGTGATTACCAGATATCTCCTCCCATGGGCTCACCTCTGAGCTTTGATGCAACATGACAGTCCATTGGGACCTCGATGGTAAGGCATATCTTGCTGCAGCCTTACGCAAGAGGCTGTTTCATGCTCGTGTAAAAACGTGATCCTTTTGCTTAACGAAAAAATAAAATACTACGCGGATGTTGCTAGGCTCGATCATTTCTTCCGTTCCTTCCTATCTCGATCACTCCGATCGTGGTGTCGACTGCTGCCACCTTTGTCATGCCGTGATGGTCTGCTCACGCTCTCACGACGAGACCGGTGTTGTCTGGATGCTTCTATTTCACCACGTGTAGGAAGCTCAATATCCTCGTCATCTTCATTTCTGGCGTAGACAGAGTCTCCATAGGAATACTGAGGTGGTGGGACTCGTGATGAATAAGAACCGGAGCCAGCAGGAGGAGACAGACTATAAGAATATGTAGAGTCGCCTGCGGGTGACCGAGGATTTGTGGAGTAAGATGTCGAATAGCCTTGCCCAGTTGATTGGGGAACCATTTGATATGAAGACGGGTTGGTCCCCATTGACTGGTAGGAGGTTCTATTATCCCCATAGCCGCTTCTCGAATGAGGCGTGGTAGAAACATTAGAATTGCTTTGAGGTTGGGTGGTATAATTGTACCCAGAAGTTTCGCTCGTGGGAGAGAATCTTGGATTACTTCCCAGTCCTGCCGTTGAAGAATACGTGACTGTTGCCGATGGGTTATTAGTGGTCGAATACCGATTATCAGTGGAAGTGTGTGGAGTGATACCATATTGAACATTAGAAGGAAGCGGATATGTTGAGCTCGAAGTCATTGAAGTTGATTCAGGTCGCAATTGTGCGTTATGAGGGGTACTGCCATATCCAATCTGGCTTGTTGTATGGCCAATCGGAACTCTATAGGTATCACTAGTACTGCTGGAATTACTCGGCGGATCGCTGAATGAAACAGTTCGGTCACGTTTAGTGGTTGTCGTTGAGTCCACTTGATTGTGAGATGTCTGACTAGTTGCTCCAAAGGAAGACCCAACTCCGGTAAGATACTGCTCTTTTTGCTGGATACCGGTATCTGCTGCTGAGCGTGAAGTAGAGAAATTGACTTCTGCGTAATACTCCTGGAGGTATTCTAACGAATCTGAGTCCAGCACTCCTACATCCATGACTTTCACGTTTGTCTCCACTGTATAGATACAGCCGTAATTGACAAGAGATGGATCTTTCAGAGGGTCTGCGTTCTTGGAGAGTATCACCCTCAGTGGTTTTTTTGTGACGCCTGTTTCTGTCCTAGGGGGCTTTTTCGTGCTGAATATCGGACCATGCTCTTCCGTATCCTGCAAAAGAAGGTGTATTAGCACTCTTAATAGAAATAATATAAGTTTGTCACAGCATGGGACAGAAAACCCTTTGAGTCACTGTGAATGAGACTAGAAATATATGTTACTCACTATATCGGGCTTCTTATAACCACGGCCTTCATAAGATGTCACTGGTAAACAGTTACAACGTTTATTACTCTGTTTGAAAGTGACCACAACAAAACGCCGAATCTTGGTGTGAACCTTCTCGCCATATTTGACAACACTGATAAAGGTTTCGTTTTTGTTGGTCATCCCAGAAGCTGGCACAGTCCACAGTGTGCTGAAAACTCTTCCAGGCTTGAAAAACTTTTTATAATCATGGTTTCGTACTTGGTATCTCGGATCAAGCTTTTCTGCATCTCCAGGCGTACCAGTAACAAGTCGGTGGGTGTCGCTCTGGCTTTCAGTCTGTTCTTGGGGAGAATTTACGGCCGCATCCTGAGCTCCGTATTCGCATGAGGCTCGAGCAGAGTAATTCGTGTTTGCCTGTGTAGTATCAGCCCCCCGCGCAGTGAATCCAGCAGTCGTTGAGGAAGAGGTGGTGGTGTATGGACCGGAAACCAGAGGTACAGGGTATCCATAACCAGACCTCGTTTTGTCATGGTCATCCAGAGACAATGAGTTCATTCTGCTGGCAATGGATATGCTAGGAGCATCAATTGGCCCAGAAGAAGAGGACGAGCCATCATTTGGGACATCTTGCCGGCCACTAATGTTTTGATCATACCCGCCAAGGTACGAAGTGTACCCAGTCACTTGAGAGGACCTGGTATCTTGAGTTTGCCCATAACCCCCTGCACTGTGATATTGCTTTGGATGCTTGTCATAGGAAGAAGTTCGGGGTGGTTGGGTCTGTACTGGATCTTGATAGACATCGCGAGTCGATTCTGAGCCACGTCTGTGGGGGGCTTTGCTTGAAGAACGTCTCGATGAACTGGAGAAATAGGGTACTGTGCCTGTTGTTCTGGGCACCGTCGGATTCGGATACCTAGAAAGAATCTTGGATCAATGTATGCTTTTGCAGTTCGTGGCATGCTAAAACCCTTACGAGGAATTGGAACTTGTCTGCAATGCTTGCTGCTCATATTGTCGAATATTTCGTCCATCTTTTTCTCCAAATTAGCATTTGCTTTCAAGGGGTGTTTTGCTGTGGCGTCATTACATTCGTCCTTATAGTTCATGTACCATCGACCCGTCTCTGGTTCGTAAATCCAAGGATTCGGACTCGACATCACTTTGACATTGTCACCGTTTGGCATACGAGTAACTATTTCACTGAAATAGGAATGGAACTTCCTTTAAGCCCAAAGGCATATCCAGCCACTGAGGCTCTAGTTAGAGACATAGTGGGGTTACAGGATTTGATAGAGAGGGGACCACGTCGTCTTGCAGGCTCGAAAGGCGGAGACATAAGTTGTTGCACAATGGTTGAGCAAGTCGGAGTGGGGGAAGACGCCGTATGGCTGGTCTCAACTCCCGCATAGTAGATTCAGTATCATCTGATAAGGAAGTAATCACATGCCATATCAATTGGTGCCACCACTGAATTTGTCGGGAGGGGAAGTGGCGGGCTGGACAAGTACGGAAATAGAGCCCCGGGACGTTTATGGGTAAAGGCGAGACGATACGCGAGATCTGGTTGATTGAAGTGAGATGTGAATTCAGGTAGCGAGCCCTCAAACCCCCCATCTTTAGGCCCGAGGAGGGTACTCTTTCGGCGGTAGTGCTCCCGCTGTCATAAATACATGGGGGCTAAGGGAGCGTTCGGCTCGCATATCGACCTAAAAATTCCACATCGACATATCTTGATTGTAACACTTATGTAGTAGAAGAGGTATTACAAGGTTACAACAAGTATCGACTTTTTTGAAAAATTCGGCATCTCACGGAATGAAAAATGGAGGGTGGTTCAGAAAGCTACAGGGTGCTCATTCCTGGCTCCGATTTGTCATTTTGGGATCTGTATGATGTTCCGCAAGCCTTGCAGATGCAGCCCTGTGCATTTGGCGATCGCCACCTCTGAGACATCCGGATGATGCCCGCAGCGGGTATCTCAGATGATGTTGATTCTTCCATGTAAAATCAGGCGCACCTCTTTCAAATTTCATGCAACCCGAACAGTCCCCGTGGTACGAGGTGGGGAAGTACCCGTTCAATACACGATGAGGCTCTGCTGAACACACCCTTTATCTCCAACACTCGCGGCGGCGTGGCTTTCCAGCAGGCGCAGTTTTGTCCTCTTTCGTTCGCCTCACTTTTCTTATCCATACACAACACTTCGGGATTTCTGAAGAATCAGGGAGAATCATCACAGATTTACATGCCTTTTTAAGTGCTCACAACCTATTGCTCAGGCACCAAGATTGATCAAACCAATTTGGAAAGCCACGCTACAAATGAGGGAACTCCGAATTTCATGGCACATGGCACTAGCTACAGAAGGCAGTCAAGCACTTGCTCACGGAGCCGTCAAAAAGCTCCTCTCTCAATTAACACGCTACGGCTGTCCACAGCGAAACCATTTGGCTCAAACTGCGGCCAACCGATAGGCTTCGGGAATGAAGAGAAAGCCGAATTGGCGGAAGTAGAACTCGCAAGGCTAACAAAACTACGGTCTCGGTCGGATGTCTTGTCGAGATCACCACAAAATCAAAACAATGGTCACAGGCTGGAGTTCAGAGGGCAAGAGCTCATCAACATGCCCCTGAAAACGCAAGTAAATGACATTTCGAATCCAGCAAACTCAAAAAGACACACTGGACCTGCGACCTCGTCCATTTCAGGAAGTCCTCTTCTGAGTAAAGCCCCTCCGCGACAAGATTCGTCGTACTTCTCCACGCAGCCCGATAGTGACAACGAGTCAACCAAAGCTGCCGAAGCCAGAGTTCTGACGATATATCGCAATAAGGTGCGGAGGACAAAAAGGGTAACTTGGGATAGGAGGGGAGAATTGACAGATCTGCGAAAAGCATTCCAAGATGTCGCCGATGCATTTGTGCAGCAGGTCAACCGAGCCGTGGCGTTCAACAATATTCGCGAAGAGCTTGAACCGTATCAGGAGAGGATCAGAGATGCGCAAGACACGCTGGCGGCAGCAGAAAACACATACGACGAGTTGGAGAAACGGTTAAGGAGGGAGGAGGATGAGCTCGAGCGGGAAGAAATTCGCTTTTATGGATACTCGGAGTCGCCAACCTCCTCCGACTTGGATGCCGATGCTTCACCGATAAAGGAGACTGAACTGCAGCCGACAACACATCCTGAAGATGACCTTAAACAGGTCTATCTGCAGAAGGTTTCTGAGGCTCATTACTTGAGAGAAGACCTAGATAATCTGGAGGAGGACTACTACCGGTTTTCGACTGAGGCGGAGCTTCGCCATAAACTCGGAATTCGTACCTCAGCAGAGACGACCGAGTTTTGTTCCGCCTATAGACAGAGACATACCGATATCATTGGAGAACTGGAAAGAGTTGAGACTCATTTGCCCAGCCTTCGTTTTGAGTGCCTCAAAAGGGGTCTGTTTAACGAAGATGAGCACATCTACAAGCCGCACGACGCCTTGTACGAAGATATTATGGATTCAATAGATGAAGCACTTGAGCGCTATCCTCTTCGGTTAGCTGAGACTCAACGACACCATCCTCGACGACTGGATTATGAGAATAAGACGGACTATGTGAACAATTGGTTGTTGGATTGGGTAGAGAGCTCGTCGTATGAGTGCTCAGTTTTGAAGGAATGGATAATTTCCACATATCGAACCAGCATCGGACATGCTTCCGAGCTAGATCACCGATGGAGTGATTTAGCCTTACAGAATTGGAACACAGATTCAGCAGGTATCGATGCAAACAATCACAACAAAGCCAGCATGCTCGATGTTATCACAGGTGATACAGGAAAGCTCAATGAGAAAATAGGAATCGTCAACGCTTCTAGGTCGATATCCACTGGTAGCTCGCTCGATCTCGATGACCTTTCGAGGATTGGTAGTATTCTCATGGGCAGTGACGATGTCCCTTGGGTAAACAGGAATCCTTCAACTCCTGGCATTCGGCGAGTGAAGAGGCCTATCAGCTTTTGGGACTTGGAGTAGATTTTGACTCATCTTGCGAGCTTTCCACTTCGAATTCGAATCATTTGCATACACTGTCAACATGGATATGGGACTTGTCTGTTATTTGTGGATGTATCCAACTTGTTTTTCTCTTCTCAACAACCCTTTATATAGGTTTCAGGCGTAGGGTTTAGGGCCTTTCCACCAAAGCCTTGGTTGGAACCATATTCAGCGGTATCCAGTACACTGGATATTACGTACCATTTATGGTGGACCTAGGTTGAACGGAAGTTTGGGAGTTTGCGCGATTAAGAATCTTTTTCTTTATCTTTTTGGGAACATACTTAAAGTAACGTATGCCACGGAGTCTGCGAGACGGAGGTTCTTTTGATACCCAATTTCTTGAAATATCATACAGATACCAATGAACTCAAAGGGAAAACTGTGTTCATGCTTACCCTTTCAAAGTACGGATGCCAGGCATGTGCTTTAATTGCCACTTCAACCTTGATTTTGAGTGGTTCTCTCTCTCTCTCTTGGAAACAGGCCTGTCTTTAGCGATGAGGAAGAGCTGATGCGAGATTTGTTCCGTAAATTATATATCAACCGGATAATGGGATCTCTCATTATGAGATGTCATTTTTGAGGCAGACCGATGGAGCGACCACTTAGACGTGGCACCTACGAGGAATTTCCGAGTTCAGATGGAATGAGAATCTGACATGGATGCCAAATCTGATAATATTGCGAATGAGCTTAGAAACCTGAAATTAGACAGGAAAAGAATGGGACCAAGTGGCATTAAAGCATGCAGCAGACTTGATTGGCTGCCTCATCGCACGTTTGATCAATGTATAGCAGTGGTTTATTGTGAATGAGGAAGTGCTTACTGAGCAACTCGGTGGGATAAATATCCTATATTCGAGTAAACTCCTCTATTAATAATACTATAATTATCGTTATATCGTACGATTATAGGTTCTTTTAACCCGCCCTCGTACCCCTCGAGATAGTCTCACCTTTAGTTAGATATATACCTTTATAGGTAGCGAGGCCTAGGATACTAATACTTCTTTATAATATACTAAATAGAGCCTTCTAATTAGTCTATAATATATAAGAAGTCTAAGTATTTAAAGCTAGCTAGTAATATAAGAAATTAACAATAAGCCTTCTTTTGTAACGTAACGAATAGACGATAAACGAGTTGGATAATTAAGGCTGTTCGGGGGCGATGATCATAAATTCTACCTAATCGCAACATCCTGGAGCTAACTTGCATCACAAAATGATCCGTAAAAGAGAGCATGTAAAATTGATTGGTTGGCTGCAAGGGCTGCAGATAATTTGACGCTTGCGATTGAAGGGGTCTTATACGCTAGGAAACCACGGAAGAAAAGAAATCGGTAGACCCCATATTTCAATCAATTCATTTGACAAGGGGCTTGACATGTAATAAGAAACTGTGCATAATTGCAATTACTGCTACCGATATTCGTAGTGTGATCGTTTCGTTATAGTACGAGATGTCGAGAGTTGGGAAATCCGATCTTGGGAAAATTGCATGGCATCCAGAGAGCTCCATCCAAAAACCCTCAACATAGGAATAAGAAATGAGTATGAAAATAGCCTCGGCTCTGCCAAAGGCTGCATGGTTGATCCCCTCTCCATTTATGGCGAGGGAGATCATCAAGGGGCTGCAAGCTACAACATCACCTTAACGTAAAAAAAAGAAAAAAGATGAACGCATCATCTTTCTTGGAGTATTAGCCTTTGAACTTACTGTATCAAGTCTGAGTTAACACTCACCCAAGAATTTTCATCTACCACAGAGCTCCCTCCGCGATGATTGACTAGAGTCTCCCGTGGAAGAAGTGTCGATTGCCCCATCAAACGGCTTCAAGGAGGTATGAATTTCGTTAAATGCGGCTGCAACATGGTAAACACTGTTGGCATGGATCCTTCCGATGAACCTCACTTTGACGTTATATTCGATGGTGTAGACCTTGGCATAGTTCAATCGCGACGCATCATGCAACTTGTTTTGTGGAAGTGAAGGCACCATCATAATCGCCGGCCGCGTTAATTTTGATTCTTCACCAGGCAAAAGAACTGGTCCAGTTTCCGAAGAATATATTACCGCATGATTGTCTGCATGGACGCCGTGCTTGTTTACCCCTTGGCCGCTGTAGGTATTGATAGGCCTGTCACATTCTTAATTGGTATTGGATTTTGATGGTAAATTTGTTGAACACTCACAAACACAAGCAATGCCCTTTAAAGGCTTTAACGATCAGAAAGCGGCGGAGCTTCTGGTACTGCTCTTTTCCGCCTCCATCAGACACTCTTTCAGCGGTGATGAATGTCCTCTGGGAATTCTGGCTTCTGTTACTTTCCCCCCCTTTCGAGGTGCCCGATGGTTCGACCCAATTAAGTAAAATAACCTGTGTCATATTAGCCGAGGCAAAAAAGAAAAAATCGAAATGAGAACAATCTACCTTTCCTGCCTGAAATTCTCTCTCGTGATGAACCCTATATTCTGTGGCCGTCAAGATTAACAGCTCGAACATTCAGAAGTTTCACTTACGAGGTCCGCCAATCGGTGTGACGGTTATGGTCACGAGGGCTGGATGTCACATGCTCGCTTAGCGAGGCGCTAGCGCGCACGACCTGTATTTAGTTCCCAGCTCTCTTGAGCTCTCCTTCTTTCCTCGTCTTTTGTCCTAAGAATAGAGTGTTAATTGTTCTGAGTTCTACCTGAAGCACGTCTGTCACAATCGGCCCCTTTTCGCTATTTCGGTGAGGCTTTAAAGTTTTGATGACAGTCCCTATATATGGAGAAACGTCAGTAATGTCTAATAACCGATGTAGAAGTAAATGCATTCGGGATTAGCAAAAATACTAGAAAACATCAAAATAAAAAGGAAGGGAATTGAGAAAAGGAGAAAAGGTTGACGGGCCCATTTTTGGAGGACTCTTGTCTTTCTCATCCTCCAGAGTCATGCCTTGCATAGCGTTTGTTGCATCACTGAGTTGAGATGTTTGGGCATAGGTGTACTCTGTTGAATTGCAGGAAGGCGTTTCCAAGATCGACTGCGCATTGGGCGATGCTTGATATGGTTGAATCGAAGGAAAGGATTCTGAACTAAATCGGGTTTGTGAAGTCGAGGCATACGAGCTCGGAGAACCTGAGCCTTGCAAAGTCGAGGCATAGTTGTGGGAGCTTTCTGTAGTAGGTTGGTCCCTAGGTAAATTTTGCGTCTCTGAAGCTGTGTCATATTCAAAATCCCACTCGTATTGTTCTGGGAGAACAGGTAGGTCAGCGATTGATTGTGTTGTACAAGAGGGAACTTTTCTACCAGCAGCAACTAAACGATAACGCCCAAAGCGTCGATATTCATCGTCTCTCTTACATTCGCTCCAGGAGCTCGGGTACGCAGTTGCATCATTAGACGCATACTGTTTTGATTTGTCTGACGCCCTATCCTTTCGAGGCATGATGATCTTATGTTGGGGTCCAAAGTAATTGAAGCGCAACACTGCAGCTCCCTGGCCCGTCTTTTAAGCAGCATCTAGGCATGATTTGGAGTTTGCGGGGAGTGAGGCTCAACTGATTATAATTCCGCACATTTTCTTTATTTGTTATCGTAATCGGGTGTAATGACTACAAAACGGTATGTCCAATGTACACAATGTATGCAAATGTCGCAGGGAGTGTTGTACTCGGCTAAAGTGAAGGGGGGTGATACGATGGGCAAGGGGTATATGGACGCACCAACCCTGAAGCTGCAGGAAGGTGCCATAGGACTCTTTGCTGAGATGCAACTTGTTATCGAACCAATCATTCATCCACAGGTGATGAAATTGTGTACAGGGTATCACAACACGGGCCTTGAATGGCTGAGACTTCGATTGTAGGATTCATTCCGCCCTGCACACGCAAATCGGGAATGTGTTATTTGAGACACCCGGAGCTTTTTCCAGCCTTGACGTCTCAACCATCCAATTCAGCCGCCTCGTGGGTCGTGATCTGTTGCAAACTCATTAAACCCCCCTCGCTGCTATTTGGTTGTAATCACGCGAATTTCATTATTCAACTTGCACAGCTCATGTTGCCCTGCTCAAACTCGGATAATGATGGATGTTCTCCAGGCGAAAGACTACGGAAGGATCGTTTAGTGGGAATATCGTTGGAAGCAAACATATTAGAACCCTATCAACGGCGGAGATCAGAACCGTTCGCGCTGGATGCGACCAGAAACCAACGTAGTGCGCACGATGGCCCAAAGAGGGCTGCAAGTCTAATCGTCGAGGTTTTTCAAATTGGCAATCAGGCGATTTCCCCTTCGATTCATTTAGACGATGGGAACTCCGATAGCAAGCTACCCGTTCCAACATATAAGCCACCCTCGAAACATCCTCCAGAGCGTGAAGTGATCCCACCTGCGCTGATACCCGAAGTGCTGTCCATGTCGGGGATTGAAACCCAAGAAGACCCGCCAAATGCGTCAATTTTAATACGCTCAACGAAATCGGATAATTGCATAGCGCACAACAGCCAGTTCCAAAGCAGCTTGGAACAGCGTTCAGGGAGTCTTGATGAATCAGACCATCGACAGCAACCACTGTTGGAAGACCAAGAAATACCAACTGCCAAAACACCTCGGGGGCTGAAAGATGCAGTGATATCCAACTATGGGTCATCTCACGTCGAGCAAATCTCAAGTATCCTCATGAAGAAGGATAGCATCAGCAATCACGATTTTCAAACGCAAGCGTCAAATTCGCGCCTAGGCTCCCAAACATACACGAACCAAATGACAGCAGCATCTTTTGACAAGGTATGGCGACAAGTTCAAAGGCAGCGCGTGAACAACTGGACATTGCGAGACGCAATTCATAGAATACGGATTAGGTTACGAGATCTGCAGCTGGCCAAGTCAAAGGCAGATGATTCCCTTTTTCAACATATGACTAAAAGAGAGCTCCTCGGGCAAAATATTGAAGAAAAGCGGCTTCTTTACGGCGAGAGGTCAACAAGAGCTCTGATGCAAGCTTGCCAACTGATAAGGGATCAATATGGCCCTCTAGAAGACGACTGCAATCGGCTTGAAGACAAACTAAGTGCCGATGAATTTAAGCAGAATCAGCTGGAGGAAGAGTTATACAAACACCTCAAGGAACCTCCCAGTCCCAATTCTGAAAGTGGAACCATGACTCAAATCGATTCCACTGCGACTGCATCCACGCCGAGTCCCATGATACATGATCTAGTGGAAGCATCCGAACTGCATCCACTAGTGCGTGCCTTTCTATCCAAACTTGGTGATCTATATCTTTTAATGGAAGAGTGCGATAACCTTGTTGACGACAAAGAAACGCTGGTCGAGGAAAGGTCAAAAAGATCTCAAGTCGGTCTGCAACTGAGTGTCGAGGACCAGAATTTCCTGATCAATTTCGAGTCCACGGAGTCCGAGCTGACAAAAGAGATCACCGAAACACAAAATGAAGTGAACAAGATGAGAAAAGATTGCATTGAACGGGGACTGGTTGACGAGAACGATGAGCCAACCGATCTTGTCACTCAGGAAAGGCTCAGCTTTAGAGAGGAAAATCTGAACGCACAAGAGAACACTTCAGAGTACGTCAAATACCCGCTGTTGCTCCCACGTCCAGGAATAAGAGATGCCGTAGGTAAAGACGAGGTTGAGAAAGCCTTCCATGTGAAACCACACGATACAACGAATTGCATCAATAGGTGGCTCTTAGAGAATATGCTTGGTTCACCTTTGGAGGTAAGACTTCTTGCTAGCACCTTCGAACAATTTGAAGGGGGGAAGATCAGTGAAAGATGGCAGTATCTGGTTCTTGATTGTTGGACTCGAGATGTTCCAAATTTGCGGAGGCCCAATGTTTACTCTTCGAGTCTCACTACGCGTGCTAGTCCCAGGTCTAACCGATCTTCCTTATACCATTTTTGATCTGGGTTTGGCTTTTGGCTTGAGGTATCGGCGAGCAAGAGACGACTCGATATCATCAGGACTGAAAGTGGCTCAGCATCTCCTTATCCTCTTCTTGGGACCACTCAAATCCTTCCTTAGAATATCCTCCCATATACATGATTTGTGTCCACACCAAACCTCTCGTGGAGTTGAGTATTTCATGACAGAAGATAGGTGTGATTGGGTAGGATATCTAGGTCAACTGGTCAGTATTTTGTCACAGAGCTAGGGCGAAGGAAAAGGTATGCATGTAGAGGAAGATCTAAGCCTTCATTGACGGGCTGGGAGGCGCGACCATCTAGTATGAAGGAGAAAGGATGAATGATGAAGTTTCTAGGACAGCGTTTGTGCAACGAAGGTTCTAATATGCGTCGCTGGCCACATTGGCCACATTGAGCGGTCGTGGCATCTTTGAGCTCAACCTTAGCCACAGCAGTCCCTGTTTCTGCTTTTGGTTTCTGTCATAATTGCTTAGGTTTGGCTATTTCTTTGATTGGGTGCTAAGTGAAACTTTCATTGGCTTGATAATCATACCCTTTTTTGTATGGCGATTGGACAATGGTCTCTATGTGATGTTAGATAATTACATGCGCCTCAGTTGGTACTTGAAAATTTCCTGCTAAAGATCTTGACAAACAACCACTTGGGCGAAAGGTTACTCAATAATTCTTATGTAAACAAGTTTTCGCTTGAGAAACTCTCTCCAAGCTTGTAGGCACAACGAGTTAAACAAACAGAGTGCTTAACATGATTAGGCTTAACGACCTTAATTTCTGTGTTCTCAAATAGTTCTCCACAAATTCACGATTAGTCTTTTATCCCAAAATTCTTAAGACAAATGTATTTGTGGGCCGGTACGTAGGAATGACCAGAATTACGTTTACACTTGGGTTATTGGCCCAGTACCAGCCTTTCGGGTCATAAATTAGCCGCAAGTCTCCCCTGTAGATCAGTGGGTCTCTCCCAGCATTACATATCATAACATTCATTCGGGACGCTACTTTCTGTCAAACTCGACCGACGGTGCGGGCTGGAGATGTAGCTGCATGTGTCGTGAGGTTACACATCATACACCTCGGGCGTCGTGGCAATTTATCGATGCCGAGGGCGATTTTTATTTCTAACCTTCTAGTTCCCCGACTGACTTTTTTGGGCTGTTAATAGCCATCATTCTGACCCTATGTATATTAGATTCTCACGCTGTCGGCATTCAGAGCTGCAACGCCCCTGGTCTTCACAGACACTCCGTAAGCGACATCTAGCCTGCTACAAAGGTTTGATAGTTCCTGAGGGCAATAAGCACAATCCCAGGTCATCACTCCGGTATTTCTAACGAAGAATCCCATCAAGAAGTCAAGAAAAACCGAAGCAATGTAGGATTTTCAGTCATCGCTCATCACCTAAAGCCATTCCACCTCTTTCGCTCAATTATCCTACTTTTTCATGGAACGAACAGGAACAATACCAAGAATTATTCTTGACGTGAAGCATCCAAATCGCAGTTCATCGGTCGACGAAGGAGTAATTTCTCAGCATCGAGTCACACGAACTGTAATATTCAGATTTCATTTGCTTGTGAGTTCGGAGCCTGCTCACACAGGATATGCAACAAACGTGTTTTACCGTGCTTTGCCTCGTCGACTATGACTATTCCAATCACAGAGATATCACTCCAAGTGAATGTTAGAGTAATAATTTCGTTCGCACCTAAAATGGCCACATATCAGATCCCTATATGCTCACGACATAAGTCTCGGAGATTTTACAGAAACGACGCTCAGCGAAACAGTCTAACCCCCACCTGCCTTCCCCCAAGGCGACCATCTACATATAAATTTTCTATCTCAGTAAGTAGCTATAGGTAGATAGATTAAATAGACCATGAGCCAATCAACGTCAAAAACATGAGCTTGTATACACCCAATCACCTGATCACCCCCCCGCCCTTTCCACATCTGCGGTGTAACAGGTGCTGACATGCAGAAATTGGAAGCACTCAGATACTTTCTCAAACTTGGCCCGCAGTCCAATACATGTGCTTGATATTTTCACACCCCGAGTTCTCAAATCTTTGCCACAGGGATGGCATCTTCCACAGAATGATAAAACGCAAAGTGAACCAACCATAATCCCCTGACAAGGAAATGTTCTAGACTCGTCTCTTGACCAATCTTGACAAACATCCACGCAATCCTGGCAGCACGAATTGCACAGTTTCAACGAACCAATTGACGGAGTCTCTTCACCTCCCCCCCCAATCATAATGAGAGTATCAAATGTGAGTGGTGGTATATAATACATCACACAATCCTGCAATATACCTGCCTAACCCAGAACGGAAAGCGACCATCCCAGTTCCCCGCTGCGATACGGCATGAAAACACCCCTCACGCACACCAGCCCAATCTGAGTCCCGATCGAGGACGATCGTCCATCTGCCAAAGTGAATAGCCAACGACAAAAGATCACAAATCCGAAAGATGCATCGCCAACATAGAACCTTCATATTACGGATACCGGAGAAGCACTTCCTGGTAGTTCAAAACCAGGCCTTGAAGACTCTTCCTGGCCGAATCACTTTTGTGGTACTTGCTAAGCTCAAGCTCGCCTTCGTCTAACCCCCTTTGCCCGTCAATCTCTATCAATCCTTGCTCGAAATAGGCCGCTTTATGAGAATGTGACTCGTTTGCTCGCCTCACTTTATCCGTTCCTCGAAGGGCAGCAAGGATGTGAATCCTTTGTCTGTCTAGCCAAGATAAGGAAGGTGTTCATTGTTTTATCTCGTGTAGACAAAACTTTGGTATAATCCAGGTCATAATAATGGAGTGCTGATACTAGGGTGTGAAAGAACCCTCATTTACCGGCATTGGAAGATTTCAGAATAAAGTTCACGAGTATTTGAGCTTCGCCGGTGAATGGGTGACTACACCATGTGGTATAGCAGAAGCTGTAACAAAAAGGTAATGCAACGTAAGTCGATTAGCCAATAGGGATACAGCCGGTATTTTTAACTCGGGCTGTATGCCCGCCATCTTTCTGCAGTACAATGATGTATACACGGGGTTTTGAGGTTCGATGCTGAAAGAAATTGGGCAACAAAATTACCATTTGACACTTGGCTTCATACGCCCGATTTTGACCCCTGCCGAAATAAAAAAATATAGTTCGTACTTACTCACGAATCACAATACGGTTTTATAGCCGTAAAATACCCAAAATATGGACTTATTTCAGATCGGCAATAATAGTAACACTAAGCGAAGCATCAGGAGAGGGTAACAGAAGGCAAACAAGCCACCAAGATATAGAACCAGGAAGCAAGGACAACTCTCACAGACTGTCGCTGAAAATTGTAAACACATACTGCAGAAAAGGCCAATAGGATTATTGACGTAGCCGAGATTTCATTGAGGCTCTTGCCAGGTGAACTAATTGAGATATTTGCTAATCAATTCTTCAACGCCGGGATCTTCGACTATCCTTGCCTTTCTTGTGGCTACTATCTTTTGGTTTGCTGCTGTCGCTTCCGTGTGATTTTGGAGGTTTGTGCTGGGTTGGCTGCTGAGCGGGGCCAAGATCTGGTCGAACAAAAGAATTGGCGTTCAACGTTGGTATCCAGTTCTTCTCCACCATTCCAATAGGAAGCACTCTGACATAATTCTCGACGGTATATATTTTGCTGTAATTAAGGCGAGAGTATGCTCCGAGATCTCCTTCAGGTCCAGTCTGCTCTCTTCTCACGCAAATCGGGTCTTTGGTCAGGTTTTCCTTCACGATAGTACCATCTTCCGCTTCGTAGGAGTGCTCCGCTGGGCACTGGCTACCGGTATATATAATGGCATGTTGGTAACGCTCTGGAAGATTCGCTTTTAAAGTTGCTTGTCCGTTGTAAGTATGGATCGGTCTATATGGGTTGCTTAATTTAGCGTTGGTTGGAGAGGTAAAAGGATAACTTACGAGCAAATACTGTTTCCATAGCCCTCTCGTATCACAACAAACCGACGAATCTCACTGTAAGCTCCCTCGTCTAGCCAAACTGTGCTATAATGCGTGCCATTGCGGCTCCCCCCTTTCTTCAAAGCAGGCTCAGTCCATAGCATCATAAATACGCGGCCAACTCTCCAAAACTTCCTCTGATCCTTTTCGGGAATGACACGATAGCGTGGATCAAGTTGTTCGCGGTCTGCGTTGTCTATGGGTCTTCGAATGGTACCTGATGATTCAATGTAGTTCCTGTCAGGCATCGCAGGTTGACGGTTTAGTGACATGCCACCGAACGTCGAGGTGACTTCGTTGATATCATCGTATGCACGATTACCATAGTTGGAGGCGGTTGAACCGTAGGTGCTTGACAGCCCGGTAGCCGAGCTAAAAGAACCAGAATAAAATGTTGGCTGAGTGGCATAACTGAGAACACCACTGCGACTTCCAACACCTTGGGTAGTTGAGGTGGCAGCAGTGGCAGTAGTATAATAAGAATCGCTAGCTGGTGCTGCACTGGCGTACTTTTGTGGAATTGTTGCAATCGTTGAAGAGATTTGTCCTGTATGGTATTGCGTATTATGGCTGCCTTGGTTTGACGTTGTTGAAATATCGGAAGACGTATTGTCTAAAATAACGCTTTCTCCCGTGCTTCTGGGAGTCTCCTGTTGCTGTTGGCTAGATTGAGATCGATACTCGTATTCTGGCTCCCCCGTGGGACCATATCTCCACGACCAATGACGCTGGAGTTCATCGTCCCATTTCCATTCCGACCAGTCAGTAGACTTATCGACATTCTTGCCTTTACTGCTGCTTGTTTTTGAAGGGCCCATGTTTGGCAGAGTGATGAAATGAGAGGTACATTACATGTGTTCAACTTGGGAGCCTACACAAATGTGTGCTTGATAAATGACTTCGTTGATGTCTTAAGGCGATAAAGGTGCCACGCATCCCGAGATTGACAAAGTCATTCTCATGATGGCTGGCTTTAGCCAGAAAACCTTCAGTAATACTATACATGTTGCAATCACGATGCAGCAAAGTGCCGTCACAAGGAGTTGACGAACAAGTTCGTAATTGGTCGCGGACCCGTAATACACGCACGCAGGAGTCGACGAAAGGGGCTGCTGCGTAGATACCGTCACCACTGGCATGATCCCATGTTCAAGTGGAAAACATAAGGGGGACTCCTGAGACAAGCATTGTCAAGCAATACAGCTATGGAAACTGGCTGCTGCTTTAAACAATAGACTATCCTCACACTTATACGCAAGGTCCTACCTGATTACTGAGTTGCAACAGCCGATATTGAACTACAGTGCTGTAGATCATATTACATATTGCATAGCCCTTATAAAGATCGAATAACCATGTACGTTTTGTTGTGCCAACCTATTCCATATTTTGATCCCTTGAAGATCGGATCATGCCCGACCCAAGAGGTGTTTCCACCTTCGTATTGGGCACTGATACTGATGCCAATTTGGCGGCCACATATGGATTAAGGTCCCAGTGATTCAAGGTAGCACGGTGCTACGTGGCGATGAGTTGTGGGGGTCTCTCGCTAACGATATCCAGACCACGACCAAAGAAAGATCAAGGGACCATTTCGCCGAAGGGAATTCGGAGCCTAGAATCGCCGAAGTGACGTATAAAGAGATCTCTTAACGAGGGACTTTTGATGGTTCCTGGCATTAAGATGGAGACTGAAAATTGTTCTGTGGGAAAACCCATCACGGAGGATCTTCGCTTGGTGGGGTTGATGCAAGGGTTGAAAGCCGTCGCAAAATTGCAACAAGAGATCTCAAATACTCAGATTGCCTTTCGAGAGAAGAGAAGAGAAGCCAGTCTAAAGAGAGAGGCTGTATCGGAAAGTGACGCCAAATCCATGCGGGAAGTTCAACGACTTATTGCAAGCGGAGAATTCCCACAATTTCAAGAGCTCGCAAACGACTGCCAAAAAGCCGGGGATGCCCTGGGCCCGGTAGAAGAAGAGGGGATCATTGCTGAACAACAGTTGGAAGGACAGATATGGACACTCCAACAAGCTGAAAGGCGCCTCTATGAAGAATTTGAGTGTGAGTTCCAAACTGCCGCTCGGTATTCGTCGTCTCCAAGTGTCGAGTCTAGCGACTATGAACTGCCGTCAAATCTTCACAACTATGAAGGCCAATTCGAGAATGATATTATAAGGCATGACGAGAATTTCTCACTCTCACCCTCACTCAAAAATCCAGAATGTGCCTCACCAAGCGGAGAATTTGAGCCACCACGTTCCAAAGGGGCTGTGTATCCTGTGCCAACATTCCCAGGCTTGGAAGAAAAGTTGGAACACGATGTCTGGTCAGACTCAGGAGTGACAGGTATAAAGTGCGGTGAGAGCGACACTGGACAACCCAAAGAATACATCTCGGATTTCTCGCGGAAACATTATAAAAGTGATTTATATATCAACTTGCTCACCGATTTTGCATCGAAGAGAGATAGAATCAACAAATGGCTGGAAAAAAACGCCCTGGAATTTAGGATCGAGGCGACATCAATCTTCAATATACTTGGGGAAGTGCTGCGACTCGAAAGTCAAGAAATGCCATCAAATTGGTCGCAACTAGTGATTGCGTATTGGGAATTAGATGCTGCTGCCGTTTCTCGACGCATGGAAACAAATTCGGATGAAATCTAGCGAAAAAAACTGCTACTACATGTAGGTACTGCAGGTTAGCTACAGATTTCATTCCAGGTTCGATTATTGCGGCAAGAACAGCGGGCTACTAGGGTACCTGGCCTATCTGCGTGGGAGTTATTTGAGTTTTCAACAGTGGCTTCTAGACCTGGACGAATTTCAGTCGACGACAACTTGACACTTCGTTGGATGAAATAGTTGGTGCGTACAAGCACTTCGCAGTAAACAACAGCGTTTCCTGATAAGTAAATGGCTCAGCACGACCTGAGAGGCCTGAAAATTCAGTTTTTCCATGACATAGAATGTCAGATTTGAAAGATCTCATTCCCAGCACCGGTATGGGCCACCCTCCGGCTTTATTTTTTTTGCATCAGTGATGAGCCAAGAAAAGAGCAACATTGCAGTAAAGCGGCCAGCTGCAAGAGCATAAAAAACTAGCCCAAGTCGAAACCCTTTGGGAAATTTCGGCGAAGTTGTAGTCTGTTGCTTAACGAAACGGCATTTCTTTAGAGAAATCAAAAGTTGTACGGCCTTTGACGGATGATTGTAATAGGCTCAAAAAATTGCTGCTGTTCAAATGAGGTCGTATTGCCCGTTCCCTTGCCCCACCTAGCCATGTGCTGCGATTAAAATTTGGTCATTCTGACCAAATGAAAGCGGTCCGAGCCGCCCCCACGCTCGGATGCTACAGAGACTTTCCGGCGTGAAACATATTCTGGCAGTTGGTCGCGCTCTAAAGTAATGTTTACTATGACTGTAAGCGAGCAACAAACATGCGAGCCCATCGCGAAACAAATATGGCAGGAACGACATCAGAAAGCGCCGCTGTCTTGTTCAAGGTATCGGTGTTGAGTGACTGCCATGATAGACACGTCCTATATCGGCGAGCTGATATGTATATGCACACTCCCCTTTTTTTCTTTCATGGATCTGTTTTCCAGGGCTCCCGCGCTAAGACTGGATAAATTGAAGCGCAAGCAGCGCGGCACGTTGGTTGAAAACGGACGATAAGCGTAAGTGGGAGTTATAGTTTCGTCAAAATGCTTGAACGTAGCTAATGGAGCGTTTAAATCACCGAAAATGTTGAATGAAGGCAAATTCATGTACTTGACAAAAGCATACAATTTCAATGACGTGGGCGAACCAAGCATATATCCAGCTATAACTTTCAAACGCAAAACGCATGTTAACATCTCTGGGGGAATTTAAATGAACATTTATAGATGATAATATGATGCCATGTAGTATTGCTCTAAGCAGGTGCCCCTCACATGGTGCATTTTGATCAGGTTTAGTCTTTCATTGTCTCTCTTTCTATGTCGAGAAGAGCTCCATCGACCCCTCACTTTCCGATTTCGGATGCTTGAACTTTTAGCCACAATCCTGCCGCTCCGATGTAACCTGGGGCCATTTTCGGCCCACACAGCATCTTGATACAAATCTCTTGTTGAAGGTGGAGAAAATATACTGAAGAAAGATCGATATGGCGTCTCCGAGTGAAGGTATAAGCACAGGTAAAAGAACAAATATAATTCCTGAAAATCATTGGCATTATTTCATCCGTGATTGGGAAAGATAGAGAGTTTAGTGGGACAGATGTGCCCTTTTGTTTAGTTCTTAACCGCATTGGACTATGGAAGAGAACTTTGGAAGTGGAATTCGTAAGAACTAAACTTATAGTGCCTTAGCTATAATGAATTTATCTATATTTCGGAACTCGAAGGAACTGGACTTGAGAATCCCGGTATTCTTTCACCAGCCTTTTCCAATTACTTTTCAAAGTTTTGTGACGGAAAATAAGAGTCACGTTTGGGTCATGTGACGCAGTGATTTCCACTTCCTGGATTCATACTGAGTAAATAGTCTCGCCTAATTCAAGCTCTGTAGGGCACTTTTAGCACTTTTACTATGTTGAATAGATTGGAAGTCACGTCTGAGTCTTTTCCTGGGATCAAATGCATCTTATGGCTGGTATTGACCAGTCTTTCATTTATATTGACCCGCAACTTCCAGATTAAAGTATTCTGACCTTCCAAAAATAAACGATTTCTGATCTCTTGTGCAGCAGCCATCAGCGTGCGTCCTTCAATTGTTCTGAATACTTTTGGAAAGAACGACTTTTCGCCTAAAGCTTCATCAAAAGCTGACTTGGCTCAAGACAGTTCAAAATGTCTTGACCATCACGTCAATGGATTTACTATCATTCCAGTATGTTCCAATAGAAATTATTTTCAGCTGGGGAGTTCGCTAAACATATAGTGAATTTCCATCGCAAAATCACGAATATTTGAACGTTGAGTTCCAAGGGCCAGTGGCTGCAAAGTGCTGTTTCTCAGCGACTCCCAGGCTTTTCTTTTCGGATACTGCAAAGCTCTTTTCCAATCTCATTAATAACCTTCAGCATTGCAACTCAGCCGGAATGGTTCCCCCACTGATGGACAGAGAAAATTATGGTCAATTCATCATCAGCAAATAGAGGGCTAGTAATAATAACCTATCCAAAGTTACTATATTCGATGTGCGATTCTTGAACAAGTCTCGGACCCAACTCCTAAACATTGCATATATCCTCTCCACTTGTGAATATTTTGGGGTTCTCCTAAATACAGGGCTGCTCGACCCGAAATTCACTTTGGCTTGCCTGTGCATCCTTGAAAGAGTCCAACCAATCACTTCAGAAATTCTGAGACTAAGATCCAATGAGACATTTTGAATACCCTTTTGGTGGTACAAGTAACCAGTAACCTCTGTATGAATAAGATCCGTGAGACCCCAAGTGATTCCCATGTACCAACTGTAGATGATTCGTATCAGTCCTATCCTTGGCTCGCCTGGGTATAAATTCCATAACATTGACCCTCTTGCTTCCACCATCGTTCTTGAACTTCAACATACACTATTCTGCAAATTTAAAACGCACTACCAAATCAGCAAAATGGGCTACGAAGCAACGTATGTCGAGGAGACTGACCGTATCGTCATCAAGGATGGTGATAAGGCTATCAGAGATGATCCAGCGGTCGAATATCAAGCACTAAAAGATAACCTGACACTATGGATCGGGGGCCATCCGGACAAGAAGCCCCCAACAGATCCTAAAGTCATTCGAGAATTAAGACCAACAAGGGGTGGTAAAACCGAGTAACTAGTCCCTTCCAACTATACACTTCATTTCTGACTTAGAATAAAAGGCTACATGCTTTTAGAGACTTCAAGGACGATCCCAGCGAGACATATGACGAAGCGCACTACAAGACCGCTGGAAATGGAACTGTCGAGGATCTCAAAAAGAAACTCAAAGTTGCACAAGACCAATGGAACCAAACCGACAGCTCGGAGAAGCTTATCAAGCAACTTGAGAAGATGAAAAAGAAGGTCAAAATTACAAACGTGATGCTTCTAGGTTCTGGCACTATGGAGGCTAAGCGGCCACATCCCGAAGACCTCGACAAATATCAAAATGTCAGCGAGTGGAAGTCTGAACTGCAGTTGGCAGCTGCCTTTGAAAATTTGCGAGGTTCTAGGAGGAAAGTCGTTCCCCATCTCTTCTGATATGTTTTCAGCGTCCTAACATTTAATTCCAGATGCGGGAAACCCCCTTCCACTTACCGCTCAAGAAATAGACTACTCTAGCCTTGAGAGAGAGTTTTTGGAGGGCCAAAATATAAAAGTTGTGACAGATCCCGATGCCTTTGGTTTGATCAACGACGGAACTCTGGTGTTCTTCACGGACATCCACCACGGTATCAGCTATTGGATTAGCCAAGGGCAACTGCCTGCTGCAATGCTTGCTAGCTTTCCTACGCAACTATCTTTAGGAGAGCTTACGGAACAAATCCAGACTGAAATCTGGGAATTCTGGGAGAGATATGATTGGCATCATATTGGCGGCCCAAGCAGACGTCATAGAATGCGTGCTCCTAGCTCTGATGCATGGGGAAATATGGACTTCCTCTGGACTCGGAAGTTAGAAGCCAGTCAAGTCTGGTGGGGTCCAATAATGGCGGTTATGGTTGTGTATTCTGCTTTTAAGTTTCTCAGTGGTTATTAATCTATCATGGGTAAAGTAAGGTCAACGTAATAGATCAAATCAATATTTTCAAAACACTGACGTGTTATTGTTTTTTTTTTGCATGATCACAATGCTTCCAAAGCTTCTCAGAATGATTCTATTCAAAATGCTCTTAGCCCTTTGTCAATGAGGAAGGAGCTTAATTTCTTGGCGAGACTATGTTTGCCTGTACCTATGTCAACAAGTTATATGAATGACTTAACTCATATCATGCGAGACATGTACCAAGCATTTATTACTTCTAGAGCCTTACATATTGATTCAGAAAGCCAGTGCTGTTTTTATGTTGCTTACAAACCAACGGTGAATCTAGTTTGCTAAGTTGGTTGACACTGTTTGCAACTTCGTTAAGCGAGCCATCCGGAATTTCTTTGATCCGACTATTAGTTTTGGGACTAGTCTTATCAGCTTTAACGCCCTCCTCCTTTGGCCTCTCTACTCTGCAAGGTCTCTATCTGTCGCTCTTCCTTCAAACAGCAGTCTCATCTCAGCAGTCGCTGTATTGAGCGCAGGTCAAAGATGGGCAACACCGTCATCTATAACGAGGAAACAGACTACATCACCGTCAAAGATGGCGATACGACAATCCGCGACGAACCCGCAATGAACTATAAAGGTCTTTCAATCGCTCAACAGTTTCTCTCTGAAATAAACCCCTCAGATAAAGAGATCCCTACAGACTACAAAAGCATACGCGAAGCTCTAGCTCCCAAGAACTCCAAAATTGAGCAAGTACCCCCTCCTTGGCCAACTTCGCGTCACCTAACATTACATAGGTTGAAGGTTTTCAGAAGACTCGTCGCGGTTGATGGGTTGAACATGGCCGATACGGCGGTGGATGTTCAGTTCCAGTTTTGCTCCAACGGTACACTCGATGATCTGGACGCGGTATTTCAGAAAGAGCAAGCTGAGTTCCTCGCAACTCCTGATTGCGCATTCCTCGTCGAGGCATTGGAAAAGATCAAGCAAGATAAAAGATTGAAGATTACAAACGTTATGATCTTGGGAAGTGGTAGTATGGATACACCATTTGTCGATCCTGAACTTCATACTCAACTCCAAATGGACTTCTACAAGGACCTGGACACGGCACGCGCGGCCAAACAAATCGCAGCCACTATCAAAATCAGTGAGGACCTAGGAGGTAACTGTTCACAATCCCCATGAGCTCAATACATGTATCAAGCGAATTCATCTGACTTGTAAACAGAGCCCGGAAACCCCCTTCCCATCAGCGCTCAAGAAATTGTTTACTCGAACCTCGAAAAGGATTTCCTTTCCACCAAACTTGGTATTACCGTCTTGGACGACCCCGACGCCATTTCTCTCATCAACAACGGCACACTCATATTCGCTGCGGGAGCACCATATAACCTCTTCTACTGGATTAGCCAAGGTAAATGGCCAGGCGCGATGATAACCACCAACTTAAATCCCGCACGCTTAGCTCGTCACTTTACACCCGCCATATGTACAGAGATGTCCTGGATGTGGGGACATTACGACGGCTTTTTTATTTCTAATCGAGTTTACATTGAAGAAGGTGGGAATGTTACACCAGTGGAGAATGCGAGAGGAATGTCAACGTTTTGCGCTTGGGCATATCATGACTTTCTGTGGGTCAATCGATATGACTATCGGAATTGGGCGCCTATGGTTGAGTTGGTACAAGCTCTTCACCGTGGGGAGCTCAAGCCCGTTAAGAGTTATTACTTTCCGGATGGGCTCACCAGTGATGATATGCTTCGGCCGGCTGAACAGGACTCGGGGGAACGGGTTCAAGAAGATTCCACTGGACATGCAGAGGAAGTGCCAGATGGACTGATTGAGGAGGACCCAGATAAACTGGCTGGAGATGCTTCTGATGAAGTAGCTAAAATCGATTCAGATATATTGGCTAAAGATGATTTGGGTGGACTTGCTGAAGGAAATCAGAGGGATGTCGATTTTCGCGAGCCTGATTCAAAGTAAATGGCTCAAAGTTCTGGTTGTTTCTGGCTTGCACAAAAAGATCTAAACGAGAGTTGTAGAACGGAGCAAACCCCTTATGTTCTATATCTAGTAGGTAGACAAGCTTAATTGCCATCACCAAATAGATATCTTCTCTCCTGGACACGCTCTTTTGAGAATTCCAGGTGCATTGTTCCAATAACGGCTGCAAGCTCGCATCAGCCACAGTAGTATGTCTATTCATGTCATTGTATGCAGAACATTTCCTACACCTACATTGCTCCCTCCATCAGCGCTTAGCACATTCTTTCATCTCCATCCATAAACAACTGTAGAATACCGCATTATCTTTTAAGCACCACGTCGCTACCAAGGTAGCAAAAGCTAGAGGCGCATTTTTCAGGATGTCAAGGCTAGCAAACAACTCCAAAGGACATACACCCTTTGCCCTCCGGCAGCTGTACACAGCATGCGTTACAAGTATCGCAGACTATGGGTCAACCATCTGGTGGCGAGGCCAAGCACAATTCACTACTCTACTTCAAAAACTCCAAAACCTTGCAATTAGAAAGATATTAGGGGTTTTCAAAACCACTCCTATCCTCCCAATGGAAGTAGAAAGCGCCCTCCCACCTCCTGAAGTTCGCCTCTCCTCCTCCTTGAGGATGTATGCTTTCCGTCTACTCAAACTCTCACCATCACACCCAGTCAACCACGCTATCGACAAGCTCCTCAATACTCAAGCAACTCCAAGGAAAAAGAAGCCGGCAACTCCTCAACTACAGCGAATCCACCGCTCTATTAGCAACTTATACAACCTTGAAGACCTTGAGCAAATACACCACTTCCACTTCCCTCCATGGGAAAGAGAAACTCCTTACAAGGTTCACATTAGCAAACTTTCAAAAGAAGAGGAAACTAAACTTCACCTTCGTCTACTCCAAAACAACTCAGATAACAGCATTTTCATCTACACAGATGCATCCTCTACAACAACAGAAAATAGCCAAGGAATTGGGGTAGGTTTGTCTGTAATCTCACCTCAATCAAACAGAATCCACTACGAAAAGAAAGTCAACATTGGACCAAACAAGCTCGTGTACAACGGTGAAGTTGAAGGGGCCACGCTAGCAGTTGAATACGCTGCCAAGCACGCTAGACCAGGGATCCATTTCCACATCTACTCCGACAACCAGGCAGGTTTACGGAGGCTAAAAACCACATCAGATAACCCAGGGCAAGAGTGCCTAATCAGAGCCATCACAGCTGCCCGGAAGGCAGTTAGCAAGGGAGCTACTACCACAATTCACTGGGTACCAGGTCACACCGACATTCCAGGAAATGAGAAAGCAGACAAGCTTGCAAAAGCCGCCACCACAATCCAACCATCCACTCAACTCACTAGCTTTGCTATGCTAGGAGTCAAGATCAGGCAGACCCAGAACAAAGAATGGCGTCAAAAGCTTACTACACCCCCCCGGCACACAGAACCATCAACTAACCAACACTCGTATCGAAGGGAATTCCCATGGAAGATTCTGTCGAAACCTTGCGTCCCCCAAGGAACAAAAAGAGAGATAGCCAGCGCCTTTTATCAGCTTAAGCTAGGCCATGGATACTTCAAATCATACCTACACAAGCTCGGCCACACTACCAACAACCGCTGTAGATGTGGAAGACAAGAGACTCCCACTCACCTCCTTCTTAGCTGTCCAGAAACTGGGGATGCTAGGAAAGTACTAAAGCGCAACCTCCTCAAGCATCATATTCGAGAGTTCACCATGAAATCCCTCCTTCACACCGCCAAAGGAGTCGAGGCCACACTTGACTTTATTCGAACCACCAAAATCGCCACTAGAATATGGCACACACAACGCGCAACTGAGGATGAGAACGAAGATGAGGACGAGGAAGACGAGGACGAGGAAGACGAGAACGAGGAAGTGTAGCGTACAGAGCGTGAAACGAGGGGGCGTACTACAACATAACAACTTTTCTTTTGTCATAACCAGAAGCCTAGCTGCTTCCAACAACCCAAGAACTGTAATGACCATAACCCCCTTCTCAAACATGTATTTAGTACAGCTTTACTCATCTGTTGGAGGGAAACCCCCAGCCGTGCTACTATAGTCTCAGACTCACACAGCACGTTAAAAGGAATAATAATAATAATAATAACTGTAGAATACCAAAACCGAAACTGCCGTAACCATTTTTCCTTTTGACATCCCTTCAAATATCACCCCCAAACGCTTCCTTGGTCTCATCTTGTCCCTATCCCTCAACTGGTTTATTCATAAATATCGTCCCTGACTAACCCCTTGATAAACCTTCTATCTTTATCAAAATGCTCCTACCAGCTTCCTCACGTCATCTGTCTTCCGTTCACATATTTTCTCGCTTTCTCTTCTGTACCCAAAAGAAAGGCGGAATAAGAGAATAAGGACACAAGCGGAACAAGCGGAACAAGTGACAATCATCGCTTAGCGACATCGTAGAGTGCCGAGTAAGGATGAACTGACTTTTATTGGCAACTTTGGAAAAAAAGGTATAAAGTTTTTCTCGGAGTTTATCTAGAATTCATTCCTTTTTAAAATTACTCATTATCAATTACCAAGGCTCCTCCTTTCCTTATAAAATCTCACAAAGTCATCAACTACTCATGAAATCATACAATCAATAACTTTTCCCAGCCGCAACACCCCAGAAATACCCCACCCAACTCCCCACAACAAGGGCACACAAAGCTCCAAAACACCACTTACTAACCCCTCTATTCCGCTCTCCATTCTCCCCTTCAAAAACGTCCTTCCGTTCATTGATCAAAGTCCCATTCTTAACACGCTGTTTCCTCGTCCATTGCAGCCTTCTCAGATCAATGGATCTAAAAGAGACGGCAATAAGCGCGATAGAGACAGCAACGGAACAGGCGGCTAGGAAGACATATACGATTGTTACACGGGTGTAAGAGTCGCTGTCTGCGTCTTGGAGACGGCCGGTTATTACGCGGACAATGATGTTCATTCTATTCTTGGGTTAGTTGAGAGTCCAGGATTACAGTGGAATAGGGAAAACCAACGCGTTATTCATGGTGATTTTTATGGCGTAGGCACTTCCGAAGATGTTTTGGTCCCAGATTGAGGTTCGGATTGAGTCGATGATTGTGGTGGGGCCGAAGCAAAATGCGAATGCGTAGATACCGAAGGCGGTTGAGGTTCCTGCTAGAGAGGTGGTCCAGTTCACAAGGCACATTGCTGTGAAGACTCCTGCTCCGCAGAAGGCAACTATTTCAAATCTTATCAGAAACAAAACTTTCACTGACACTGGAGACTAATAAAGTATCGAGAACTTACGAATTGAGATTCGATTTCCATAGAGATCAATGAATATACCAAGTAGAGGTACAATGAAGAACCCTAGAAATGTTAGTTACTTAAATAGACATAGAGTCAATAGAAGAGATAAACATACCACCATACTGCATCAAACTAGTATACCATCCCGCCGTCACATTGCTAATTCCTAGTCTCATCTCTGCTAACTCCGTCGCGTTCTGGGAAAACACGACGGCAGTCGACGTCTCAAAGAGGGAAAACAACATGACAACCCAAAACACCCACGGTAACTCCAAAATCGCTTTGAAATTCCACCTCTCACTTTTCTCTGTCAACTTCTCACCCGTCGCCGGATCAGCAGTCGGAATAAACTTCTTATTCGCATATCTCGTGAAAAGATAGAACACGCCCGTCATAAGATTCGTGAACACGTTGATGCCCACGGCAGCCCAAAACACATTTGCGAAATTCCCGGTGTTTTTCGAGATAATGTTCGCACTAGATTTCCCCACAAACGCGCCGATCTTGCCAATCCCTAGCTCGAGACCGAGGGTTGATGCGAACCCGTGGTTGGGAGGGAACCAAGAGGAGAAGATCTTGTATTGGGCTATTTGGGTGGAAATGTCACCCAGAGCCTGGATTACTCGACCCACAATCATGAGTTTGTAGGAGAGTGTTTGGGCGGAGGCGGCCACAAGGATGGATCCGATTGTTATGATTATGTTTCCGTAGAGAATTGCTCCTATACATTTGTCAGTGTTTGTTTAGTTTTGTGTGAGGACGGTTCTCACCTGCGCCACCGATTTTGTCTGTTACCAAACCACTTAGAAGCATGAGTACTGTAACCATAAAATCCTCACTTGCGTCCAAGAGAGCAAATTTCGTGTTATTGATCTTCATCTTTCTCTTGATAGTACTTTTCATGGCGCCTGTAATACCACTGCTCCAATGTGATCCGAACCCGATAGCCGAGACCAACAGAATGGAAGTGAGTTTCCACGATAATGGGACTCCAATAACCGCGGGAGGAGAGTTGTCATCGTTGGAAGAGACAGACTCGACACCAACCTCATTCCCGCTTTTCGCGTCGTCAACCACCATCGCTGGCTCCGAACTTTTCTCAGCCATTTTTCAGACGGCGCGAAGAGAAACACAACCCGAGAGAATGGACAAAAGACTTAGATTGAGTACTGAATAGCCAGAACCAAGAAGCATCCCGAAATGGAAATAAAAGCCCTCATATATGCTCCTTAACTCAACCCCTCCCGACCTCGGGGGAATACGGTTGCAAAAGCCCATAGAAGAACCTCTTTACCAAACTCCCATCAAGAACGGGATCCAGGAAAAACATGGCATGTCCTCAAATCAGGGCATAGTGGAGAATACCCAGCTTGGCAACGGTGAGAAAATCTTTATCTTCTAATCTGATAACGGGAGGTGTGGAGCTTAATCTCGGCACGTGGCGGCACTTGAGTGAAAGTCACAGCTTGTCTTCTTGGCCAGTGCAACTCTTATACTTTTTTATGCATGGAAATTTGTGATATGTGATGGTGATGGTGATGGTGAGCGAGAAGCAAGCCGGCATGTACCGTCCGGATTGCGGAGGCTCTTGAGAATGGGGAGATTTTTTCAAATGTTGTGAGGAGTTGTTGGGTACCGAGATGTTGGGCCGGCACAGGAAGAAAAAATGATGTGCAAGAAGCTTTAAATTGACTTTTGAGAGTCTTGGAAACTGTCAACTCACATCATTCTGAAGTCAAATTCATCTCATGCTTATTTTGTAACTCAGGAAACGATGGCTAAGATGACATATCGTCTCAAATTTTGTTCTGATGAAGGATAGGCAGACATCCAGGTCTCAGTATGCAAACATCATAGAGTTACTCAACCCTCTGGAATACCGTTCTTCTTGTCCTCACAGTTATCTTGAGGTTCTCTCATGTATTGGGTCACACTAATATTTTGGTAACAATATACTTCATAGTGATATGTTAGCACGTGTTAGTGGACAATAGAAGATTTATTCTAAGAAAAGTCTATTACAAAAGGTACGACTCGGAATGACACATAGGGCGGACAGGGTGGGTCAGGATCAGGGTTAGTGCTACGAAGTAGATGCTGGGAGAAACCCCAGGTGGGGGCGAGATGGTTTAGACGATGACTTGTGAACCTGACGAAGAGATAGAATAGATAATCCTCAGAGACATTGCGAAAGAATCTTGATGTGCTGACTTGGCGAGATATCACTAGCCCCCTTCCCTCCATCATTTCCTAAATCTTTTTCCCAATCCCAGTCCTCAGCTTACTTTTGGACCGATGACATACCAATAATACTGCTGAAAATAAACACTGCCCTCCTGTCCATTCGTCAACTGCACATTCTCACCACCATACAATCTTTTCAACTCCCCATCGTCTTCTTCGTTTTTTGCAGGGGGGTCCAAGACAGGTACCAAACTCCTCCACTTATTGATCTCCGGCTGCTTCAGGAAATTCGCTCCTATAGTTTTGAAGATGGTAGTCTCCTCTAGCATCTCCAACTCAGTGTAACACGTGAACAACGTCGGATGACTAGCTTGAGCTAGGTGTTTGATAGTAGGCATCCACTCCACTCTATCCTCTTGTGAGAAGCCGCTTTGGAACGCCACTGCTAGGTCCGGCTTCTCGTACTGATTTGAGGCGGCGAAATCGTGGTAGGCCGCTTTCCACAACGCGAGGGATGGGGAACATCCTTTGTCAACGCAGATGTCGCAGCAGGCTACCTCCACTGCTTCTCCTTGAGCTTTGTATTTCTCCACGAGGTGCTGTGGGAGGTCAAAACCAACAGCGAAGATTTTCAGGGAGAGGAGAGAGGGCAATTGATGCAAGATTTCCGAGAAGACTGGGAAGAGTTGTGTTTCTTGACCGGAGGCGCCAATCAAATGGAGACTGATGCTTTTGCGGGTTGTGAGATCGGGAAGCACTGCCTCTAGACCTGCAAGGATGGTTAACGGGAGGGCCAGAGAGGTCGTTAGTTTTCTCATCAAACCCAGTGCGGAAATGGGATTGTGGTCTAGCTGTGGGACTAGATCTGTGTATGGAGTGAGAGCGTAGGCTTTGTCAGATATTCTGGTATAATAATCATACCCTAGGATATCGAGAGTAAGCTTATGTCCAACCAAGAGAGCCTAAAGATTTGCGCAGGTGAAGCACTAACATCCTGATGCCGTCGATAGTGGAATATGTTCAGTTCGTGGGATTTGCGTTCTATTGATGACAAAGTTCTCGCCTTCGTGCTGGAGATAATCCACCACGAATCTTTCATCGAATGCCAATTCAGCAAAGAGTCCACATTGCGATTCTGAATGGATTTGCGGGCATGATGTACAGAACGAAGCAACGCTGCATGTGGGACATAGCTTTAGTGACTCGTCTTTCTTGAGATGGAGTGCAGAACGATAGCAGTATTGACATACTGTCTCATACCTATTCAAATGTTAGATGTGTCTTTTCATCAGGTAAAATGAAGAGGAAGGGAAGGGAACATCATAATTGCCCTTTCTTAAGAACATCTCGGAAGACTGAGCTCACTTACATGATCAGGCGCCAGTCGTCGCAATAAGTACCGTCAAACGGCTGATCGTTTATCCTATATTCTTTCACTTCCTCCCACTACAACGTTTCCGCTCCATCAGCAGGAGCGCGATGTCGGATTTCCCGACTCAAATCACCATGAATCACGTACCTTCTCCGCACTATACTCCTCCCAAGTTCTCCCAGGCATAGAGATCTCAGTCGCGCTGGAATTAAATCCCCGCGAGAACTTACAAAATCTCTTATGCCCATCTCCCCAATCATTCTTCTGACACTCCGTAGAGCAGTATGATGCGCGTTTGCAACCTGTACACTTCTTTAAGGAACCGGGATAAAATTCTTTCCAGCATGACATGCAGAGGACGCCTCGGATGGCGAGGATTGGAGTTCCGGCTCCGAGCTTTGTGAAGCCATGGGTTGGAATCGCACGGCTGGAATTTGGGTTCGGGGAAGCCATGTTGGATGATGGCTGTTAGAGAAGATCTTGCCTCACAAACGGACGCGGGGTTTGTTCAATTGCTGTAAGGGCGCATGCTGGCCACTTGAATCCACATCATTCACCTGCATTTTTGAAACCTCACCAATTGTCTGGCCTACAATGAACCCCTAGCCATTGACTCCATTGGCCTTCCATTTGTAGCTTGGATAAGCATATTCAATATTGCGAGGTGCAGGGAGGAAGAATAGTCAAAAGTGGGTTGTCCAATTATTGAGGATATTTGAAGGTGCGAACTCTCCGTTCTACTTTAAAGATCAATAATAAGCGAGCGATTTTTACACCCCTGATGAAACCATAATATCAAATCACATACAGTACTGTACTGTACATAGCAACAAAAAAAAGATCCCAAAGATTTGCCTAAAACTCTTCAGCCCGCTGTTGTTATTCAAAATTGTCTTCGTGCTTTTTCGAGTATATGGGAAGAATGGGGTCATTGATGCACGGGCATGGTACTTTAGACGCGACGCGTTCAAGAATCGCGGGCAATCGTCTCTCGGAGCTTCAACGGCACATTAGGATTGCGCAACACAACGTCGTTCCATCTCCAAGAATACAGCATATTCCTGTCCTCTCCATACATGAATAAGTGGCGGAAACTATCACCGTAGATTCTTTTCAGTCGGTCTAGATTCCCTATTTTTCACCTCGCCACTCTGAAGGCTTCCGTCGCGACTGTCTTGAGATAGCCCCTCATTCTGATGGCAGACCGTGAAGCTTACTTTCAACTTCTTTCCCTTTCACACGGTCAGAAAGATATGTAATAATTGAAGAACTACATATTGAGGCTCTTTAACGGCAGTATCAATGATGGTACGTTTTTCCACCCTGGAAACCTGACATTCTGATAGAGACTCTGGCATGGCAAAGAAATTCCCTACCGCAAGACGACTCCAATTGATTCATGCGTCTCTGCAGCGTCGTCCAAAAAACACTTTTCTCGATTTCGTAACAATTATCGGTTTTAGCGATACCAACACGAGCACTCGAGTCTATATATGAGGTTGCATACCGGAAGCCAATAGCTGCGCTCAGCTTTGAGGTGACTAGATCATAAGGAGGATATCGATATCGAGTTGGCATTTCCATGCACCGCCGCAGACGATAGAGTGGATGAGGATATAATCTATATAGACATAATTGTCGCAATAGAATGGGAGGATTTACCCACACTTTCAATACCGAGTTTCCACAACTCGGTATCGGTATCGCCAATCTATTATATCCATTGCAAATTCAGTAAACAACGTATCGGTATATCGAGCGGCTTCCAATCAAGAACTGCCAACCTCCTTGTTGTGCCAGAGCATGGAGACATTACAAGATAAAAATGAAGTGTGGAGAAACGTTCGATGCTGTAGGAAACGAGCGAAGCTTTGAGATAGCAGTGTATCACACGTTTTGAGGTCGATAGTACTCAGGTTCTCTGTCATGGCATGTGGAACGGGCCAAAGCCCATGGGAACTTGACGTGAAAGAGATTCTGGATGCAAGTCTAAGTCTTCAGAACCACTGATCCGCTTTAGTGGCTGCTTGATTTCTGATTAAGACTCCATTTCCTAAACCCATTGTTCTGTGCTGTGCCCCAGAGTCCGGAGCCATGATTTCCGTAGGGTTGATCTATTCTACCTGAAAAGGAGATCCATAGGTAGTAATGGCTACAGCATTAAAGCCATCATGCGGAGTCGTGTCCAGCAACTCCCGACGTTCTGGGCAACTTACGGGCTGAATAACTTGAGAGTACCCGGTGCTTCAAAGCAACGAATGCCAGCTCATTCTCGGTCTTCCTGGGAGCATTTTACTTTGCATACACTTTCAGCCGTGCTTTTACACTCGCATCTTGTTATTCTGTTATTTAGGGGAAGTGACGACGAGAAAGAAAATGCTGAAACAAGCTTATGAGGCAGGCGTATGTTGAGTAACGTCCATATGCATTGGGGACCAATCACCTTCGCCTACAGGGTTGTTAGTCGTTCCAGATGCGGACAGAAGACTGGATAGCGTTTGTGGGTCGTTGGAGCCAAAATGACTTCGGGTTTACAGGACTAGTCACCAAAGCACAAAATTTGCTGCACGGCAATTGTAGGAGTATTGGCGGTGGAGATTATTATATCTCAGCTCCTCCTAATCGTCCTTCTGCGGCTTCTGTTTTGCCTCTGCTAGAGATCATATATCTCGGAAAGGGCTGCAATCAACCGTTCTTCCTGCAGAAATTTCTCGGGAGCACTAGCACTGTCGATAAGCTCTATTACTTAAAGCCAAGACATCATTTTTCGTAGCTGGGTTACACTTGAGCAATTGGTAATTTTGTTTTTGTTTCTATGAAACAGAAATACACACAAAGCAGTAGATGGGCTAAAGAGCTATCTAGTGATGCTACAACTAATTCTTCTCGATATATAATACCTTTTTACCATGGGTTTTTACTCAGTATCGACAAGGACTTCGATACAGTGCCATTCATTACTACACTCCTTACCTTTTACAATTCCCTATACTGGTGTAATTTGAGATCCACAGCGCCCCTTTTCCGTGTTATTGTCACTTCCGCGACTCTGCAAGCTCTTCATAATTACAAAACGCCAAATTAAGAAACTCCACTTCAATCCACCATGTTTTGGCACTACAAACACTTCGTCATCGCCTCATTGATAGGTGCCGTAACAGCTCATCAGAAATTCCAGCAATTCTGGGTGAACGATGTCAGTCCCGGCTACGAAATCGCTATCCGCATGCCTCCCACAAACAACCCAGTTGTACGTTCTCATTGATCCCTTTCCGCATCTGACAATATAACCAACCTATATTTCCAGACCGACTTAAAAAGCAAAGACTTGGCTTGCAACGTAAACGGTAGCACCATCCCATCAGGCATCACTACCTTCCCCGCTCAGTCCGGCGATAGAATCAAAGTCCAATGGGATATCACCGATCATCCCGGACCTATCCAGCACTTCCTTCTCGGACCGGTCGGGGATGCTGCTATGGCTACGGGTGTGGGTGATTGGTTTAAGATCGATGAGTTTAGTCAAAAGGATGGGAAGTGGGCGGGGGAGATTATGAGGACCACGAATGGGACGTATGAGTTTACGTTGCCAAACGAGTTGGTGGGTGGTGAGTATTTGCTCAGGAGTGAGATGATTGCTTTGCACGGGGCGAAGAAGAAGGGAGGCGGACAGTTGTTAGTTTCCCCTTTTCTGATACTTTCTTTTTTATTAGCAGTTGCTGGGGGTGGAGATTGATGAAAGCTGATCTTTCGAGTAGTTATATGGGCTGTGCACAGTTGAATATTACTGGTACGGAAGCGACGTCTACTTCAACTTGTGGGCCCAAGATTGCGTTCCCGGGTGCGTTTCACGAGGATGATCCGAGTATTCTTATTCCGGATTTCTATTATGGTTTTGATATAAAGACTTATACTGGGCCTGGAGGAGCGGTTGCTACTTGTGGACCTAAATCTGCATCTGCGTCAAGTCCTAGTTCTACTTTGGTCACTTCCGTGGTTGTTTCTACTAGTGCAGTAACTTCATCTTCATCCGGGGCCGTGAAGACTTTGACAAGTGCTTCTAGCAGTGAGGCCGTGAGCGGGAAGAGTGGTATGGGTCTTACTACGTTGGTTACTGTGTCGAGTCCAGCGCCTGCGATGAGTTTCATTGCTGTGCCTCTTGAGAACGAGGAGGAGTGTTAGATGGTGATTGCATGCTTTTTGAAGATGCCGTGCGAAGAATTTCTATTCTTGTATATACTTATATATTCTTTCGTGTAGATATTTCTTTCAAATGGGATTTTAAGTTTTCTTATATTATGGTTGACAATTCGAATATGGAGCTGATTATCATACTTTGTCGATGCAAATCAAGACTTTGTTAGGAAATTCTTGATAAGTTCTGAGGAAGAAAGACGGTATGTTCAAAGCCTCCAAAATAAACTGAGATACAGGAGTTCCATTTTCTAACATTTCTACTGCTACAATTTGGTCCTACCACTTCAACAAGAAGTCAAGTCTTTTCTTCGCTCCCTAACAACAAACCCAACACAACCCCTCACTATCTCCTAATCAAGAACCACCCACCACCCAGACAGAATCTAGCTCCTTTCAAGCACTAAAGGCATAAGCCTGTGGGGAGCGATCCGAGATCTCATCCGCATGCATCTCAAAAGCCGTACATCCACTCGCCGTCGCAAAAGCAGCAGCAAAAACACGATACACATCCTCCTCCCCAGTCGGACAAGCGAGCCAACCCCCTCCTCTGAAACTAATGGATGCATAAATTGCACCCGTCGGTGGGAAGTTTTCTGCGCGAAGAAATCCTTTGTTGAAGGCACCAGTGGGTGCTGGGGCTCCAGGAGCTGTGTACTCGAATTCCCCGGTGGGGAGGACGTATACGAATTGACCGCCGGGTGCTGCCACAGACTGGAAGAAATGATTCAGTTCTTTGGACTAGGTGCAATGGGGACAAGCGTCAGATGGGTTTTGCTTACCAGGTTTCCCCACCCGTTGTTTTGAGAGAAGGCAATGGTTGTTTTGTATGAGAATGTTGCGCATGGGGCTGTGTCGATACAGGTGGTCGTGGGCTCCTTTCCGATGAAGAAACTGCCTTCCGCGGCGTTGATGAGTTTCCCATGGAGAGGTGAACCGGCGAGTTTGACGGTGGGCTGGATCTGGGTTACCCAATCGCTTGTTGGGAGAGGAAAGGTTGGAGGCAGGGCGATGACTGTTGGGGTTGGAAGAGCTTGTGGAGCAGCGGATGCGATGGCGAATAGAGCAACAAAGGTAGCCAGAAGTTTTGAAGGCATGATGAGTATCTTTGCGGGTATTTATAAAGACTGGTCGTTGTATTGTAGATGTTGATTGGGAAGAGAGCGCTGGAATGCTCAGTGAAGATGGAAGAAACAAACTGAAGCCGGAAATATGAAAGTATTTATTTGTTCTCAACCGTGAGTCAACATAAGAGCGGAGGATTGTTGGCACAGTAGAATGCATTAGGCCACAGGAATACATTGAAAGATACGAGCAGACGATATGACCTCTGTGAACGGTCCGCCTCGATAGATTCTACTTTGAGACATATCTCATCAAGCTCGACCTGGAAGGAAGGCCGTAAGCGATGAAACCATAAAATCAATCTCACCATTGAGCCGAATGACCTCGTGATATACGATGAGAGGGGTGAACAATGGAGAGTTTTTTGGTATGCAGCACAGTGAGTTGGGATGAGGTAATTCTCGTATTTATTTGGCTTGCAGGAGAAGCATGGTATGTGACAATTCATCAATGCGGTCTGCAGAGTATTTTCCCATCAAAATGGTATATTTACTATTCTAAGAAATTGAAGTTGATAAGCGAATCTGCAAGTATGATTTAGAATGAGCGAATTGACTTTCGGTGGACTTTCTAAAACTATTCCAGCAAGGCCTCAAGTAGGGATCTTTCTTCACTCTTCAGCAATAACTTATTACATATCATGAAACCTCAAATAAGAGATATTCCATGCCGTATTAGAAGACACCGAGGCCCAGAACTCGCGCATGGGGAGGAAGGGAAGGAAGGGAAGGAAGGGATAGGTTCCCCCCTGAATGTGGCTGCCTAAACGTGGAGCTCGAGGCTTACAGCTGCATCCATGAAATACAACTCTGTCGTATATTTGGCCAAACAAACAAATGTTGCTCTGAATTGTAATGAAATCGTGGTACAGCTGTGTAGATGGACTGAAAAAAAGAATAAATGTATTAGTAGCGTCCGCATACTTGATCACCAACCAGACCCGTATTGTTTAGGCACCAGTCAAAGCAACATTTATTGCTCACAGGTGGTAACATTATGAAGGATTCTAGATGGAAGAGTTTGGTTCTGCTTGAATTGTTTACATGTAGTGGAGGCTTAAATCCAGGATTCCGTTCAGGGGAGAGGAGCATGAGGATGATCACGTGTTCGCTTAATTTCTAGCCGACATTTCAAACTGTTAGCTGTTGCCTAGAATCCTATCAATAATCTTGAAATCCTTGAGACAGCGTGTGCAAATTATTTTCTATGAGTATTCAAAGGTTTTAGTGTACCATGTTTTCTAAGACAACCAACTATAAACCATATACAGTGCAGGCCAGGAATAGAAATCGCCGATCCTTCACTTGGCAATCATCATGCCGTCGCATCCTATACATACAATCTCTCAGTATCAAACTTTCTCACCCCTTCATCCTCGCATGACAAAGCCAACTTTCCAACTTCGAGGTCATGCTGTACATCTCCTAGTATCACTCTCGTATTCTTCAACAATCTAGTTCGTTTGTGACCATCAAGCGTGCTTCCTGAATCAGGTGGTGCCTCCTGGATTTGAAAGTAAGGGTTATCAATTGTTGACGAAGATACATATCCCAGGACGTCTGGAGTGGTGATTTTGAAGCGCAGCCATATGTTCAAAGCGGAACATGCGATAAGGATTATAGATGTGCTTACTAGTATGGCGAAGAAGGCCCAATTACATTTGATGATATCGAAAGGGGTAAATAACAAGGGTGTAGCTGAAGACGCCAAAGTCGCATATTCAGCCCTGGTTGTCCCTAACCGTGCAACTTGCAATGAAGTAAGCAAAAGGGTATTAAAAGCCGTAGTCAGTCTGTTTTCGAAGGTTTTCCGATCTATTTTTGATAGATCGTAAGATGTGGAAGTTTCGGTTTTGCCTTTCCATGCTTTCCCCGTAGCCAAGTACGTTTCTGTGACAGAAGGAACGCTTCCGGTCGCTGGATCAAGCCTTGGCCAAGCAGAAAAGATAACAGGTAGTGCTTTGCGCAAGAATTCGAAACTTGAAATACTAGAAGCGCTCGCGTTGACAAGTGTGCACATGAGAGAGTGACCGTCCCGTGGTTGAGGTGCATCCGGATCTGTCACAACTGGCTGAAACTGGGTCGAAATCAAAGGTAGTTTCCAATCTTGACGTTGCATTGCCGGGAGTCTCGTATTCAGAGAAATGTCACACTCCCATTTAATAAAGTGTGAATCGTCATAGAAAGATCCGAAAGTTATTCTGCTTGGGTTTTTGTCTCTACCAGAATCACTTTCGTTAAACTGCAAGAAGAAGCCATTTTTCGCAAGAAATGAGGGGCCAGACTCCATCGCGTTCGATAGATCTCGAGTAGCAAGATAGTCGGCTATTAGATGCACCTCAACCGCGGGGCATTTGAATTTGAACAAAGACACTGGAAAGGTTACGTTTGACTCAGTTCGAAAAGCGGAAAGACGTATAACTTCAGATGAAAACCTAGGACCATAGACGACGATTCCTTGAAGGGCTGAGAAGTTTGTCTCAGTGACTTCTGAAGACTGGACCCGCCCCAAAAATGGGTCAGCACTGGGCAGCAATGGGAATGAACGACTGTCAAAGGCATTATTTTGGTCGTCCAAGTTCAAGGCGCCTCCATATTCCATTGCCGAAATGTAATTTGTTGATAAGCCATGACAGCGCTTGGTAACCAGAGTTTCCTTAGCCCAGGGACCAGGAATGTTAGTATTCATGACTTCCCATGGGGCATCCGCAGACTCCGTTGTAACATTTTGTGTGTATAGAATACGCAACGATGCCTGGCCGGCTAAGGGTGATGTTGCCCATAGACTCGCAAGCCCTAGATTAAGAAGAATTGAGGCTCGTGAAGTGAAGAGCATCCAGACAGTGCTTGAAAACCCCCCGACTTCCGTAGAGGACTTCCAATGTCTGTTTATTGTTAGCCACCGTTCAGTTTGAAACGAGCACTAGAGATAACGATTATCTTGCAACCATTCTCAACTCTCCATCTACCGAACAGGCGTAAGGTGTTGCCGAGTATTGCAGAGAATAAAGCAGGGAGAAATGTAGGAGCCAATTGCGCTATATCCAGAAGGAAGTAATTGAGATTGCTTGGCACTGGAGCCATCCCCTTCAGGGAACGATCTATAACTTTTCCTTTATTTGTCACAAATTGGTTTCCCGTATGAGAAATAAATGCTGGACCTCCAGGACTGTATCTACCGAGCCAACCAGGATATGTATTATGCACAAACGCTGCAAAAGATGCAAAAGCTGTCGGATTTTAGCTTAGCGATTTTAGGCTTGTGGTGGATGGTAGAGTTACCAAGTGGGAGAGTAGCAATAATGGTCAAAGTGATATGAAGAAGAAGCTCGGCAGCTTTGGACCAATCAACTACTTGTACTGGTTCTTGCCACGGATGCACTGGCCATGCATCGCTTGATCGCGTACTTTTTCGACGCTTCATTGTTCTCATTCAAACGGTTAATGTCAAATGAGTTTGACTAAAACTAAGAATTATGTAGAAATGTGATGACGATCAAAATTACGAAAAAAAACCAGAGGTCTTGCAATATATGCATATTTGACAGTCATGACCCATGCGTTGCGGCTGCGAGGATTTGGGGGCGAAGGATTTCTCAGCCCTGATGCAAAAGTGATGAATTATTTTGGCGGCCAAGTGAATTCGAATATGAGTGGTCGGAAGAAATTCCTAGGGCATTTCACATTAATCAAATGTAAGCCACTACACCGTATGTGGTTGTACAACAAACTCCTCTGTTATTTTACATATCTAGGCTTTGACGGCAGTTGCAAGCTAAGAAATGATTGATCGGCGAGGTGACCTTACTCGTTGTATTCTTGAAATGAGCGAGACTCTTCCAGGAAGCACTAGATTTCATACCTCAACAGCTTTTGTGTAGCTGAAGCAATACCCTCGCTTGTTATCTTGAAAGAATGCTCTGTGAATATATGCCATGTGCTTTGTTAGAGTTATTATACCAATATAGCGAATTACTGAATGGACAAACATATCCAGGCAGTTAGGCGAAGCTCTGTAAATATATTCATTTGTGACTAGAGGGTATACCTCCTTTGGAACCCCTTTGGGAACACAATTGGGACCAACTAAAAGCCAGCGATCACTAGGTTCTACCAGTGTTGTAAATGAGCTGAGTTGAGTTGAGTAGGTGCCACTCCACAACTCAACTCAACTCAACTCAACTCAACTCAGCTAAGAGTACTGGTTAGACCTACTCAACTCAACTCGCCAAGTACTCAAGTGACTCTGAGTACGTACTACTTGAGTAGTAAATAGTACGCCGGACCGAGCCGGGCCGAGCCTCGCCCGGGCGGTCCGACCACTCGAATTATGCCTGCCCTCCCCAGTATACCGTAAAAGCGACGACAAGGTCGTGTATTTAAGTACTAGGAATATGTAATATAGTGCCTAATAGCACAAATAAGGATATAAACGAGGATATTTTTATTACGACAAGATCTTTTGGACCCGGAGAAGTAGTGATGTCCTTACTTTCGAGGTTATCCTTAGCACTTTACCTAAACGATTGTGACCCAAGTTATAAGGATATATCCGAGGGTCCTTGTATTAAGTATCCTTGTATTCAGGTTTATCTGTAATATCGAACAATTATTCGTGTATACGCATCGTCGGTGTTAGCGAAACTTTCTGGCTTTGTAGCCTTTGTTCTAGTGTTTTCATTCCGCTTGTCCTCCGTGCCCCAAATACGCGGCGGATCATTTCTTGGTGCCCTAATAGACAAAACATAGAACAGCTAACGTGGGAAACTCTGGGCGGTGAATGGGTAAGAAACTTCGAAACTAGAGAGGGGAGAAAAAAAGCTACCTAAATTTCCAAAAAGAGAAAAACAAGAACCTTGAAAGGTGTACTGGGAACGAAACAAGAAGGCTATCACTTAATCTATTTAGTCTTTTGGCGTAAGTAAAACAACGCGTAACAAATACTCTAGATAAAGTCTTCGGGTCACTTGAAAATAGGCACAATATCTTGACGGGGCTTTGCCCGAATCGGGGACTAGAAAGGTTAATGTAGAAGTCTTCTAGGCAAGGGGTAAGAAGTTCAATGGTGGTAGAGGCATGTCCAGAAAGGTGCTTATGGTACTGTAGGACGGAGCATACTAGAGGCGGAGGGAATGAGATCACTAATTGATCTTGTATTGCTATGTAGACTCAAATTTGTTCGACTCGAACACTAAATTAACACTGCTAGGTCTGAACATGATATGCATCTCTAGCACGATGTTTAAGGATAGGATATGTTTTTGTTTTTCCACTGAGCTACCCCATCCTGACGTACACATCCCCCGGACTTATTATACTGTAAAGTACCTTGTAGTGCTAAGTTCTATCCACTCACTGCTCTCACTTTGGCACTCACTCCGCGGTCCGACCCTAAGTTCAGCAGATCCAGATTCATTGCAATTGACTTGTCGCATAGAGCAACGCTGTGGCCTTCACCAGCGGACTCAACTTCCCGGTACCACGGATCACGCCGTTCACATTTCTACTTCGGAATCAGCTCCGTCATATCAAAGTGCAGCTTTGGTTTATATAGAAAACCTTCGCTACAGGGTAGGAGTGTAATAGTATGTTTGCATCCTCGGCGTCTTTGTCACTTATTCTAAAGAATCATTGACATGTTCTCCGCAGAGCATAAATGATAAGGACGACACTAGGTGGATTTGAAGTTGAACCGCTTCCTTATACTCCAAGAGTTGCAAAAGAAAAAAGCTGATATAAGCCCTGTCCATCGATTATGTGGTAATCTAAAGATTAATAGGGATACTTTCAGTCGCAAAAGGTTTTGTTCTCGTCGAAATAAGAATAAAAACTTTATCCTTAATAGTGAGTTTGCCTTCGAACCTACTGATAGAATCGGGCCGCATATCATGATAATTTTTGCAAGCATATCCTTATGTTTTCCGCAATTATGAATGAAGTGCATGATGACGGGACTTTTGCAATAATGAAAAGCCTGTCGACGTCTCTACCAAGGTTTTTATGCAAGTGTACTCGAGTACCGAGGAAATGTTAAAAATCTACCGTGACCAAGGGACTATTTTGTGAGCCACTTAGAAAACGGCTTCCTACGGGTCCTAGGGCAGAAAAGTCCAACAATGAGCTCCTGCATGGAGAAAATCTTCTACTTCGTCCCAGGCAAAATAATTGTAAGTTTAAGACTTCTTTACCCTGTTGCCAACCTTAGCCACTCTAGTAAACTTGCATTTATCTCGCTTGGGACGAAGTAGCCACTTAGAGCCCATGGAGTACGAACGACCCTTATTTCGCACCTAGTGCTATTCACTACTCACCCTAGCATTCTCCTCAGAGACGATCTACAACGGCAATCGTAAGTTGCCGCACTCTTCCTTGATACTTTCCCCGGCTTGGTGTGGAGTATGGAGACTACCTCTTTAGAGGTGTTGCACCTTCTTTAAGAGATCTTTCGCATTGAAGTGGCAGGGAGCATAAAGTATGTTAGAATGAAGCGGGAAATAATTCCATGCTGCAAAGAAGTTCCGCACTATCTCTTTTGTTCTATGAAGAGTTTACGGGAGTGGGTGGACTGAACTTGGGACAGGGGAGTGGTTATAGAAGTATGTACAATTAAGCAAATTCCGAGCGTCCTTCGGGACAAGTTGGCGCAGCAGCAATACAGTATCATTCCAATTCACATACTTCGTCCCAGGCGAAATAATTGTAGGTTTGCTAGGGTGGCTAAGGTTGGCAACAGGGTAAAAACCCCTGAAAAACCTACTTCAGTACAATTATTTCGCCTGGGACGAAGTATTTTCTACGGGCTTTATCATCTCAGAAGAACTCAAATTTAATGGCTGTGCATTTGCTAAGGATATCGGATTTCAAATCAGGTATCCAAATCCTTTCGTGATAGCCTTTTATATTGTAGAAAAAAGTATCTCGAACTCGGCGTAAAATAACTTCTAGGTTGATAATCATACATACAGTGGCAAAGTCACGTCAACAAAAGCGTTAGGAAAATCTGGAGACTATCTCCGGATTCAACATGACAATTAAGTCACCCCAAAAACAATGATGAAGATCATGACGTGGTGATATTTTCAGTTGGGATCGGCAGACACCGTCAGCATTAAGGAATCTCCTCTTCTTGTCTTTTCTTGTCTTTTCCCAGAGAAAATGAAAACATCGACAGTATTTGACGCATATTGGCACATCAGTGATCTTCCATAGATAATCTCAGATGGCAAGGGATGCAGAGCTAAAACCTAAAAGGTCTTCAAAGCGCAAGTGAAGGCATCATACACTCAAAAAGTGTCGCGATATCTAAGTTCTGGCAAGGAGGGGTAGTCACGTGGTACTGTCTAAGACAGTCCACAACACCACCATATATCGTTAGCTAGCCACACATACACACTCTTTTAGAACCTATACGAATATATAAAGATTATATTTAGTTAGGCCCAAAGATTTCTGAGCTGTGACATGACGAAGATTTAAGAAGTGGTCATGGCAATTGAAGCTTGACAACCTGCCGCCCACATGGCTAGCTAGCTTGGCTCTGCAGCGGCTCTGGTTCCGAAATTATTTCTCATCAAGGTGCAAGGGGATCATTAACTATGTAGCCACCATTTTTGCACACAGGATATGCTGGTGTACATCTTCCGATGATATGAAAGTAACATGAGGATTTACATGGGAGTATTTTTTTTACCAGCTATGGAGCTATAGAGATATCTCACGTCCGAGCTGTGTTTGTATTCAAACGAAGACAATTATCTCATGCGGCGTTCCTTGGTGTTAGTAGATAAAAAAATGGGCTTGAAGAAATACTGTTTGATGGAAGGGCGAGAGAACAAATTTTCTCCCCCTTAAATTAAACAAAAATTTTTGTCTTTTTGCCTTTTTTTCTTTTTTTCCCCACAATAGTCCTGAAGGAGTTTCTCCCTTGACTTCGATCGGAATTTCCGAACCATGAACAATATAGGACGGCGATATCACTTTAAATCAAGCTCATTCGAATAACCCTCAGCTGTATCGTTGTCGAGCAGCTTAGCACAAGAACCAAAAAAAATCACGGAGAATCTGACAACTACCCGTAAAAACCCCCGACGACATTTTACTTCGTAAGTGGCTGACAAACAAGGAAGCCGACGAGCGGCTTATTTGACGCCCCGTTTGCTTGACCGTCTTGACGGGGAAAACAATGGAGATCGGGCACTGGAAACACCGACCTCCGTTGCGTCGGTAAGAATAGAAAGGATGGCATGGTATCTGGCTTCACGATAATGGTCTGATGACAGTTCAGGTACCAGAGGCTAAAGTAAAGGTACATTGTCCAACCACAACAGATTCAGTTTGAGTGAAACCTTTTCTTTTCTCTCTCTCTCTTTTCCACAAAAGATGGTTTGTCGAGGACGGTGAAAAGGATTATTGGAAGGGCCCGATATCGGATCGAAAATTCGACTCTTATGGTGTTGTATTTCGTACTCGTTTAGGACCATGGGATGAGAATCTCGCTTTGGAATGTGATATGATATTTCTATAAAATGAATGCTTCTAAAACTGGCGATTCATGGCCACGAAAACATCGCTGCGGCAGGAAGCCGCGTATGCTCGATAAATTGAACGTTTCATCACAAGGCTGAAGTAACCTCGGAGCGTTCCAGCTGAAATCGCAGTCGGGGGAATGTGCCAGTATTTCGATGCATTTTTGAATTGGACTGACGATCACGGTGGCCGATCCATGAGAGGTGACACTACTCGGATGACAGTAGCCTCAGGGCCCGAGAAGACGAACACGTTTTATTCCTTCCATCTACCGGGTGGCTTCAAAAGCTTTGGGCACACCTAATCGTTACCTGTCAGAAGGACGATCATAAAATCCTGGTCTGTACCAGTAAGTATGGATCATCAGGGGTTCAGTCGGGGCCGTACGGTTTCGGGTTTAATGTTTTGGTCGATCGTCTGATCTCAAAGTGTTGAAAGCAAGAGGTTTCTCGTAAACCTCTCGCGTGGAATGCCATCCCTCCAACCTCTTGGGATCTATCTTGAACTAGAAAGAGCCGCACGACCCCACCAATTACGCACCAATGAATTATCGTTGGTGAAATCTCAACATATGGATGTGGGGTAGGATGGGGATTAAATATCGAGCCTCGAACATTATTTGCATCATCGTACCTAAACCCCACCAGAAAGCTAAGCTCCAAAAAAGTGTATTTGGCACACCTGATATTGACATCTCAGAAATTCCACCATGGGGTTCTAGACTCGGGAGGCGAAGGCCGAACCAACTCACTGGGAAAGCTACCGCGGGAGAGGTACTCACCTAATGAGTCGAAGTGACAAGACCCTAATGCAAAAGAAATTGTTAGGCCCTCATATAATTCATCCTGCCTCATTGGGAAATATTTTCTTTCGCTAAATTCAAAATTCAGTGTAGATCAAACCTCCGCTATGACGGCGGACGAGATTCTGTTGCTTTCCAATGAAGGGATCCCTTGTGTATAATGATACGAAACTTTCCACCGGACAACCTCGATGTTGCTTGCTGCTTGTTCGTTCAGCCTTGTTTGGCTTTGGGATCCCGGTGATTAGAAAAATTGTTTGGATGATAAAATAGAAACAACAATTGCCAACGCATACGGGTGACAATTTAACACATCTCGGAAACTGATTTGCGTTGTTCCAGAGGATATGATCGGGGTATCCTCTATAGGGAGTGGTCAGAAATTATTCCGTACAGTAAGCACGGTACTACTGTGCTTATTTTGTTGGACAAAAACACCCATTAACCTGCCAAACATATTTGTTTAGGTTATCAGATGCAATATTCCAAGGCGGAATGTTGGTTTTAAATTTTATAAACCTCCGGACTTGGCTGAAAGGGGACATGTTGAGGTCCTGAGGACGTCTCGAGTTATTCAGTCATGATTAACCTCAGGCGATATTTGATTACTAGACGATTAATGAATGAATTATGTTGCAATTGCCAGCGACCTAGGCTACAAAGACGGGATTAGTCCTATTCATGGCATCCGCATACTCATCGAAAGGCTTGTGGCACTCTAACACAACATTAAATCATCTCATTCAGGAAGACTAACTCAGAAAATTACATTATACACAGCCTCGAATTCCTTGAGGTTTGCTTGCCCATGGAGGAGTGATGTTCTTGGTAGTGGCATGCACACGCAAATCCCTGTCTCAGTAGGCATATCGTCATCTACTTTGAAGTACTTAGAAACGATTCGCCCTGTGAGAATCTAGCATGCATGATTATTGTACAACCCGCGGAATCAGACGCAAAAGTGGTATCGAATAGATCCAACCGCCTGCAACTCAACAATCTTACCTTACAACACGAGCAATATCATTGGTCGCACTGCCAGTCCAATTAGCGAGGTCGAGCTGAAATGTTCGTTCGTGTCTTGTTGGGGTAGACAGCTTGTCGGCTACGTGTGCGGCTTGAGGAGGAAAGTTAGTAGTAAAGGTAGGTTTAGCTCCCATTATTGGGATCGAGATGGCGTCCGTCGCGCCAACTCTCCAGATGGAGGGGTATGGAATTGAACAATTTGTGGCATTATCCTCTGGTGGACGGGCTTAAATGAGGGGCGAGCAGCGAGCAGCAAGCTGCATGGGGGTATATAGACAGGGGTGCGGGCGCAAGCGGGCAAGGGGTTGGAAGCGAGGCGAGTGTGTTCGACCGCCGTACAAGCATCAAGTAGAGAGTGAGCGATGGATGCTTCCTTGGCCGGCATCAGCCAAACTGCGAAACCGAAGCTAACAACACTAAATGGGACCACCCAAACAAGAGCTCAACTAGACGGTCTTTCAGGTATGACTCCTCATGATACAGTGAAATTTAATATACAGTCAGCTACCGCTCGAGTTTCTCCGATTCGACGGTTCAAACGGCACATCACGGGTCTCCTAAAAACTCGCCAATCTTTGGAACGATTACTGCATAAGTCTCCATGCCATACATAAATTTGCATATCTGATATATACCTGCCGAGGCCGGACCAGGATGAGTTTGTAAAATAGCTTTCATCATCATTCTGGGGTCCTGAAAAAAGCTCAGCATACGGGGTCCCTAAGGCACAGTGACCCACTCCACCCATCATAGTTCACGACAAGGCTACCACCTCTCGGACATAACTAATATCCCGCATACCCTGGACGGCCACATCATATAATCAACACATAGCCTATCTGTGAAGCTCTTTTATATATGTCTGCCTCGGTCCCACCACGCCTTCTCTTACCATACTCACCCTATTTTCAAATTTTAATACATCACAATGCCTGATTTACCTCCTCCTCCTCCCACCGAAGATATCAAGTCCACAAGGAGAACAAAGCCAACTAAACTATCAAGCCGATCTTCAAAGCGAACAGCTTCCTCCTCACATGATCATGGCCCAGTTTCAGTAGATGGCCGACATAAGAGAGTCTGGAAAGCCTGTGAACGATGCCGCATGAAAAAAACCAAGGTAACTTGAGCTGAAATATCTCAATTCATTGACATAAACTAAATTCGTTTTAGTGTGACGGAGAGTCACCGTGCAAAAGATGTAAAGACGATGGTCTAGTGTGTACAGCTGGAAGCAGAAAAAAGACTGAATTTAAACAATTACCGAGAGGGTATGTCCTATATACATAGAACTTGGACTTTTGTGGGTTGAGCAATACCTAACTAGCTTTGTAGTTATGCGGAAGTGTTGGAGAATACACAATACGCCCTTATTGCCACTGTCCAGAAGTTATATACGATGGTACGGAATAACGAGTCTTGGGAATTGGGGGAACCAGAAATGAACGAACGGGGTCAGCCAGTGATTCATGACATAGCATCCAAGCTTGGATGCATTCGGCCGTCCCCCGATTTACCACATACATTTCCCGAAGGAGCAGAAGATTTTGCAGAATTACAGGCACAGCTTACGGCTGCAAGGGCGGACTTGAATTCGGAAGATACCGCAAGTAGGAAACAGTCACACGATTCGCTATATTCGCCAAACCTCGACCGAACAGAACGAGCGAGTAGTAGTGAAAGTGATCACTCAACGATGTCGAAGGAATATAATCAAATGATGTGGGCTCAAAGACTCGCGGCTGAGAAAGCTGCTGTTACAAAGTCGAATCACAGCCTGACATCGTCCAGCTCCAAACCATTGTCCGTTTCCCGACGAAGTTTCCTCGATGAGGAACATTCTTACCAGGGCCGAACTTCAATTGATGCAACGAAGTCTATACCTTCTCCCATATACACAGATTTCCAAATGGAGTCGCCAATGCTTAGGACTGCGTCGCCTTTCTCACCGTGGTCCGCAGCCGATGAATTTCTTGGCCCCGCTCACAATATCGATCTTACTGGACAATATATGCGTCATCAAACAGGAATGCCTCGATCATCTCCCCTCAAGTCAGGGGGACTTGGGCTACAGCAAGACTTTTTTAAGATGGAATTTAATAACGACGAGCTGAATTTTGCAGACGGGACTATCAGACCTAACATGCTCGATAGTAGTACCGGCTTGGAATTGTTCGATCAGATGGATGTGATGTATAATCCAGAATACCAAGCTCAGCTTGGGATGGTTTAATCATACCAGATGAAAAATTACAGATCTATGTCTTACGTTGGATGAAACCTTTCAGGCGATTTCTTGAGTAAAATGAGGCAGTTAGGAGTTGGTTGGAGTTGGGAGGCACATTTGGGTTTTCACGGCCCACTATTACACGAATTTCTTTGCTTTGATGGTTCTCACCTCATTTCGAGAGCACATCAGACTTGTGCTGTACAATAGACAAGGAATGGGTAATGTGGACAATGGTTCATGAATGGCGTTTTTGGGTGTTACTTCAGCCAAGGCCGTGGCCACAGCTTTGGGTTCTCGGGTTCTTGGAAATTCAAATAAACAATTCACCACACCTCCCTCACCTTGACTGAGCGTTCAAGAACTGGTATTCCGCGGCGTGAGTCTCCCCAAAATTCGCTTGTTTAAGAATCGATATTTGTGTACAATATCGTAAAAAGAACTCTTCGTAAATCGGAGACATGGTCGGCTCCCTCGCCACACCGGCATCGGGCACCTGCTCTTTTCCGCTTTCATTCGCTTACCAACTCTCAGCGGACTTTATGCTCTTGTGACATCAAAGCAGATCAATCAGCTCTGCCACAATCATTAAACCTGCTTCCTAATCACGGCGCAGGCCTAATTCAATTCTTATGAAAGCTTTTATTTTTCAACCCTCTATTACGATGACAAACGAGCTGTGGCTAGACTTTCTTTCATCAAGCTTCACACCACACCCGATAATGGCTGAATCATAAAGCTGCACAGACTCCCACGCGGGTGTAACCCTCCGACTGAGGAACTCCTGCACAGCTGCCAGCCACTTTCCAGATAATCTCCTGGTAGTTCGGTACACGTGTTGGGGTAGGCTTCCAACGTCAGGTTTTGTTGCAGTCACTTTAGAATACGCGTATCGCGCACAATTGACCAATGAATCCCTGGACCAGTTGACCCCCAGTTAGTAAAGGGGTTACTAAACGAACATGCTACTTCATGTCACAGCCCAGGAAGTACGTGGAGCCCGCGTCAGAACCCAGCGATCATCCTTCATATCAGGCTATCAGCAGCGCCTACTCTCCACTTGCATCCCCTACCTTTACTTCCAACATTCGCACACCGAGTTGGGGTAAGGTGCCTGAGGGGATTTCTCTCGGTTCTCGATTAGGATGTTGGTCAATCCCCGATTTGGAATTCAGTGCATCAACCTTTGATTAGGGGGTGTGCTTATTTTCCCTTTCCCCTTTCTTCAATTCGTCATTCTTCTCGAACACGAATACAGAGGTTTCCTCGTAATCGTCCGAAAATATGATTTCTTCGAAAGCGATAAAATCTTAAAAATTCCTCGCATTCGTTAATTCTACCGGTAGCTAGTAACGTTCTACTCTTCGCACTCGTATTCGTATTCGCACGTTTTTCTTGCGATGAACTGGCACCCTTCCACCCGGCTGACCATGAGAATTATTTCGTTCATGAACTTTTGAAAAACCCCATGTGTGATGCAAAATTCCCCTTTCTTTTGAAATCATTCCACAAATGGGAAAGGCTTTTCCAACACAAAAACACGGAGATAGCCTCCGTTGTATCATAGTCTGTCTGACGGAGCTGACATACTTTAAGCTGGCCGACCCCGAAAAGTATTTTCCAAGGGCGGAATTCCGGAGAATAGTTCTCAAATTTGTTTTTCTCAATGATTTTTCTACTTTTATATCTGTCCCTCAAGGTTGTCTCTTCATCCTATCCTTTCCTGCTATCAACAATCTTTCTTCTTCCAATGTTATATATGCGCGATCCAGCTTTGCAGATTTCCATTATTTGTTTGTGGCTTTGCGTTTCTTTCCCTTCAAAATTCATAGATCGTGCCTTCAATGTTCCTGCATATGTCCGTTTCTCGACCGCCCCAGCCCCGCTCGGCTTTTAGAAGCGAGTGCGACAGGTACAGTCAGACCTTCCTTCTATGCATGTTGGCGTAAAGGCGCGCAGATAACGACCCCGTTTCATCCTTTACGTGTTCTTCCCTACGATTTCATGTACACTGTACGTGATGTTTGTTGGCACATTTGGTACTACGTCGATGATATCTTTTTTTCTTGCTTAGATCTAAGCGATACCTAAAAGGGGAAGAAAACCCAGAGTTTTCCCATTTCCCATTTTTCTTCTTTTTCCTCTTCTTTTGCTGCAAGACACATGCCAACAAACTTTAGACGGCGGGAGATAAGCTTCTTAAGGGATGTCTGTCGTTGACTAACTTCGAAATCTGGCCTACTTATCCTATCTCACACAAGCTCCGTCTAGCCAAATACTAGTGTTGCCCCCGAGTGTGCCTAACCTCATTTCGGTTTGGATTAAGCCCAACCTTCCGGTATCAAATCTGTCTCCCGGTGAGATCCCTGGGATAGCACTTGGAAGTAACTGCATCTGTTGATGAGGGATTGCGCAATGAGTGTCAGGCTAGGAACTGCTATGGTTTTGCAGGACGAGCCAAAGCTTTGAATGACGAAATTTCTACAAACTTCTATTACATCATTTGGTAAACTTTCATGGATGTCTCATAGTTTTCTAAACCTTCAACAGAATCGCAATTACGAGTTAGATATCGGGCTAAAGAGGAGCGAGAGTCTATCATATTTCCATTTTCAAGGTATGTTCAATGAGCCTGCAGGAGGCGTGCATTAGAAGAGAAGCTTATTTCATCGAAGCTTTTTAAGACCGCACAGAACGTTGGGACATATTGATTAAAGGGTTTGGCGGCCGATTTTATTTTTGTAACTAACATTTAGTAGTGAAGTGTACATTTAATTAGGTTTCTGAATTGTAGAGAGGTTCTGTTTGCGCCATTTCAGTGATAGTTACTTCGTATAATGGAATAAGGTAGATGGGATTCATGTCCGATACTTAATATCGTCCGAGCTAGTCTGTGTGAATTGTACTCCTGGCGAGTGAGCGGGCCGCATGCCCGAAGCCTGAAAATATTCCACTATTTTGTAAGTATGGAATTATGGTCGATTGAGCACTATTCGACACTAACTTGCGGGAGGCGGATGGTCAAACCTGGAACTACAGGATACTCTGCAGTCTAAAAATCCAGCACGGTGTATCTTTCGGGACTGTGTAACTCGGTGGATAGACAAATGACACTCCGATTCCCAAAACTTCAATGTGGGATAACTTGGGATTTGAGTTCTTGTGATGCATACCAACAAGTTGTAATAGAGTTTTTAGCACGTGTACCGTTTATCGTCCACTGTCTTGTACTGTACTGTGGTACTGACTCAAGCACGAAAGTATCACTAAAACCCATGGCAAAACCTTTCTATTAAAAGATAAGACTTACCTGAACATTTTCGTTAGGCAGCTCACGTCCTCTCGTTCTCGGATCCTAGAGCCGTATTGAAAGGACTAAATCTTTCAAAGGTTGTTAGTCACTGCTCGTAAAATAGCCTTCATCCCCTTCGGTTGCCAAGAGGTATTGAAGCTAGTGCTTGAACGAAGCTTTCCAGGCAGTAGGTAGAATAAAATATGTTTTACTCCTTAACATCACATAAACATAACTCTATAAGAAGTGTTTTCGGTGAGTAAACTGGTAACACCAAAGAAGACCGAGTGATTATCCCTGGATAATTCGGTTCGAAATTACATTCCATTCCAGACCCCCTATATGGAATATTGCTATCAGAATAAAGGACTAACTGGTATAGTGAGTAACTAGCATATTTACTATTTGCTTGATTGTATCTTTGTTTCATCTTAAATCAATAGCAGTCCTTATTAGCTAAAAAGCCGAGTATATATATACATGGATTGATTCTATTTGGGATTGCAGATTCTAGTGTCTTATTCCTTTACAGATCAAAATGCCTCTGGAATATTCCACCTTGGGTTATATCTTAGAATCCCTGGAATCATATTCGAAGTGCCGACCGTTCATTTGAAATTTCGGTGGAATTCAAGTAGCTCAGGGATTTCAATGAGTCATTGATTTACAAAAAGCCTTTCGCGAGAGCGAAATAATTTACTAATTAGTAATTATACATGCCCAGCGACCTAATTTAATCTACCAATTAAGGTTGGTGAAATAAAGAGTCGCATTTTCAAGAATACCTCTGTACGTCGAGTCGATTTAGTACTATTATGAATCTTTCGTAAGCTAGAGATATTTCCTGATAGGGGCAGACCAACTAGACAAATACATGTGATTTTGAAAAGCACTTGCTTTGATTGGCACGAGTTATTTCTAGATAGCCTTGTCATACAGCATGTTCAGGCTATCAAAGTGCTGGACAATTCAGAATTGAAGAGAGTCGTAGGAGTTCCTGTAGAAACGCAAGTGAAGTCACTCAAAGTCTATTTGCCGTTCTCACCCCTGAACATCTTATCTCATATTCATTGGGGTGTTGTGGTAGTTCATAGTATCAGTTGATCAGTTGCTTTTTGTAAACTCAACGCTTTTCTCGCCTAACTACATGTCGTATGAAGCTTGCCTCATCCAGTTTTGGCCCCTTAAATGTCAGCTCCATACCGATTCAATGTGACCAGCAACCGTTCTGTCCACTGCCCCCACCTAAACTGTATAGGGGGATACAGCATCAGCCCAAGCAGTATCTCCTTCCTGAACGTTCTTCTGTTTCATTTGCTCAAAGAACTCCTCAAACTTCTCTTGGTTGATGTGGTTTCTGATAAATTCCTTATGTACAAGTTTCACTCTTTTTTCAATAACGTCCTTGTCACTGTTATCTCTTTCCTCATTCTCATCACCGCTAAGTTTATACTCATCATCGTCAGGGTCGTAGGCAGGTAATGTCTCTTCAATGTGTTCTGCCCAATAGTCGCAGCAGAATAAACAAAGAGCTTCTACTTGTTGTGCTGTGATGGGTTTTTTGTCTTGACGAACAACGAGCACCGTACCGATGATCTTGTCCCACTCAACTAGATTTGCAAAGCCAAAGCCACTGTCATCGGGATCGCAAGCTCGATTGAGGAAGATAGGAGTACAATTGGAGAAGGGGCCGGGTATCTCATGAGATTGTAGCCAGCTCATTCGGAAAAATCCATGCTTGCGAACAAGAAGTGGAATACCCATTTGGAAAGAAATGGAGGTGGGCTTTGTGTCACGGAAAATGGGATGCGTTGATGGGCAAATCCGATGTTCAACGAATGGTGCCTTGCCAAGATACTTTTGGTCTCCTTCGCACGTCACGTTGATTCCAATAACACCATCTTTGCCTTGGTAGTCCTCGAATGCATCATCAAGGGTCCCTGCTTGTCGTGTTTCTGGGCCGGGGCCAAAGATAGGATTGAGTGAATATACGTAGCGTTTGATTTGTTGATTTCAGCTGCGCTGGTATGTCTGCCATACGATTTGAAGAACGCTGATAGAACCCTCAAGTCTGCAGCTTGGAAGTCTTGTGGGTAACATTCTGCAAATGTGGTTCTGTCTCGGCCAATAAGTCGAGATACATAAAGGTCGCCTCGCCAATCGTGGCTCGGCTCGAAGTTGAAGAAACCTTTGACCGATTGGTTTGGGTCAGATCCGTCAAAAAGGAATCCAGGGCGGAAATAAAGTGCCATATCATGATCCAACATGTACTTTTCTTCTCGTGGGTTTTGACTGCGAAGCCACTGAGCAACTAGCACCCGAATTCCCTCCGAGGAATTCGGGATACCGGGGAACAACTCATCATTTGTCTGAAGAGCAGGTATGATTTCATCGCTGAACCACATAAGCTCCGGCGATTTTTGATCTACTGGAAATTTTATGACCAGGTGATGGAGGTGAGTCGGTCGAGGATGAGCACTGGTGAATTGGCAAATCAACGTACAGCAAGACTTGTGATATTGGAAATCTGCCTTTTGACATGACGTTGAGCAGTAATAAGCCGTCTTACAATCCGGGCATCTGGCGGTGGCTTTCTTGTTGCATAAAGCACAATAGTGTGTATCCTAGAACAGAAGTGTTACCTTGGTGGAAACAGGAAATTTGGATCACTATTGTGTCTCACCGGATCCCATTCTGGAGAACCGAAATGTGGTGGCTGACTGACAGACATTTTCCCGGCGATATGTTGCAGTTCTGTTTTTCAGGTTTGAAGAACTAAAGGTAGGTCTGATACCTACATATCAAAGATCAGCACAGAAGCCTTACTTGATGATCGATTGAAGATGAAGTTGCAAGACGAAAGATAACACTCACCCAATAATCTGAGATACGCAGGCATTCAACGAGACGCTGATCATACCAGAGGAAAGAGATTGGCTTCAGTGCTAACAAGCTCAAGGATTTGGGAGTTTGGGTTGATGTGTTGTGGGGTTGTATAGTTGAAGAAGTGAAGGATTGAAAGAGGAGGCAGGCTGGATATATAGTCAGGCGACGGTGCCAGCCACGCTTCTACTGAGGAAGGTGAAGCCCTCTTGGAAAGATGAGTGGGGTGAGAAGGACGAGGTAATAGTATGTGCCTTCAACTCAATCTTCAAATGATCATGTGGATTCTTCTCCAAATAGTGAATTGAGACTTGACCAATATAAGTGAAAGATAAAACCGTGAATTTCTACTCACACTCTACTCAAGCAGTCTCTTTTGCCAATGCTTCTAATATTCTGAGTGAAGAGAATGTGATGTATGGCTACAGAGTCAAGTGTCCAAGGACGGCTTGTTGAGACTCAATCCGTCCTAGATGAGAGCAGAAATAGATAGCAAGAGGCATCTCAAATACGCCAAAATAAAACCCTAACTCATGATCCATCACCTCCACTCCCCTTACCATGGAAGTAGGTGATCCAAGTTGGGCTTCAAAATACCAAGAATAAGCAATGTCAAGTAGTACTTCACGGTGGCTCATATCGTAAATTTGGACTGATATCAGCCACCACAACAATGAACGTCAAATCCACATGTGTCTTCAAAACATATACACCCTTATCTCAAACCATCACTTCTCCATGAATCCATAGGGCACCCAGTAAGCTAATCGTTTCATGCAGAGGCCACGATATTTGGGCACTGAACACCGGGACTGCCGTATGGTTGAAAAATAGAGGATTCCGTGGTCAGCCTAAGAGATTCGGCGCAATCATATGGCATCTGCCTACGTTTCCTCGCTCCAGCAGAACCTTCTGTACTACAAAATCTATGAAACTCCTTCTATATCCCAGATTGAAAAGAGTAACTCCTTGTGCGAGACAACGTTATTATACTACGCCCAAATGTCCACAACTCTCAGCGATATTTACTTATTTCTGAAGACGACACCCCTTTAACTTGCTGATTAACTACGAACTTTCGATATGGAATTATGTAGGCCGACAAAGACACATATTTGTCGCTGATAATTTAGAGTGGCAATTATTCCGCTAAGCAAAGAGGAGAGATCTCCAGTAGGTTAATCGTGTGTTTTGATATCACGTGAGTAGGAACGAGCGACAAGAGAATCATTGACAACTTCATCTTTGCCCTGCCCTTGAGGCAGAACGCGTACGCTAAGGCCATAGGGCTCTCTTTCTTGTTACTTTGCTCGGGGCTGCCCTAGGTGCTCCCATACATGTGCCCCTTTCCCTCATGACCAGGACGAACGTGAATATAAAAACCAGGATCTCTACAAGTTCCTAATATCTAACCCTAAGCCCATCCTAAAAATCTGAAACCGAAAATCCAACTCTCTGCCTCGAACAGAATACTTCCCCCCGCCCAGGGCCCGCAACCGAATTAAATATCGCTCAACCAAATCTACACCACCGTATTCCATCTCACAAGTAGTAAATCTAGAAATGCATGGCTAGATCACAGTTACAATCCTCTGTACCTTCCAGGGCCCCTCAAGCTTTGAATGCCGGAATTCAAGACAGCAAGTACAGTACCTATATAACTCTTCTCATAAATCAATATACTAATTAACCAACTTAATCTGAGATCCGTGACTATTATTCTAGAAAAGGATAGAGCCGACTTCAAGACCCGTTAGCTTATTTCTATTAAAGGATAATGTTTTCAGGAGAATCGAGATTCATGAGCATACAAAACTTAATAGTTAGGAGATATTATTTTGGAGGAAGAGTATGAATACGACAATGATAAATAATCAAACCAACAAACCGAAAACTCCAAACTGAAGTTTCCCACACTTTTCGTTCGGATGATACCCCTTCTATACATCACATCCTTAAATTCTCCCACCGCAACAACAATTAATGGGCAACCCTTAGTCAGGAGAAGTAGGAGAAGAAGAGGAAGGAAGGAAGGAGGAGGACCAAGCTTTCATAAGTCTAACACTCCTTTGCCAGAAGCTGATAGAGGCTAAATCTCACTGATGGTGTGACCTGACCCAAAGTAATGAAGAAAGAGGATGATAAAAAAAAGAACTTTGCATAATATACCGTCGAATACTAAGTTGCTGTCAATCTAGCCTCAACATCCGATTTCAGCATCTCTTCAGGGAGGAAGTGAAGAATAATGTCTGTATTAGGTTGGATTTGACTATCTCCTTATTTACCTCTAGTCATATTACACAATTCCTCTTCTTCAGGTAGACTACCACCAACTCTCTAAATCAGCTGCGGATCGTCCGGTACAAAATGGGAAAGAGTCACGGAATAAACTCTATTACTTAACTATTTTCTTTTCCTTCTTGGTGGCGTGTATCACCTCCAATGAGAAGGCGAGTCATCTCAGTCCTTCCAAAAAAGGCAGAGAAAAATGGTAAAAGGAATTACATAGAGAAAGAGAGTTACTAGCTCGCTTAGTTTTATATATTTCCCCTCTCCCACTCTCTCACTCACACACACACTCACACACACACACGCCATCAATGAATACACTATACATTGTACACCTACACGTATAGTACACGTATCATATAACCCCTCGCTTCTCGCTTATTATTACAGTGTCCCCTTCCCCATCCCCGTCTGTATCCCCATCACATCCATTTCAGTCCCATACTGTATATTTCATAAATACCGCCCCCGCCAGTTCACACCAACAACACCCATACACCCGTAAAAAAGAAAATTTCAACAACACGCTGAGGAAAAGTTTATTGCTTCCTGAATCCGTAAGTGTAAGTGTAAGTGCAATGCCCGCTCTACGCATACAGAGCCTCAACACCGTAAATAACGCCGAAAATGAGGAAGGCAATGGCTCCTCCTAATGTGACTATTCATTCCGTCAGCTTGTTTGTTTGGGCATACCAAAAGAATTTTTGGATGAAAAAAGGTGGTAGAGGGGTAAAGGGGGAAAGGGAAAACCTACCAACTCTCAAACTAACCCTCCCAGCAATAGCTCTTCCCCCAATAACAGCAATCCCCGTACAAACCGCATGGCCACTCACCGCTCCCCCAGTAACCCACCAATAATCCGATCCAGCCGCCATAGCAATCGTCGCAATCTGACTGCGATCACCCCACTCACCCAAGAATGTCATAACAAAAGTCTGGACCCACGCTGGACTTAAAAGCAAAGAAAAGAGATTACTAAGGCCATTCATTAGACTTGTGAAATTACTGCGTCGTGGGGATGGAGATGAGGAGCGGTCGGGACTCGACGAGGGAGATCGTGGAGGAGAAGGGAGTCGGGATCCTGACCTGGATTTACGACTTCCACTGCTAGTATGACGACGATCGCCTAGACCCATTTCCAGGGCATACGGAGAGATGGAGGAGCGTCGGCGGTTTTGTTTACGTGCTAGGTGCTCTTTTTCCTCGAGTTCTTGTTCGACTTCTTGCATTTCTGCCGCGACTCCTTCATCCGGACTCATGGCTAGTCCTTCTTTCAACATTTTACCGCCGAATACCAAGAATAGTCCTGATGCGAGGAAGTGTGTGAATCTCTCTGGGATCAGGGTTGGAACTGCGTGGCCAAGAACGGCCGATAGAACAGTCATAACCATAAGTGCTGCGAATGCTGCGGAAAAAACCAAAATCCTGTCGTGCTTCATGGCCATTAGAGCGGCAATAAGGAATGTCTTGTCCCCAATTTCGGAAAATAGAATCATGGTAAGTGAGAGGATATAAGAATGGAATGGTTGTATGATGCCCTCGGAAGCATCGCCATCGGTTATAGGGAACTCTGAGGCTGGTTTTCCGCCGGGTTTCTTGATCCCGAGGTGATCTTTATCTGCAGACTGTGGAACTGGGTGAGGAGAGCTGTTTTGTTTCGAAGGGAGGTCGTTTGGTTTCTGGGATGGTTAGTCAATTACCTGAATATATACGCAACATTCCTACCTCGAGTCCACCAGGTGCCGACTTATCGTCCGTAGCATCGCCAACTTTGGACTTGGAATCCCCTTTGACTTTCTCCCCCTTGGACTTGTCATGTTCGCTTGGTGGTAATGGAGGTGCTTCCTTGGGCGAATCTGGCTTCTTTTCTATTCTCTCGCCAGTCTGACCTTCTTTTGCTTTACGCGCCTTATCCTTCTCACTGACACCCCCTTCTGTCCCTGTTGTTCCTTTCTTGGGTGGTTTTCGGTGAGGATCATCCATGACGCCGTCATTGACTTCTGGTATTTTCGTGCCATCTGGGTTCACCAACCTTTTCTGCTCCTCCTTCGATTCTATGACCAATTCTGCATCCTCGAACTTAGTCGAAGGCTTCTTGGAGTCCTTGGAATCCTTCTTTGGATCCTTTGCGGTATCGACCCAAGGGCCGCGATGAGGCTTTCCATCCTTGCCATCCACCGGCGCATCCTTGGTACCAATCTCAAATTTCGGTTTGGCATTGAGCTCGCCCAAGGGCGACACGTCGGGTTCCACTTTCGGGTTTGCATTGGAGGGAGTATTTTTGGTGAGGGCGGATTGGATGTTATCTTGGGCGGCCGCTGAGAGGGCGGTGGCCAGCGAAGGTAGGAGGAAGAGAAGAAGAGGCGACGGCTGCCGTCCGCTGAACCTCATTTTGTCGTCGGTGACGGTGCCGGAGATGGAGTTGTCAAAGATGGCGTTTGATGGGGGATGGGGAGGGAGAGGACACCAATTCGATGTTGTCTAGCTGGGCAAGGAGAGGTAAGGCGTAAGCGCCAGCAGCGTGTACTTTTTGCGGGGATTTCCGAGGATGTGGTGGATGTGGATGTGGATGTGGATGTGGATGTGGATGTGGATGTGGATGTGGATGTGGATGTTGATGTTTGCGTGCCGTGTCGTGTCGAGTTGGGCTGGTGTTGACGATGACGGTCGTATGAGGAAAGAGGATGTGCTACGAAGGTATCATGAAGGAAGGTGGTGAAAGAGTAGCAGAGAGCAATTGGGCGCCAGAAGCCCGTTAGAAGATGTTGCAAATGTTTGGGGGGTGCAGGTGAGGGTGAGGGAGAGAAATGTTACGCTACTGTACCATTTCTCCTGAGTCTGATTTCTGAAGCCTACAGTAAGCCTGCTGAAGCCTATGCCTATGCCTAAGAGTACTCTACTCGAGTAGGGCAGTGCAGTGCAGTGGGAGTGGGCCTCGCCTCCGGGTTTCCAGGCATGCCAGGCTTTCATCCCTCAGCTCCACGTTTGGCTGTCTCGCTGCGGATGCACGCCAAAGGGGGCTCTTTGGGGGCTCTTGCTTGCATTTCGGTACCTGCTTGTACATGGCGAGCACTCTATATAAATCAATCCGAGAAAACCCCCCCAAAGCTAATTAAAGACGCCCTTACAACTTTGCCATATAAATTATATGTATATACGAAGTATGGTTATATGTGCACGTCCACCTCACGTCGTCCTGTCCAGACCTCCAGCCTCAGCTTGCTGGGGAAAACCCTAGGTACCCGTGGACCTACCTACCTAGCCGAGTGTCACGAATCACGTGCTAAAGGGCATGCCCTGCGTCATGTGATGAGTTTGTCCAGACGGCGTTCCGACAGGACAGGCACATCAGGATAGTTATAGCAAATAGGGATGCTTAGAGTAGCTAAGCGATCCAAGGATTTCACATGTAGAGGGTCACGTGATATATGCAGGGCGACATGGTCGTTGTCGACTTTGTGACTTAAGGAGAACGAAGGATCTATATAAGACTGGCACGTCTGCCATTAGATAGGAGCTTCGTGCTCAACTTAGTTATCAATCTTATCATATTAGTTTGACATCTTTGATACAAGTAACGAGTTCACTTCCAAGTGAACAACCCGATAGTCTTCTTCTTATCATAGCATACCAACCAGCGAACACCCAGCCAAGTTTAGTTAGCCAGTTTGAGTATTCGTTACACCGAGCTAGCCTGTACTCACGTACCCTGAAAACAGTCTAGCGCTGGCCTGCCACTCACAGACACACGTGACAGCGGCGTCCTTGTCGCGATACGCCGACAGCTCCCAAAGACTATCAAAACAACCAAACGCGTCCACGAAAAACAATTCAATATCCGTACATGGAAGCGTCACTCGACCTCCAGATACCTTCACCATGTCAGGAAGAAGATCTACCCAAGCAACGAGTGTTCAAGCTCCTCCAGCATCCATCCCTAAATCCATCGGCCGCCAGTCGCAAAGCCCCGCGCGAAGGACCACACGAAGCCAAAGTGCGCCAAAGAATAGTCGCACTACGAGACGAGCCACGAGGGAGGCCAGCGTGGAAAGCTATGTGAGCGCTAAGTCCTATCAAAGCCGACGGACGAGAAAGGCAGCTCCCGGCCTGACACACGAGCCTGGTTAGAGAGATCATCCATGCCCACTTCAGACAAAGACTAATTCCCCTTAGAATTGCAAGTGGTTTCAGAGGAAGAACATGTACCTGCCCATAAATACCCGCTAGCACCCACGAGGGAGGACGATCAAGACGAGTACAGTAACGAGTCGACTGCTCTCAACATCCATCAGTCTCCGGGAGCCATGTCCCAAATGTCTGGAACTACGGCCGTTACATCATTTTCCGAAGCTACGGGAAGAGACATGGACCCTGAAGTGGCAGATCAGTTTTCCGAATTCTACAAAGTCTCTTGTAAAATTATCAACCTCCTTGCGCCGCCAAACATGAACGAGAAAAGGTTGGAATCCATATTGAAGGACGTAAAGTTACCATTGTCAAAGACGGCAAAGAAGTTGAAGGAAAACGAAGACATTTGGCAAGCCCTTCGTGACAATTTCCCCAAGGAGGAATATATTACACCGAAAATTGTGTTGCGAGTCTTACTAGGAGGTGATTTTGGTGTTGGCGATTTTCGACCCGATGCTATTATTTACGCAGGAAATCTTGCATATTTGGTAAAGGAATTTGTTGTTAACGAACAGCGGTCCCAGCGTATGGAACAACTACTCCACACAACGGACACATTTTTCCCTGAACCATTTGTCGCAGGATTCGATACGAGTACTACACATGGAAAGTCTCGTTTGGCGGATGATTCTTTTCAAATGGCTCTGGCAGTCCGCACCCAATACGCAATTCTGGAATTAAGGCAATTTTGCGTTAATCACAAGAAGGACACGCCGGAGCGGATACTGGCCAGCATATTTGGCGAGCCAACCGACTTGAAGAATCCCATGCGTGGAGGTCCAGCAAATACACCGGAGCAGAATAAGATAATCACCCATCGAATGAGCGTTTTTAGATCGACCTTTCATCAAGACGAAGATGCTGTGGAGCAAGGCGATCTAGTGGATATTGGTCGGTTGGAAGAATCTTTCCCCTGGTCCAGTTTTCTGTTGGAGTTGGTCCAATGGAGCAGTTCACGATTGAAGGAAATCCAACAGAGCGTCACTAAACAAGGTGGCGAAGATAAAATACAGGAATTACTTTTGAAATTTATTAGGAATAATGACAGTCAGAACAGAGCAAACACACCCCCACGACCTGGACAGCCGGCACTTGGATCACCGGTAAAAGTCAAAAAAGGACAGGGACGTCTCATAGCAGGATTGAAGCGCAAGAGAACCACAGATACTTCGACTGTATCGCTTGACTCGAGACAGCCTGCTCCATCAGGACGAACTACGGTCAACAAGCAAGTCGGGCCCTCTGCAGTACCAGAGCATGAGGCTCGAAGAGAATTCGAAAACCATCAGCCTGGTAATGGAGATGATGATGCCCCTTTTTCGGATTCGGATGATGCTTCGCCATCGGATACGGCAAAAGCAAGCATGGAACATTGGAACTTGAATGTCAGGGAGAAGAACAAGGAGAACTTGCCCGTTACTGAAGCGGGTAGGTCCGTGAAAAAGCGGAGGATGATTGATCCACACCCAGGTGACCACAAAATCACCTGGGAAGAACATTCGCAAGGAAGTTCCAACAGTAGAAGTGAATCCAGGCAAAATTCTCGACGACCCGTAATCGTGGAAAGCGAGGATAGTGAAGACGAGGGCTTCGAACAAGATAAGCGAGCGCCAAATCCTCGGAAAAGAGTTCGCGTACAGCACAGACGAGAGCCGAGTGTAGAAATTGAGCAGGCAACGGCGTCTAATAGTCGTCAGAGGAGTACTGAGCCACAGGCAGCACGACCAAGGGATGAGGATCACGCAGCACGCAGGAGACAAAAGCAAGAGGAAGCCCGGTTACAAGCTAGTGCTCGGGACGGTGATGATGAAGATGATGATGACGATGAGAGCGTCGTAGCTTTCCCAGCCACTGCCGCCATCGCTCGCAAACTCGCAAGGATGAATACTGCTATGGCGAAAGCTGCTCGTCCGGCTGCGGCACGGGGCCGATCATATTGGTCCCCTTCCGATGAACAGGAACTTGTGAGAATGATTGAGAAACATGGGTGTGCATGGAGTGTTATTGAGAGAAAGGCGCGGTTTGACGTGGAACGGAATCAGGTACAGCTTAAGGATAAGGCGAGGAATATGAAGGTCAATTTTATCAAGTATGTTATCCTACCTTTTCCCTCTTCCGCCATTTATCTACCCCCTTTTCTTGTTGTTCTCATTGTACTAACATGAATATTTCCAGGGCGAAAGTGGACCTCCCGTACAATTTCGACCAGGTCACTATTGGGAAGAAGGAACTTGCTATTATTCGGCGGTTCATACCTGAGTATGAAGAGGATTGATTGATGGGGAGTAAGGTTAGTTGAGAAAATTGATACGGGGTGGGTTAAAGGGTGTGATTCTTTTTATTGATTGCGTTGATACCCATTTTTTGATACCGACCTAATCGGGTCATGGTTTATTTTTCTCTAGAGGGCGTTTTCATACCTTGGGATGGATCTTGGGGGGTGTCTAGGGAAGGGATAGGTATGGGTATAGGGCTACTGTTGGAGTATCGAGTATCGAGTAGATTAATTACCTTTTAGGAAGTGTGAGAAGTGAAAAGACCTCGTGTGATGCTAGCGAAATGTCGCTGAGCGTCTGATGATATCTGCTGTTGGCGAAACCTATGGTGTTCATCGCATGACTTTATTGTTGTGACATTTGATCAGATATGGATGTGAGGATGGCAGGTGCTTGGCAGTACTCGAGTACTCGCCAGGGAAGGTAAGAGTCTTGGCCAATGACGATGGTTTACACGGCCCCATGGATGAAGGAACGAACACCCCTCAACCTTCCACGGGTATCATTTCCTACCCATTCACCCATGCGAGGGGTTTCTCCCTCCTGCAAGCAGTCACTACTCCTTCACTACAGAACCGGAACCTGAACCTGTGCACCATCTAGAGATCAACATCAAGTACCATGCATACTTATGCGAGGAGGTGAGGTTAGGTTCTTGCGGTTAAGAACCCCGAATTTGGATTTGGATTCTCGATCCCGAACGTTACGTCAGAACGACACAACATAGCATTTCCCGGGCTGGAAACTTTGAGAGAGGCGGAGAGTTTGAGTGTATGCTCGTGTATGCAGGAGCAGCCGGTCTCTGCACTTTTATCGCCCATCCCATCCCATCACGAATTGCGAAGTAGATTTTTACGAAGTTCCTGCGAGCATTGATTTGGGTTCGGCTTCGGCTTTTGGTGTTGGGGACGGGGATTCCCCTTGGTCTCTATTCTCTCTGGGAGAGTGAGCCACGGCGGGAGTATTGGGGGTTTCCTTGAAGCCACCTTAGGGGGAGAACTGCCCACGGAACGGGATCGCATAACGGTATCCTTGGTTTGGGTTTGGAGGAGGTACTTGGTTAGCTTGTTGGACTGAAGAAGACTGAATGGGGAAGATGGCTGGGGTCTGGCAGAAGGAAAAACTGGTTCGAGGGAAAGATGTGAGCTATGTGGATGGCATGGATGGGAATCAGAAATACGAGAGGTGTTTGCACGAATTGGAGAAAGGATTGCTTGCCCGCGGTGAAGATCCCCGGGATGGAGTGGTGAATGCAAATACAAATGCAGGACTACCAGGGTCGGGATGGGACTGGTATTATAAGGTTGGTTTCTCGGGTTTACTTATTTTCTCTTATTATACATTCTACGAGACTTTGAGGGGGAAATGAGTATTTCCCATACCGTTCTAGATTGAGAATTGGGCAACTAATGCTAATAAGTTACCCACATTGTCGTTCACTCATGTTCGCTGGTGTTAACACTCCTGTCGCTCGTTGCAACTCTTGAGAATCTTGACACTCGCTGATACTCCCGATAGATCATGTATGCTGCTGGTTTACTTCTTCTTTGCTGGTGGTATGGGTTGTCGATGGGGACACCGATGATGGCGAAGAAGAGAATGGAGGTTGAGGGTGTACCCCAATATGTTTTGGATTATGGTATATTATTCAAACCAGCTTCTTGTTGAAAAATATACTGATAATGTATAGCTCCAATGGTTTACCTCGACACAGGAGAAGCCTACTTCCCCTCCGACATTGACTCTCAAATCGACAATACCCATCCCGAAATAAATTACACCACAATCGCTGAAGCCCCTTCGCTCACACCCGACAACCTTTCTTTCCTCAACAACTTTGGTGACTCGGGAAAAGATGTTTATCTAACCTCCAACCTCGACGTCACCACCTCCCCCACCTGGCTCGAAGGAGTTGTCCCAGATGCTGACGGGGAAACCGTCTGCGCAACCAGTACCGCAATAATTGTTGTGGATAAAGGGAATGGCTTAGTCGATGCATTCTACATGTACTTCTACGCCTTCAATAAAGGCAACACGGTTCTAGGCCGAGAACTCGGTAACCATATTGGCGATTGGGAACACAACATGATACGCTTTCAAGATGGGGTGCCGCAGGCTGTGTGGTACAGCCAGCACAGTAATGGACAAGCGTTCACTTATGAGGCTGTGGAAAAGATTGGTATTAGACCCGTTGCCTACTCTGCAAATGGAACACACGCGAATTTCGCAACCATAGGAACGCACGACCATACGATCCCGGGCATAAACCTGCCAACTGGGTTGATCGTGGATACCACGTCGAAAGGAATGCTCTGGGATCCGAGTCTTTCGGCTTATTTTTACAAATATACCATCACACCCCCTACCACTTCCACTGCACCCGTCATACCTTCATTCGACTCTACTACCACCCCTTACATCACACCCGACACCCTCAAAACCCCCGTGACGTCCTCCAGCACCGAAACCACCGAAACCACCGGAAAGTTCGAGGGTCTTTTGGGTGCTCCCGTGTCGATTATGGAGTTCAATGGTAGATGGGGAGATAAACAGTATGCGGAGGGTGATCCCCGACAACCCGAGGCCTTCTTTGGGTTCTGGAAGTTTGTGGATGGACCGACTGGGCCGGCGGATAAGTATTTGGCGAGGAAGGAGGTGTGTCCTGATAATGGGATTCCGTGTATTGTTAGGAATATGCTGGTACCGCTGTGAGGGGATGGATGGGGGTAAGAGTAAGGGTTTCTTGGTATGTGTGGTGTTTGTTGTATGTTGAGCTGGATTGGGTTGGTGAGTGGTGGATAGATGGGCTTGATTCCGTACACACTTAGGGGTTTGGGATGGATGGATGGTGGCATGGATTAGGCGTTTATTGTTTTGGGGGACATGGGGAATGGGATGGAATGGGATTGGTATTAGGATAGGATTGGAACGAGCTCTTCTTCTTCTTTCCCATTTTTTAATCTCTTCTTTTTTGGAGGGTTTCTCATGAATGATTGTTTCGAAGTCGTTCTTCTGATCGCTTTTTGTGGGTTTTCATGGGGATTGGGGATTGGGGATTGGGGAGGAGAGAGGCGGAGAGGTGGAGAGGGGAAATGGGAAATGGGAAATGGGAAATGGGAAATGGGAAATGGGAAATGGGAAATGGGAAATGGGAAATGGGAAATGGGAAAGATGGTATGAGTGTATAAGTTTGGAAGCTTGTGAGTTTGTGGGTGTATGGATTTGGAAGAGAGACAGAGACAGCGACAGGCACAGGGACAGAGGGGTTCGTGGATACAGGTGTATAGATAGATATGGTATATCATATATGGTTATACCGGTAATCTTACCCCATTTTTTTCGTTCTTCTGTTTTTTTTTGGTGTGTATTGATGTGTGTTTATGTGTATGTTCATGTGTATGTTAATGTGTATATGTTAGTGTATACAGTATAGAATAGGAGATTGATAGATTAGTATATACTTAGACGATGGTGTACCCTACGATACGTGGTACTTATTACTCTTATATATAAGTGCTTTCTCTGTACCTAGCTAGGTAGGTAGGTAGGTAGATAGATAGGTATTCTAAGGTGATTTTGGAACTTGATGTACAGTACCTATACTTCTTTCTTCTTTCTATTAATTACCCTTCTTTTCCTTGTCTTGTTTGTTGAGATGTTTTCTTTTGTGGTGTGGTGTGGTGTGGGGATGGGGATGGGGATGGGGGCTAGGGGGAGTGAGAGGGAGAGGGAGATGGAGATGGAGTGTGATTTGTGGTTGGGTGGTTGGGTTGTTGGCTGGTTGGGATATGGGGTATGGGATATAGGTTAGGGGATGTTACTGGTAGTTCTTTTGATAATTAATCCTGAGATTATCGTGTTTTGTTTAAGAAAAGGAATCTACCTTTATAGTATCTATACCTAAACATCAACGCTCAATACATAGAACCATATTCTATGGAATTCCAGGTAGAATAATCAATATGGAATACTTCTAGTAATTACTAATTAGTCTCTAGAGTCTAAAATTCCAGGGGAGGGTTCATGTTGTCGGAAGTTTGGGTTTTGCATTCACTATATTTGTGGATGGTACGGGCCGTATGGCGTAGTAGTATAAACCCATGACAGAGTTGTATAAAACCAGGTGACAGGTGTAGAAACACGTATAGGTTGAGCTACTGTTTTAGTAAAATCGTCGTGAGTCATTTAGCGAATAATCTGTACTTACTCCTCCTAGATCATCACCACTCTAAAGTAGATTCAAGGTCTCGTACTATTCGACCTCGACGAGGTTTGCTTTGTCAAAGTCACATGTGTTTGGAGAAGGGATCATCTTGAATGAAGGATCTTGTACCTTTTTTCGCTACGCTATTGTTTGGACTCTCTATTAACAAGGAAAAGAGAAGATTCAAAAATTGCTCCGATTCGGATTCCTTCTTATCCATGTACTTTACAGGCAAGAAGGAATGTGCTGTAACATAGACCCGCAATACTGTAGAGATGATAAATAGGAGAAATACAATCATCCTAAACCTTACCTTACCTCTCATCTCCTCGCGAAAGACAGTTCTAGAATCTTAGTTATTACCGAAAAAGGTCTGGTATGATAAAAATCATAGTATTAGCTCCGTCCAAATGTTCATAGTATACAGCCACACACATGTGTCTTCCAGCCCCTCCTCTCTTCAGTACTGTGACGGTTCTAACCGTCACCACCATTCGGATCACGTGGTCTCGCTTAGCGACCCACACCAAGTATTTAGATCGAAGCTCTCTCGAGCTCTCCTCTTCTCCTCAGCTTAGAATCTTTGTTTAATTGACAGTTCTACGATTCCATAACCTACACCGTGGGCCTTGCGTACGTGTCGTCACAAGTACACTAGGAATCCATAGTTATTATGCACCATATACTATAGCTATTCACCCAAAAGAAACCCTCTTAAATCGAGATAGACATACTAGAAGTCTGCCCTCCCTTATCCTCATAAACCTCAGAACATTTCATATCCGCACATTCCCCCAAGCGCTTATAAATCACTATCACGATTCCAAAGGCCCAGGAAAGACATTCGACCCAGAGGAAAGAAAACGATCGAGTATCTCACCGTCGGGGAATGTTGCTAATAAGACCTTTTTAAAAGCTAAGTAAGTACTTGACGAGTTAATTAGAGTAACAATTATTACCACTTAAGTTAAGTTGAGTAGGTGCCACCACTCAACTCATCCACTTGGGTAAAATGTAAACCCGTATGTTTTTGCTGTCGATTTCACCATAATTGTCGACATTTCTCTTCATTCAAAAAAAAAACAAAAATGCAAAATTGAATCCCGATACAGGGATGTAATAATCTTCATTCCTGAAGATATGAATCAGAATATTCTTATTACGGGCCTCTTAGTATAAGCGACGACAAGGTCGCAAAATCAGGTACTAAGAATATATATAACATAGTAACTAGTATTACTCAGAAGGGATTAGTACTATACATATGTATATTCCTAAAGTTCCTAGTCGCTACGTTCTAATCTTATACCTTGAACCTATAAATCTTACGAAATTATATAGATGAGGTAGTTAGTTCCAAGAATCTACCATCTTATAAGAAGAAACCATCGGTTCCGACTCGCTAGAAATCTTTCTTCTTACACGTAAATGGCTATAATGCGTGGGTTTTCTCTAAGTAAGGTGAGTTGTAGAAGACTATTCGCTAAGTGGTTTAATAGTGTGTTCTTGCTAGCTTCTACTACTTCGCCCTTACTAATAGCCGAGCATTTTCTCCAACGACGATTTACTACGGTATGAAAGAGGGAAAGAAAGGACCCTAACTGGTATGCTATATAGAAGAACTGGTTGTAGCTAATCAGCTGCTATGGCTTGATGAACCTGAGGTGGGTTTATTGTAGGTTTCATAGATCTTTGGAACTGGTTATTGTCTACTACGGAAGTCTGAGAATTGTAAGAATAAGGGAGATATTTTTACACTGTACTGTAATTTACTAGGTACATACATCAAAGCACAGAAATTTGATCATGGTAGTAGTGGTACACGAAACAATAAACTCATCATTCATTATAAATCATCTCAAAGTTTCAAACTCATCGCTTTTTCTTCTTGTCCACACAAAAGTGTACTGAAGTACCTATGTACATACAGCCATCATATTCACAACTCAACAACCTGAATCGTATTCCCTACATCACTGGTAGTCTGGTAAACAACTGCAGCATTAAGCAACAGGCCTCCATTGCCACCCGCAGGACCAACCATAAGTCTCTGCCAAAGAATACCCTTAATGCCGTACCAAACAATTTTCAACGCGTCAAGCCAGGCAGAACTGGGTATTAGATCTGCGAGTATACCCGTGGTCTTTCGATCCATGAGCCGCTCGTAGGCTTTTTGTCCCTCGTCCCAAAATACTGCTTCGCGCCCATGGCCTGAGTGGATGTGCCCGAAGACGTGCAGTTTAGGTCGGACTTGCCAGATTCTTTCTAGGAGGCCGGCGCAACCGAGGTTGAGATCGCGATGGTAGCGGGGTGGAGAGTGGGTTATTAGGACGTCGGTTGAAAGAGGGATGGAGGTTTCCCAGGAGGGGAGATCGCGTGGGTATTGAAAGCTAGGAATTTGTTAGTATTTCTGTATACCCCGCAAATTTCTTTTAATCGTTTTGGGATTTTAGAAACTCACGCAAAGTCACTTCCCCCACATTGAGGAATATCAGGACTGCCATAGAAGTTAAGTTCTCTCCCGCCTTTGAACTTCAGCGTCAGAGATTCATTCTCCAAATAATGAATGGACTTCAAATCCAACTCCTTCCCGATATCGGTCGCGCGTCGAGACTCGGTATCAAAATAACTATCATGGTTTCCTGCGATAACAATCTTCTCCTTGTGAGGTAATGAGTCCAGCCAGTCTAATTGGGCTTGTATCTCCTCTACTGTTCCTTTATTGGTGAGATCTCCCGCATGGATCAACACGTCACCGTGTGCGACTGGAATTATATTCGAATGGGTGTCTGATATGCAGACTATTCTAATCGTGGGCTTCGATCGGTGGGGCTGAAAGGGTGCCCCGCGGAGGGAGACTAGAAGACTATGTACAAATAGCATCACCGCTCGGAGGGGGGAATCGATGAGTTTATCCATGGCGGTTAGAGGCTGGTAGAGACTCTGGCGCCTCTCCCAAGGGAAGGTTGCCCTCCTCTTCGGTTTCTTTCCCGGTCCGGCCATTTTCCGTCTTTTTCTTTCGAGTTTGCGATTTGGAGATGTTGACTCGGAAGGGGAATTGTGGTTGCGCCCGTCGCAGCGGGTTGATATAGATGCCGGTCAGATGATTGCCCTCGCTGGCAATGTGTCAGGTCGAAGGTTGAGGAATGGCGAACGAGGGGGAAATCATGATGCCGTGCCTTTGTCTGGTAGTGTCAGTTGGCCAACACCATTTGTATCCTGTGATTCGCGATTATTTTACGAGGCGGAGCGCGAAAAAAGAGGCGAAGTGCAGATTCACTGATGCACGACACAGATGTGGAATTGATGCCTCTCAGCCTCGGGTATCTATCCTGAGGCATGAATATCCGAAGATCAGGTTGCTGATAATCCTGGTCCATCTTGGTCTTGGCATAGAGTAGCACAGGGGTAGCTTAAATGGCTGAGATCGACGTCATCCATAGTGGCATTTCCTTGGAGAGCAACGGGAAGCACAACGCCATTGACGGGAGGATATATGTTGATGGAAGACTTCAACTCTTGATTCTTCATCCTTCATGATACTTTTCCTTCTGTGACAGTCTTCCTCACATGCGAAATTAGCAAGTTCTACCAGCAACTTTGACCAACGAAATGGCTACTCTCAGGAACCTCTACGAGCCCAATACCGACTTGGGCAATGCTCTGCATACTAACTTTGAGTATGTTTACAACTCGAAATATAGGAGAAATATTAACAAGTGCCAGTGTCGACTTTGTGATCGATTATCGATTTGCAGGCACAGGTAGGTGCTTTAACTATTTTACCCCTTGAATTATCAAACTAACAATCAATAGATAAAGTACAAGCGGAACGAGAATTCGAGGAACTGATCAAAGCACTAAACAACGTTGGCCTCTCAACCGAAGTTCGAAATGGAGACAACTTCGCGGTCCTAATCTTCGTCAAAATCACCTCGGAAAGACACCTACGAGCTGAAGTATATCGAAGTCGTGTACAAGATTGGCTCTATGGTGTACGTGTCATTGCACCCGACAAGGACATGCAAGCCAGCCTCTCCAGCGAACCCGTAATCGAAGCCGAAAGACTACGACTTGTCTACCTCTTAATCACCAAACCCACAAATGAAGGAGGTGCAGGTATCACACCAAAGAAGGGAAAATGGAAGGCAGTGGAGTCTATCTTTTCCCTGCACGACCATACATTCAATAAGGCATGGATCAAAGACTTGACCTCCAAATATTTCTTGAGTCAGAAGGATCTCACCGAAATCCGCAACAGATTTGGTGAAAAGATCGCATTCTACTTTGCTTTTTTGCAATCTTACTTCCTGTTTTTGACATTTCCGGCTGGATTCGGTTTCTGCTCATGGGTCATACTCGGCCAATTTTCTCCTATATACGCCATAGTCAACGGACTTTGGTGTATTGTCTTTGTTGAATATTGGAAGAAACAAGAAATCGATCTTGCTGTTCAATGGGGTGTCCGTGGTGTTTCAAAAATTCAACACAAGCGTCCAGACTTCAAACACGAGAGTGTAGTACAAGACCCGATTACGGGAGAGGATGTCAAGATATACTCGCCAGTTAAGAGACTTTCAAGACAACTCCTTCAAGTTCCATTCGCTTTAACGGCAGCTTTTATTCTTGGAAGTTTGATTGCATTATGCTTCGGGATTGAGGTTTTCATTTCGGAAGTTTACAGTGGACCCTTTAAGACTTACTTGGTATATTCGCAAACCCAAGACCTAAATTTATTTCTAATTGTCACAGGTCTTCCTTCCAACTGTAATTCTGACTGTGATGATGCCTACCCTGTCAACACTCTTGACTGGATTTGCTGCAAGATTGACCGATCTTGAGAATTATGAGACGGTCGATGGTAAGATACTCATGATTCATTGATTTGACATGTTATCTAACATTATCTAGCCCACGAAAACGCAATGGTTTCCAAAATCTTCGTCCTAAATTTCATCACTTCCTACCTACCAATCTTTCTAACAGCATTCGTCTACGTACCGTTCGCTCAAATCATAGTCCCACATTTGGACATTTTCCAATTAACAGTACGACCATTCGCCGAAAATGAAAAGCAAATGACCACACCAAATGCCAACTTTCAAATCAACCCAGATCGTTTGAAGAAGCAAGTAATCTACTTCACGGTTACAGCTCAGATTGTTGGCTTCGCCTTGGAAATCGTCGTTCCATACATCTCCCGCCGTTTCTTCCGCAAGGTAAAGCAAGTCAAAGCCGAACGAGCAATGTCAAGTGACCTTGCTGGGAATATGACATCCAACAAATCCTCACTAGCAGCCAAACATCCCGACCATCCAGCAGCAGATGACCACCCTGAGGAAGCTGCTTTCCTAGCCAGAGTGAGAAATGAAGCGGAATTGAGTATCTACGATGTGACAGCCGACTTTCGAGAAATGATTGTTCAATTTGGTAACTCTCTACCTCTTTTCTTTTCCAGAAAATCAATGCTAAAAGAAACCCCAAGGATATCTCTCCCTCTTCTCCGTCGTCTGGCCTCTTACAGCTCTCTCCTTCTTGATAAATAACTGGATCGAGCTACGAGGCGACGCCCTAAAAATCGCGCTCGAAACCCAACGTCCGGTTCCTTGGCGCGCGGATTCCATCGGGCCCTGGCTCGATGCCCTTTCCTTCCTCTCTTGGCTAGGAAGCTTGACGGCTGCAGCATTGGTGTATCTTTTCCGCGGGGATGGGTTGGGCCCTAGTGGTAGTCCGTGGGATATCAAGGTCTGGGGATTACTACTGGCAATGTTCTTCTCGGAACATATTTATCTGGGTGTGAGGATGGCGGTTCGTGTTGCGCTTAGCAAAATTGATTCTCCTGGCTTGCAGAAGGAGAGGGGCGAGAGGGTCAAGGTTCGGAAGTATGTGCTTCTTTCGCAATTTCCGTATAGGTCCTCGCATGTCCCTTCCCCTCCCCGTATCCCTCGTCCACTTCTCCTTTCTTCTTATCACAACTGACAATTCGGTCCAGACAATACCTCGAAGAATCTTTCGGCCAGGAAGTAGCGGATAAGGCACTCTCTGGTGGCATCTCGGTGGGTGAGACGATCAATCGGAAGACGCTTGAGGATGAGGCGAGGGAGAGCAGTCTGAGGGGTCACGGGACGCCCGAGGAGATGTTTTGGGCGAGACAGAGGGGGGTGGAGGATTGTGTTGCTGTGGGCAAGGGGTATATTGGAAAGGTATGTTTTTCTTCTATCTTTCTTTTTCCGTGGTGTTAATACAAGGGGAGAATACGGGTTAAGACTAACGTATTTGATAGGCTGCTTCTAGAATGGCGGCAAGCAAGGAGAGCAAGAAGGAACTGTGAGTTTTGTAAGGGTGGATGATCTGGATATGGTATGCCATTGGCTTTTCATTCCTGGGTGTTCCATATCTATTTCTTTCCATCATAAAAACCCTCTGCGGCTTTATTTTTCATTGCAGGCACCGTTCGGGGAGGTAAGCGAGGTTCTAAAAGGGGATTATTTGAGTGGAATTGTGGGTGGTTAGGTTGGGTTTCGTTAGGCAGCGAGGCGTTGTGTTGTCCTCTTAGGATGAAAATCAATTTGGTCTTGCTTCAAGTCTTTGATATTTTTGATGTGGAGAATTGAGGTTTTGTGCATGTTTTGATGGGGTATTGGGGAGTTGGGAGGTTGGTGAGATGGATGTGAAGGATTCATTTAGGAGGACAGATCGAGTGCGTGCAAGGAGCGAGGCTGCTAGTTTCAGGTTGATGGGTGTAAGTACTTTTACTTGGTAAGTGATGATGATTGGTTGAAAGATGCTCTGCGACTCTTGAAGGGATGCATTTGGAAATCAGGTGTGTAGTGTAGAATAGACGGGAATCGAGAGTAATCACAAGGTGCTGAGAAACCTATAACGTATTACGGAAGTCTCTTGGGATATTGAGATAACTACCTAATGTAGGTATATAGAAGGATCATGGGACTTTAAATGAGGATAGGAAGGAAGACCTTTTTCTGGGGCGGATGGGGAATATATCGTTGTAGAGTGAGTTTTGTGGGAACGTAGTGAATTGTTCTTTCTTCGTGAGTACGGACTGGGGGTGTTTAGCCACCTCTGTTTGTATAGACTGCTGGGCTGAAAGTCTGAAAGATGAGCAGAAGGTATATATTTATCTGTTCCATAGATAGATGGATGGATGGGTGCAAGGAATAGGTCGGCTTGTTATGGAGAGATGGTTTATTTGCCAGGAGGGAACGTTTTAGGCTTGTTTTAAGCAGCTTGAGGTTGTCTGTGAAATTCAACTTTTATACACACGGCATGGTAATGCAAAAAGGGCGATGAGAGTGTGCTACTGCTTCGTAGTGAAAGAATAGGGTCCTGAGATGTAGGATAGGAATGAGAGGGAGTGGGGATAGATGAGCTGAGATGGTAGTTGGATGGGAAGGAGAAAGAGAAGAGAATGGATTTTAAATCATCTCGCGGGATGTCAGAGGGATTGGGTTACCTAAATAAGTATAAATGGGGAGACTTCGTAATTTTACAGGCGCGGTGGTGTTTTCCGTGAGGACACGACCATTCGGGTTAGAGTAGGTGTTGAATATGTTTCCTAGCCTTGTGATTTCACTTTCACTTGCTGGTGAAAATCTTCATTCAATTCATTACAGAATTTCGCTTAGCCTGCAGTATCAATATATATCTCATTCGGCTCGAGAACAGTCTTTAACATATCTCTCAGGTCTGAAATTGGTATTTATATTACAACCAGAGCATTTGGCCCAAAGGTCAGTAAGCAGATTCGTCTCATTATAGACGATTATAGGAGTCCGGTTCCAGACTGGAATGTTCCTCAAAGTACCACTCCAGACGGAGAGTAGTTATTTTAGCAGATAGTGACAAGATGACAGTAGGCTTTTAACTCAGGGTAATCTTTGGCGAGACTGAATGGTAGTTTTTGATTCGACGGTAGGGAAGGAATCGACAGCAAGAGAACTACAGCTCTAATTAGGAAGTGAAGGTCTCTTTCGAAGATGGATTTGAGGGATTGATATCTTGTGGTCTTGAGGGTTATATATCCTTTATAGGATGTTGAGTTTCAATGGGGATTTGGTGTGGACGAGGCGGGAAGCCATGGGAAACTTCAGTCGTAGTCTTAGGTAGCGAGGATTATCTTCTAATATTGGGGTAAAGACTGTGTATATACACCTCGGAAGAGTGCTAGAAGGTTGTAGTAGAGCTGATTGGGATGTAATATGGAGATTCAGGAATGATGGCTATGTTTGTGGTAAGTTATATAACTTCTGAGATCGAGTTCTTCGACATGAGTGGATGAATGATAAATACGGGCTGTAACGGAATTCAAGATAAGTAATTCTATTAACTTAAAAGTGTAGCAAGCGACCGAATTTCAGTAATCGCGACTATTATTGCAGAAATTCTAGGGGGCATATTGATTGTGGGGTTCAGATTGCTTTTTATAAACCCGCAATTTTGGTGCGCGGATACAAAATTCTTGCTACAGTAATACATATCATGAGGAATTCATCACCGCGGCCAATTTTTAAGTGGTAATATTGCCTTTTTGGACCGATTCGTTTATATTGGGGAGCATGTGGCTTGGAAAGAGAAGTGTGCTAGACTACCGAATAGTCCTGTGCGTGAACCTAAGCCGCGCGATAACAAGATTCAATATTTCGCAAGAACAGTGCGTGTGGTGATCCACGATTACATATGACTTCGGAAGATTGATAACGATCAAGGATGTGGCACTCTTATCCGGAGGGAGAGGTAAAGGAAGGGAATGGTAAGAATTCGGAGAGTAATGTCCTAAGCTCTTACGTTCTGCTGTCGAATCTAGGGCTGTTGTCGAGTTGGGGAAATACGTTCGCTTAAATTAAAGGAAGGAAATATTTCCATGAATGCGTGTGCATCGTTCTAGAATACATGGAAGAGCAAAATAAGGCAAGAAATTGAACGCAGGGCTTGTTTTATATGAGCTACATCGCAGATCCGATTTCTCTCTGGTATGCAAGGGGTGTGTTTTTGGATGGGCTGAATCTAGTGAAACTTCCTCCTATGTATAAAAGTCTACTTGGAGATTCGCTTGAACTAAGCAAAGTTGTTGATATTATTTTGAGACAAGGGCTCGAGGCAACATTACTTTTCCATTGATCTGAGATTCTGTTCCCATTGAGAAGTCCACTCCACTAGTTGGTGGTAGTCTTTACATATATGTTCCGTGCCAAACCCTCGCACACCAACATTGCCCTCCGGTGCGTTTTCAGCAAGTCCGATTGTAGTATCAGCTGCATACATGACGCTTTGCCGGAGATACTCTAGACAGTGTCATATATGAGTATCTGATATGTGCTCGTCGCGTTTGGAATGTCCCTTCGAATGATTGCCATTGTGCACGGTCCAATACGCATTACAAATATTATCCCAATTTCAACAATTAGAGACTCTTCTTGAATACATTTTGGATCAATCAAGAATCGTGAATGGAAAAGTCTTGTATGGCTTACTAAACAATGGTGCTGATGGGAAACAGCAAAAGCAACAGAATCGGGCCCGACATTCGGGTGCTCAAAGAAACCCCCATGCAGTGGGAAAATGGAATTCCAACGCGAGTTTGTGAGGTTTGAAGGTTCTTCTGCGAAGTTGCATTCACACTCGAAAGTCTTGGGGACTCTATTCACTGTCATTATATTAAGAACGAGCTAAGATATTTGAGCGCGTATCTATAAAAGCTTACATTGTACCAGAGTCTCGTTCTTTCCCAAAGCCAAACGTTTGCCCGCAAAATAACCTCCAATTACTGAGATCATAGACGTCAATAGGAGTAACAAGACAATCAACGTACTCTTTGGTAGCCTTAACGGCCCTGGAAATAAACTCTAACTGCGGTTGGGTGGGATAGAGTCTTTGTCTTGAAGGACGCTATACTGGCCCCTCTTGAAGATAGTACGAAGGTCCATTGTCACATTGAGAGGTTTCGATGAGTTGTTGATTATTACTTTCAAAAGATTTACACCAGTCGGGCAATCAGAACGGAGAAACTGCAAAATTGCGAGAAGCAAGTAAGCAGCCTCCCAAGCAAGGTCTTGGTCATTCGATAGCAGGAGACCTGCTAGACGTCTTTCTTTGGATACTGCAGTGACAATGCTACTGCTTCGTCGGCTGCGTGTGTCTCCATCTACTACCTATAACTCGTACTTCACAAATTCAGTTTTCGCTGCAATGGAAAAACACCTGGCCCTCTCAGCAACAGCCAGAAATGTAGTGCGGTCGCGAAGGAGGGAATCCCAAGAGACATCGTTCGAAGACTCTGCTTCTGAAAGAGCCACACCACATCAGCCCTCGAGACCCACGAGCCACGTCGGGGTAAATGGTATTTGGCATCAAGGTTTCTGGTAACTCCTGAAGTCCTCGATGTCCATCTTACATGGCTACTTCTCCTAGTTATTTCAATATTATGTCTTCGACTGTTTACTTTAGATGTAAATTGCGCCGTTTCTAGGCTACCGTCCGACGTGGTATTTGGAGAGAGTGCGTTTTACTGGTTTTGAGGTATTGATATCTTACTGAACTTGCTACAGTATCTTTTCGGGTTGTCACTTGGGAGCCAGATGATGGTTCACAAACTCAGATCCTATGGATGGGAAGCGCTGGAATAGGAGTACAGAAAACTGGACTCCATGAGACGAAATTCATCCTGCTAAGTCGAATCGACCGGGGCTTTCAATATGTCTTGAATTGCACTGCATTGTTTGCGCAAAGACATGAGCCTGCTTACAAATATCCCTTAGGATTATGGATGAGAATAAAACCATCCTCCAAGCTGGGCATATCTGGTGGTATTCATTTGCGTGAATATTCGCAAGATAGATCGTGGAATACCGATGATGAGGGGTTTGCGCTATCAATGCATCACGAAATCCATTGTCTGGTATATTTGGCCTTCAATATCCAAATTCAGCAAACATTTACTGACTTGTAGAAACTTAGGGCTTGATCAAGAACGTCCTGATCAGGTCTGAGCTAAATAAAACCATTGCTAGTACAGATTCCCAACATATGGATCATTACATCGAACATATACGACAGGTATGTCTGATCTATGGAGACACCTTTTAGCCTTACTTGAACTGAGCTTATTGTGTTGTAGGCGATTATGTCCCACGGTGACCATGCTCTTGAACCGCTAGAACCTGGGAGCACTCGAACTGTAATTGAATCAGATACATGGGACTCGAAGCACTATTGCCGGGATTGGAGCGTGTTTAAGGAGGTAGTTTGGAAGCATACTACGGTCGGCTTCGATAAACATGGATTCGGGTATGATGAGGGACTCGTTTAAGATTGTATGCGTGAGGCTAGTAGACGAGGTCGGCGAAGGACGTATCGAAATCGGCACGATGCAGGCGAGGGGTCGGAAAAGGGCAGGTGGTTTTAGACTGGATTGAGCGGTGGTAAGACGCCAATAAAAGTGGGGCGTATACGAGCGTATCGATTATGAAAAAAAGGGGCTTCTCGGCTATTATTTCTGGGCTTATCCCTGCTTGGCGGTTTTGCGCCGGCCACCATGAGTGTCTGCAGATCCTCGAGAGATCTTATCAAATATCACCTTGGTTGAATGAGAAACGTTTACCACTCGGTAGCTTTACACTGAAATCAATAATACGGACAGATTCTCTCTTCGTTTTTCTCCTATGTCTACGCTTTGTTGGGTTCGGAGTTTTGCACTCTTATTAGTAATTCCATTTCTCACCTGGTCAACAGCAGCGACCAATGGAGGGTGCAGCTTCTCAATAAACCAACGTTCGACAGTGGACAAAAATCAGGCTTTGGATATATCGAACATTCTTGCCATAACTATCCGTAGATATGGAGGGAATATGCCACACAGTGTCGTGAATTCTGCGGAGACGGCATCTGTCTTAGCCTGTACTCAGAACGATGAATTTCTAGTTCCTGTTAGTGTGGGAGCCTCTACGCTTCATCTCAGTATTGATACTGGCTCTTCTGATTTGTGAGTGGATGGCAAACACTTTTGACTTGGACATTGATGATCATAACGCTTGATTAGGTGGGTTTTTTCACCTCAACTACCTCAAGATCAAAGAGGACACGCGGTATACAAGCCTTCAGTATATTCTTCAAAATCATCAACGAATACTTGGGTAATCCGGTATGCAGATAGCAGTTTTGCGAGCGGTGCCGTTTACCATGATGTTGTTGGTATAGATAGGATCTGGGTGATGCAGCAAGTTGTTGAAGTTGCGACCAATTCTTTGATGATAGGGGTCCTTGACTTGGATTTGCCAGACAGTCTTGAGCGGTTATATGTTGAAAGCCAACGAAAAGCAAAGATGCACGAGGAATAATATACGAATCATTTAATCAGACTATATGTACAGCTTTTAGAGTAGAATGTAATTCACACGTGATATAATTGGTTCAATCAGATGAAGTCTCTTTGCGAGAGGCAGCTCGTGCTTTTCGCATACCACTCTCGTACTTTTCAGTACCCCAATCACGAATTGCTGTGAAGTCTCTGCAAGTATGCACTGTATCAAAATCCGGTGTCACCCGTCCCTGTTTTGATGTGTATATTGATGCTGCAATCATAGGCGTTAGGATTAGATCACCATGGCATTGTACGGAGTACATACTGGCGTAGGTGGTTTATGCAGCATTCACCAGCTTTGCACTAGGCGCTTTCGCAACTCCGGTCGATACTGCAGAGGCAGTCCCTGAGGCTCTTTACATTAGGCCCATCCAGTACGCCGAATTCGAAGAAGATTCTTAGGATGTAGGAACCTTCATAATTGCATTGCGCAATATTTGGTTGGATTGTCTCGGTCATAGCGATGGTTTGGTAGGAAAAGGTTGTCTTTGCGGCGGAGGTCTTGGTCAAGGTCATGATGATGGGTTGGTAGGAAGAATCGGATATTGTGGAGGAGGGAAGGGGGTCCTTGGTCAAGGTCTTGGTGAGTGTTTCCCCGTATATACAACTGTTTTCCCCCATCCTAGAACGAATGTTAAGAGCTATGGCATCTCGAAATTTTGGTTTCTGTCCCTGTATGTTTGTCCAAGTGAACGTGTTGTGCATTTATCAAGAGTTAAGTATCACGAGGATGAGTAACTAGGGTGGGGGTAGAGGAGCCGCACTGCAATAATCCCCACAATCCCCACGCCGAAGTTCTTCCTTTACAACCTCAAATAACACATCCACCACCAACACCAATCGACATTACCGGGAAGAGGTTCTGGCAGATTAGTTCTGGGGCGCTACTCGTGAGGAGGCAACACGTTGACACAGGCCTAGAAGCCCGCGGCCTATCGGAGCGAAGTAATAAACCGACCAGAAATGGTGTCTGAGTTTCCTTGAGGACCCTGTACAGTTCTTGTACAGCTGGGAATTAAGTTTTTGCAGTTATTTTGTATTGTTGACTTTTTGTAGGTGTTTGTGCTCATTTGGGACTAGTGCTGTTGCTTGGCAACGACGTGGAGGTGAATAGACTGCTCCTTTGCCTGGTCATATGACTACATACCTAGGCTGGCGTGATCTACCAAGGTAAGTAATTATGAGAGTACAAATCTTTTGACCTAACATGGGGGGATGGCAGTAATATGTACGTAGTAGGTACCTACTTTCTATTAGGCATGGTCAGCTTAATATACAAGGAAAGGTATATTCTAGGCACTCGGTGCGGTTTCTAACCTCGATGTCTGGTTGCTGGCCCACTCTCATACCAAGATGTCCTTGCAGAATTTTCAAGACCTTGCGAAATCACCAGATCAGCGAGTCTTCTTTCAATTCTAAGCTTCTCAGCTTTTCGCCTCCTCTTTAAATGTACCAATTAGATACAGCCTGCCTATCTAACAACACCTTGCTCAGCCACATCTCAACGACATGTGCTCCACCCAGCAGTGTCATAAGACATCATATTCCGAATTAACAAGAGACAAGTGACCTCAATATCGGTGAGGAGGAAGAATGGAATAGGGCAAAGACAATTCGGATTGCTCCGAAATATGTAGTCAGCGACCTTCACCGTCGATTTCATATTTACCTTCGATTTTAAACTCGCGTTTTTGACACCTCCCTTTTCTTCTAGAGCAATCACGATCGAATCCTACAAAGCTCAATCCACCTATCAACGTGCATCGAAATTCTCTGCGTCGTGTATGTACAATTCAGGAATGTTATGTGCAAAGTCCACCACCAATAAGAAGCTCGTGGACGGTATATGAGTTCCTTGATTTGAGTTCGTCTCTTTCGACCACGATCACTTTATATGGCATTCATTTTTCACAGTTGCTGAAATATTTGATCAAGAAGAGTAGCTTTAAGCCCGTGTTTAACGCGCCTCTAATAAATAAGTTACAGTATTGGGTTTTGGTTGTAGTTTTGGAGTTATTGGAACGAGGAATACGCGACGGTTATGTACTCCTATTATGCGAATAACTGGTCGTGATTGTGCAGTGAAATAACATCAAGAATAATATCTAGGAATAAGAAGAAAAGCACCGTAGTGTAAACTAAATGTCAACCTCTCACTTCTGTTTCTCATGACTCTAGTCTACCTACATCGCTTCCTCAGAATCGGTATCAACCCAAGAGACTCTCAACCTTTTCTACCCACAAGGAAGATTTCTTCTATCCGAAAAAGTTCTAAGTTGCTTCCTGAATAAATAGAAAACCACTTATCTAAACAATTCACAAACACCCCAAGGAAAACCTCATAAATTCAAACAAGGGTCATCTACGACAAAGTGAGGATTCACTCGCCTTGAACCCAGTCAGATAACTCATCCTTCAATCCATAAATTTCACTCTTCATTCGTCTTCCAGTATATAAGAACCGCGAAGCTTGGTACCATATTTGAATGGGTTAGACAGTTTTAAGTAGTGGAGGTAATGATACAGATTGCAACATACATTTTCGATCCACGATATAGCAGAGAAACATTACAAGACAATACTCATATTTCGCTGACCACAAATATACAGTACAGACAGTACGCCGAGAGATTTACCGTCAATTTGAAACTCGCCGTCGATTCACAAATTCACATGCCACAGAGAGACAAAGCCTCTTCCACCAGAAGAGGAATGTGATATAAGTCTAAAATCCTTTATCCAAGGGCTCGGGAGATTTGTCTTGCAGAGGCCTTGAGGGATTTGTGTCTTGTGAGACTGATTGATATTGATGTTGGTATGGATGTTGTGGTGTGGAGTTTGAATAGGGGAAACGTGGTTTGAGGTGCCAGGCTGGGCGGTAGGTAGGCCTGGAAAACCATTGTAAATTGCCTGTGCTGAGAAAGTAGTAGAGATGTTTATACTGTGTATTTTGAGATTCTTTCTTGGCTCCATCTGAGAACAAGATTTGTACAGTAACTCCTAACTCAGAGACACCGTATAATACCCAAGGCTAACGTTCTCGAACCATGAGACTAGTATCCCTCAACTTCTACCTAACAAACTTGAACACTCCTACTTGCATAAAGTTAACAAGAGCCGGAATATCTCAAAAGAATATCTATAAATACCCAGACCTTTGAAGTATGTTTTCCTCAACGATAATTGACTACTACACACGAGTAACATGTGGAAGTAGTCTAAGATACATGTCATCATAGGGCCACTTTTCATTGAAAACGGCCACCACATATACTACTTTCCTGCCTCCAAGATATCCCAACTTACAATCCAAGAGACCATAGTTAGAAAACGGGGGGTGAAAGAACCTATGGTCGATTCGAAACCTGCTGTCGAACTGCAACTAAAAGTTCGGAAAAGTCAATTTTGAGGCATGTCATTGTAAGTAGAGACGTATCTTTATCGCATTATAAATTGGGAAGTCAGGTGCATATCAGAGTCTGCTCTAAGCTATCCTTCTTATGTCGAAGAGATACACCCAGAAGAATGTTCTACCCCTTTCGTCCCCATGTGAAAGAGTTGTACTCAATGGCTTCACGGAAGTTATGCAGTACCATGATTCCACGGGATGACAGAGCGCGGCAAATCTCATTTTAATTTCTAATGGATATATGAAAATTCGTACGTGAGAGGGTTCTTCACTCCCTGAATGTTCAACTTGTGACCTTGATATACAGAAGGTGAGTGCTGATATTTTTGTCTGCTTTCTTGTATGGCTTCAACGGATGCGCTCTCGACGTCCCGTAAAGATCCGCGGGAAGTAATCGTTCAACAGCTTTTGAGCCAGATCGTACTCATAACCGCAGCAGGTCTCCAAGATGAACAAATTCTAGTTACTAGAACAATGTAGATAAGAGAAGTCAACAAAATAGATGCTAACCTTCAACAAAAGGAATAGCTCTATAGTAGGGATTGGGTACGTTGAACCTTGGATGAACCGCTATGGAGCAGGCGCAGGTAGCACTAGCCTCACAGCCGGCGCCTCCCAGCATCGGGGTTAGAACGTCCTTCCTTGGCAGCCCTCGCGCATCCGGCGTACAATTAACAATCAGCTTATAACTGGTACAGTACAGACAAGGGGAATCTGAGTGTCTAATTAAAACATAGCATTGCGATGGCCAGAAAGTGGTGTTAACGCAATGTGATTTATGCCCAGTGCTCTGAATGTAAGTTACAGTCATTTCCTTCTTGAAACTATCTCAGTCTTTCAAAAGAAATTTACTAATAGTGCACTTGTAGGTCAAAGTGAAGTAATTCAACCAAGCGCGGGTAAAGCGCGGGAGTAACTATGACTCTCTTGAGGTAGTCAAATGCCTCGTCATCTAATTAGTGACGCTCATGAATGGGTGCACGAGATTGTCGCTATCTGCTATCTAGCGAAACCATAGCCAAGGGACCGGTCTTGGCAGAATCAGCGGGGAAAGAAGAATCCAAATACTTGTATTAGATCCGTCTTTTGCAGAATCTTGTTTATCCCTTCCAGAGTATCGAGGGTGTCAAAAAAACGTGCACGCAAAGTGGAGTAAAATGTCCACTTTTACAACATTTTCTCCGCAAAATGAAATCGTTTGACCAACCAGCCCATGTTTCCAAGCATTTGAGCCTCAATTCGACCCAGTTATCGTATCCACTTTATCCACTCTTCAGTGCACGTTTTTTTGGCACCCTCGATACTCTGGAAGGGATAACATATCTTCACAGCTTTCTTAGCTTTAAGAAAGTCGTTCAATGATACCCATGCCCCATACATCGTACCAATCAAGATCTCGCTGACATGAATTACCTTGCAGTACCGCGCCCTGTAGATCTTCTACGCTTCACTGCTTTCTTAGCCCCAACAAAGGGCCTCCCCAACAAAGGGCCTCGTATCACCACGCAAGCCAATCAACACCCTAAACCAGGTCTCGCTTCTGCACAGCTCATTTCTATGACCGCAAATCCAACATACGCCTTGCACCGTAACTACCAACCTTCTCCTCCACTACCTCTTATAAGGCAAACTTTTATGTAGCCTTTTTTAATTCCCCTGCACAACAAGCAGAAAGAGTCGATCACCGTACAAATTCCCCTGAAGATCTCCCAGCTCTTTTCTGAGACTATTATCGTGTAAGGAGAAGAATGAGGGGATTGTAATTAACAGATTCCGAATTATCCATGAATAGATAGGTATCCATGCCGTTACCAATTATGTGGAAATGCTATAGTCTGCAGCTCCCTCCATATTTTCGTTGCTTTCCTATTCCCATTTCTTACTCAGTTAGTCCAATCCATATTCTCCTGATAGAATCATCAAATCATCTCAAGATCCCCAAGTTCTTGGATATCCATCCATCCTTCCAATTCAAAACGCCAGATTTCCCAAAGAGTGCCCCCAGCGCCATACTTACAATTCCAGATTCCTACACCCCACATGTCGTAAGAAGAAAATCATTACATTCCATTCATACATCCAACATCGACCGGACCTGCTGCGGATACCTCCCCAACGTCGTCCCACTGTTCGTACTCTCACTCCTGTTACTTGTCGTCGTCGTTCTCTGAACCCTAGGAGGCGTCCGTTCGTCTTCTCTCCTCCCTCTCCCAAGTTGATCTGAATACCGCTCCTCGGCTGGACTCGCCATATTATTCTGTGCAGGGAACAAAATCCCCGCCGCCAACCTCACAGCCTCAATGCCTTCCGGACTTCCAAGCGCACCAGAAGTCTCAGGATCCCCAGTTTTGGTTACGGGTATGTTTCCCATTTCGATGTTCCGTTCGAGATTCTTTGTCGTCGCCTGCCCACCACCTATTTCCTTGACATTTCGCGCGATGGTGGCACTTACACTGATGGGTTCATTGTTGCCATGGAGTCGGGACCACCAGTTTGGTTTTTTCACGATTCCAATTTCGAGATCGGCTTCTTGCCCACGAATACGTCGTTGGCGAAGGAGTTCTTTATCTTCGTTTGGATCAAAGTACCCCGCTACCTCGTAAACAAGCAAGATTAAAGTGATGGGTCCCCAGCCGAGGGCGTAGATTGTTGCGAGATGGGGGTCTATGTAGTTTAAAGGTGAGATTGAGAAGCTGAATGCGATGGCTGCTTGATAGCCGATCATTAAAAGGGAGAGGGGGAGGGTAAGGAGGAATTTGGTTGGTATATATTTTAGAAGGCCCATTGCACGATTGGAGAGTCCTCTGTTTCTGGGTTTGTAGTGTTTGATGGAGTGGTGGAGGGAAAATACGGTGGTCATCCATCCACAGAACAAGAGAAAGGCTGCCGCTTTGAAGCGGGTGTCTGTTGCGTGGGGTTCTGCTATAAGGCGTGCTTGATCGATATCTCGCTGCTTCTCAATGGAGCCCCAAGAGCGGGGGACTATCATGAAGAAGGCCTTTATGGTTGTTAGCAAAGCGTTTAGGATTTAGAATGGGATACATACCAGCCACCAAAACAAGTAAAATACCAACGGTAGAAAAAATTCGACCTGGGACCTTCTATCATCCTGTCTCAAAGCAAAGGGATTCGGATCAATCATCTGTCTCTCCTGCCAACTTCCCCAATGCCTCACGCTCTCCCAAACGATTGCCATCGTACATGGCAGCATCAAAAACCAGAAGAAATTCGTAAGAACCATGGGTAACTGAGGAAGATAATATCGATCAACATCCACCCCCGTAATGCCACTAATTGTTGCAAGCGCCGCCGTAACCAACATCCAATACCACTGCCATCGTCGTCCCACAGCTCGAAACCTCTTCTCTGTTGGTAGAAATAAACGTCCGTGTTTCCGTAAGTTAACAAATGTGAACATAATACTCAGAAAGAATATGCTTGCGAATGCGATGCCGATTCCCGAGCGCGCACCCAGGGGTTTGATAGGCGAGTAGCATGATGTGCTATTTAGGAATGTTCCGTTTTGGAGGAGAAAAGGTGTGTAGGGCTTGAAGAGAAGGAAGCATGATGAGCCGTTGGAGATAGTGCCATTCGAGTAGTGTGTGTAGTTCCAGTGGTTCAGGGTTGTTAAGTTCCAATGGATGCCTTCAAATATTGTGTCGCTCGAGTTGTCTCCGGCGGGAAATGGGACGACATCCCGGACGTTGAATAAACCCATGATTGCGACGGGCGAATGACGTCGTGATTACTTTGACTAGAGTATCGATGTTTGGATTATCACTGCCATTGCCATCTAGCGCTGCAATTTGAGGGATTGCTTGCTCTTCTGCTGAAGACAAAAATTCGAAGAGTGTTGTAAGAACATTCGGATGTGGCGGGGAAGCTGTCCGTGAAGCTCCAAGATGCGCTGCGCTGAGCGTCGCTAATTTTGATAGGCTAGGATCACCTCTTACGATCATCGCCCATCTTGATCGCGAGGAATTTGCCTCAAAAAAGGGCCATATGAATTGGTTGACAGCAATTGCTTAAGAACTACTGTTGTTTGTCCAAAGTCAAAAAGGAAACAAATCAATTCCCCATGTTTCAAATTAGCACGATGACGATGTGTTATCGCAGCGCAGCGCAGCATTATTGAATCCCTTGATAACCAGCCACGGACCTTGGGACGAACAGTGCGTCACAAGCACAACACCATGCAGCTTTCCATCTGCACTTGAACGCAATACACCAAGAACCCAGCAACGACCAGAGAAACATGAGACCATAACCCGATATACCAATGGCCCGAAACCATCACAATCACCACCCCAATCACCCATAAAACACAACTATGGCCGAAGAAGAAGAACCCTCGTACATCGACTACGAGACCTTTCTCTCCCCCACATTCTCCCCCTCAACCTTCGCCAACTCCCTCGTGTTAAACACCAACAACCCCACCGATACGCCCCTCGACCTTTCCACCCCCCTCTCCCGCGTCCTCTTCGACGCTCAGGAAATGAATACACACATCGATACTCTGACCACCAAAAGTGCGCTACCTCTCCTCGAACATACGCAAGAACAGACGAAGTCGAGCGCAAGGATAGTCCAAGAGATAGATTCGCAGGTTTCGAGCTTGAATGAAGGGTATAAGAGACTAGAGAAGGAAGTTTTAGTACGCTATGAAACTGCACAGGAAGTTGAGGCTGTAGCGACGAGGTTATGGGAGACTGTGCGACTTGGTCGATCGGTGGGGAGATGTCTACAGATTGGACGACAGCTAGAGATACAGCTCGCCGAAGTTGCGACGACAGGGAATCCGGTCAAGAATCCAGGGCAGAAAGAAGATCATAGGGCGTTAATCCGGTGCTCAAATTCATTGCTCAGTCTGCGCGAGCTGTTCTCCAAAACGGGACCAGGTGAAGAAGGACATGGATTGGAAAAGGTGGATGTAATTCTCACGCTGCAATCCCAAATGTCAACGCCCGCCGAACGAACAGTAACTACAAAATGCCAACAAATCATCCGAGAATTCTCGATGAGTTCCCTTTCCACGGGGACGAATACAACAACCTATGCCCAAACAGCCGACACAAAAGCACGTACAACATCCGCCCTAATATCACTTTACTTGCTATCACCTGTCTCATCAATACCCAAACACTCCAAGAGTCAACAAAAATGGGAACCAGACCTTCTCATCCAAACCCTACAATCCTACCTCCACACATCCCTAACTTCATCCCTCTCCTCCCTCACCCGCTCTCTGTCCACCCTCCCAACACTAGACCGTACCCTCCTCGAAATCTCAGCTAGATGCCAAAACATAATCGCCCTCTCTACCCTCCTCTCTACCATTTCTCCCCCTGTCCACCCTCTACTTCCCTCTACCATCACCCCGCCGCAAAACTTGCTCCAACCCCTATTGCAAAGTCTGGAAACAGGGTCGTTACCAAGTTACTTCTGGCGTACTCTAGCTGGAGGGTTGGGTACGAAGGTTATGGAGATTATGAACAAGGGGGGTGTGAGTGCGAGGACGTTGAGGAGTAATAAGAATGGAGTGAGGGATGCTATCCGGGAGTGTGTTGTTAGAGGGGGTAGGAAGCCGGGCGGGGGGGAGAAGAGAGGAAAGGGAGATGAGGGGTGGGAGAGGGAGGTTGCTGTTATGGTGGGGAGTGTGGTTGGTGCTTTGGGGAGGTAAATCATTTGGGTAGGCCAAGGAAAAAAAAGAAAAGCAGATGAAATGAAATGATAGATGAATGAATGAATGAATATATTCCCATTTTACGAGAATAACATCATGCATCGTCGCTGCATGAATAGAAGGAATCGGTAACTTCCTAAAGTACAGGCTCCCGAGGCTACTCTACGCAAGCGGCAAGTTGCAATGTTAAGTCTCATCCTCCATTTTCAGGATTATCTCATGTGAAATCAGAGAAGAGAATCTAACCAGTGGTAAGAAAAATCGTTGGACTTTTACCTCTTGTCTCTTCGTAGGTACTAACAGTAAAAAAGCATTGCTAAGAATCACTCTACTCACTCTGTGGCTTTTAGTTATTAAAAGCTAATTCTTCTATGGTACTGTAATACAACTTACGGTACGAGTCCAAGGCAGGATTCTAAGTCAAGCTCCTTCGTTGACGCTAAGAAAGCAGTGAAAGAGGCATACGAGTGCAGAAGCGAGATGTGGGGTTGGGGTATGATTCGCTTATAATGTTGTGATAAAAGCGGGGGGTTCAGGTCCTTCGTTGGGGCTAAGAAAGCAGTGCAGCGCACACCGAAAATCATTTCTACGGAGGATTTGTGCTGGCAAGGGTAAGAATGCGATAATGCTGGAAGCTTCATAGGTGGGAGTGGGATCTGACATGCGTGGTTTCATTAGTTTTTATAGAGGGTGTGAAGTTGAAAGATATATATGCTAGGAAACAAAAACCTATAAATCCTTTCCTTTCTGAGAAGAAACCTAACGATTAATTTGATAAATCGAGTTGGTTACTTGAACAAAACAAGGAGAATGTTTTCGATGTATTATTACTGTGTAAGTTGTTGCACTTGTAGAAAGAAAGAAGGTGTCAAGAAAATAATTGGTAGTAAAGTCCTTCTCTGATTTTCATGCCCCCACCTGTTCTGATTAGAAATCCAAGGTCAAGAAAAAAATTAAGTAGAAGGTCATTCATTGTCTTAAATTTGTACAACTTTGTGCTTCAAGCTGTAAAACGGACCTGTCATAAGTGCGATATGCAACATATCTCGAGTAAACTTAGTGAAGTGTAAGTTGCTTCGACTTACTTGTACATGTTCTAATTACAGTAACGAGCGTTTGGTATTTTCGCTTACAGTACCAACCTCACTGCCCAATAGAGCAAAGATTGCAAAATAATAACGATGGGAAATGCGATATATAACAAAACTCAAGTAGAGGAGTGAAGGATAGTATTTGTTACACATCGCACTAACACAGAACTTTCTCGTCTGATAGTCAGTGCGTCTACCGACTGCTGCAAATCCACTTCACCGCGCCCGGCAGAAAGCCCCCAGTCAACCAAATCAAGCATAGCGTCCCGTCCGCCGCAGCTCTCCACATCTATCTCAGAACCTCACCTCAATAGCTGGATTCGAGAAAACGTACCCAATTGACTCGACTTACTCCTACGATGCCCCAAGATTTACCACCCGCTGGGGGCTATGGCCCGGTGCAGTATAAGGTGTGTTTTCCCTTCTTATTTCTATTGCGATGTGGGTTTGGAGCTGCGACAGGGAGAACGGGAATGGTGATGGGAAGGGCGCGGAGGATATGACGGGAGGATCGGTATCGCGTTGCATATAAAAGAATTTTTGGGAGGAAGCAGAGGAGAGATCATGTACAGGGATCGTAAAACGCGTGTGATAGAGGGGGGGGAGAAAGGGAAAGCAGATTGATGGGAACAAGGCTGACGATCAATTCCACAGCGCAACCTCCCCGCACGCGGTTTCCGACCAGCGGTTCTGCTCACTGGTATGGTGGGCATTATGACCTTTGGGTTCTATAAGTTAGGAGGAGGGATTCGGGAACATAAGTATGTCGTACCATACCAATGCAACATACCAATCATATCCCTTCCCCTTCTACACCATTCAATTCTTCCACCTTTCGATTAGAGGATAGGAGTGGACGGGACAAGACCTAGGAATAATGGAGAGAACATGGGGCTAATACCAAATAGTGAACTCGCTCGCGAGAAGATGTGGTCGAGAATCTACATCACGCCCCTCTTGACAGCAGAGGAGGACCGGGATTTGGTACGGAGACATTACGCGGATTTGGCAAGGGAGAAGGAGTTGCTTGGGACTCAGACTAGTGCCTATAACTCGGATAGGTATGTCGATTCTTTTCTCTGGCTGGTTGTAATTTGGGTTTTTGGGGAGTTGTTGGGGAGGAGAGAGGATGTTAGGAGAAGAGTATATGTGATTTTGGTTTCTTGCGAGTCTGAACAAGGGTATTTGTTTTCTTTTAAATCGTTTCATGACTGACATCTGGAATTTTAGATATGTGCGACCTACTTTCGCTGTCACTCCAAGTAAGATTTTGAAGTAGATGTTGGGTGCGGGGCATTGAGAGCACAATGGACAGAGGGAGAAACATTCTCGAGGCTTGTACTGTACATATATTCCGACAATCCAATCCGTGCCAATCAGGAACAAATATCCATTCATCACAAAGATCTATCTCCACGTCTTCAATGCCATCAATTTTCTCATGACTTCCTCTCAGGTTTAAACCTGATACGCAATGGCGGATACCCCAATTCCCATTCCTTTCTAATCGACATCCCCCGATCCAATGTAGAATGGTATTGACCAAAAATTGGCTCTATATCTTCCAATTCCAACTTCTTGTTCGATTTCACCATCTCTATAACCTTCTGATTAACACTCATATCGAGACCGTACTCCAACCCCTTCTTCACCAGCCACCCGTTGATGTAATCGATCTCAGTCTCCCGGCCCGCCTTGACATCCTGCAGCATGCTACTGTAATTCTCTGCACTGCGTCGTGCAGCGATGAGCACGTCTTCTGTCATGAAACGTGTACCCACGTGACCTTTCCAAGTGCTTCGAATATAAGCGCGGTCTCCGTTTCCCTTGTCGTCTCCGTTTCCTTTAGTGCTCCTATCACAATATGTAAATAGCACAGGGTCTATCTCGGCAATTAGGAGGTACATCAAAGCACAAATCTGATGGCTCTCAAAAAGCTCGCCATTCTTCTTCTGGAACAAGACGCTGAGCGGGTTTATGATGGCGTTGGCGGTTAGTTTAGCTATTCGCCGAGTGAACCCAGGGTTTGGCTGGTATACCGTTGCGTCGAAAAGCCGGGGTGGTCGGACTTGTGTGAGCATTGATTTTGACATTGGAGTCGATGACGTCCCCAAATGGTGGGATAGAGCCATCTTTCCTTTTCCAGGGAGAACAGAGGAGAATGGGCTGGTGGAGAAGAGACCATGGTATACAGTTGCGGTAGTATAGGTTGGCCGTGTTCCGGGGTACGGAAATAGTGATTCAGTGACCTCTTCGATTGTCCCCACTAGATATCCGATGGGTTAGCGTCTATGATTGCGATTGTCACGAATAAGACTTGAGACCCGAAGGGAAATGGTATATCAACTTACTGCCGTTTTGAGTAAACATGATTGTCGAATCCCGTGACAGCCGATCTGCCACTGCAGAAATCGCCTGCAAAGTCTTCGTGGTCTTTGTGGCGACAATCAGATTCATGATGGACGATTTCGAATCTGTGTCTTGAGAATTGATGATCTCGATATCATAATTTCTTGACGTTGAGGGGATCCCACGGTCGGTAATAGTGATACACTCTCCCGCCTGTTTCCATTCTTCAAGAAGGCTTTCTCGATGGAAGAGGAGTGTTATCGGCGGTGGCTTGGGGATGGTTGCAAGACCATGTGCAAAGAGACGGCCTATGTTTCCCTGTCCAAGGATGTGAATGCGGTTGCTGGTACTTGTAGGTGTCATGCCTTCTTCGCTTTGCTGTATCTGGGATTTAGCTGGGAGTGTGGAAAAATATGCTCTAGAGGGTTTGTGCATGTGTTTCATAAGGTAGGAACCTCTGAAAGGAGGGCCTTTCATCTTGAGCTGTAGTTAGAAACTACGCCGAGGAAAGAGGAGCAACGGCTGTGTTGGATAGTGGTTTATGTTGTTATTGTTGCGGCAAGTTGATACTTCGGAGCCAATATCGGATGAACAGGGCCCACTCGGAGAGTCGGAGACAGGTCCGAATGAAACGTCTCCCAAACCCTTTCTGGCTGGCCTCAACACCACAACTTCATCCCAGAAATGCAGCGGTGCAGAGGCTCGTCATTCTGCAGTTTCAGCCAATGGCGTCATCCCATTCTGAAGCAGTCTCGCGGTATAGACCAATGACATGGCTCAATGACCACAACGGCTTTGCACAGCCCACGCGGCCGTGCAAGCAGCGGCAAGGCAACAACAAATGAGAGAAGCGCTGATGCCAGCTACAGTAGTACACTTGCGAGTGCCAGTGCGAGCCAGTTTCGAAATTCCCCCGTGCTTACTTTTCCCTTACAGTCCAAATCAATCCTCATTCTCTTTGCCTCTGTTTTTTGGTTTGTTGGGTAGTCGTCCTCCTGCCCACTATCACTAGGCCAACGTGTGTGTACGACGCTTCTCCAGTACTGTATCTGATTCAAGTCACCAACACCAACGTCTTGTCTTGGTGCTTTTCGCCGCCGAGATGCCCTTCCCAGTGCCAGAAAATCTCGACTCGGCTCGTGATTCGGACTCGGAATCTTTGAGTGATGAATTGTCGCCGTCCAATGGGTACTTCAATGAAGGGGAAAGAGTGCCAAACTCCATAGGGCAAGACCCCACAATGGATGACGATAAAAAGCCAGAGGCAAAGACGTTGATACCTATGCCAAACCTCCAGGCAACACCATCAAGACCTCTCAACGCTGCGAGCCATCCGGCTATTGCACAGTCTTCGTCGTCACGAAGCAACGCGGCAGCCCATAGTGAGACTGGGTTGATTCCAGAACTCACTGGACATTCTCCTATATCTCCAAACTACCCACCAGTCGATGCAATGACTTATGGTCACGCTCGCAGTATGAGTGGTCCTCCTCCAGCATATACACCTAGCCCTGCTCCATCCACCAGGTACACACCCAGTACTTCCTCATCAGGTCTCTTTGAGGAACCTCAACCTCAATCTCAACCACCATCCCAACCCCAATCTCCTTGGAGATATAGCACATTTTCGGAACAACCACTCCTTGAGACTGGCGAGAGGGGCTTGCTTCACCCACGAACCGAACCGGAAAGCATGGGAGGTCCTGTGGATGATCTTCTTGATGAGACAACACCACTTTCCGATAAATACCGACACTACCGTCGACTGAAACTTCTTAAAACGATCATCTTTTCAGCTGTTGCTTTTGCTGTAGTATTTGCAGTATCTACGACCATGTTTCATGTATCAATAGATGTAAGTATGATGAATTTTGGCACTACTTGTCTTGTACTTTATTCTACCTTGACAACCTCACAGAACCTTCATTGCGATATGCCCCGCCCTGATCATTTCTAGAGCTAATTACTGTTCGCTCACTAGAAACCATTCAAGCAGCTTCCTGTAACAGAAAGACCTATAGACGTCAGCGAGCCTTACTGTCCATCAGCCACGATCCGAGTTGACCCAGTGACATACGAGTTCCCACTCGATACAGATTTAACAGTCACGCAAACGATCCATGACACTGATGCATTACGCCGAATGTCTACAGTGCAAACATCCGGAGAAATTCGTCTGAGAAAATTAGATCCTAACTCTCAACATGGAAACCGACCTCATTTTACGGTGGACGTCCATGTCAGTGATCCAGGATTGGATGTAATCCGAAATTGGGATGAAGGAACTCGAACGCTCCAGATCAGTACTCCAAAGTTCGCCCGGATCTCCACGCCTGGGAACCCGTGTGTTTCTGTTGAAGTTACCGCATGGATTCCTGAGGGTGCTGAGTTCACGAATCTTCTTATCGAGGGTATTACTCTTACATTAAGAGTCCTTGATGATGTCAAAGTCAAAGTCTCTGGTCGTTCAAAATTTGCGACCATTACGGGCGACGTTTGGTTTCCTTTACTTGAAGATTTCAGCTTAGCTCCATCGGATAAAGTGGCACGATCTCAGCTTCCAGTTGAGATTCCATTTGAAGAGAGCCCAGTTCATGCAAATCAAAGCCGCGACTCATTGGCTAGTCTTTCTCTTCCAGATAGCAAGCACACCTTCGAATCACGAAGGGTTTTTGTGGAGACCACATCTGGAACGATCAATGGAATTTACCCTCTGATGGACTTTTTAGGACTGTCTTCGCAATCGGGAGATATCAATGTGGGCGTGTTACCAAAAGAGGTACTACCTGAAGCCCCTACCCCAGCAGATTTGGAGGTTCAGACCGCAACGGGAAGTATTCAAGTCGACTTACCTATCGCAAACCAAAACAACCCAGATTTCATCCCACCACCACGAAACTACATCACAAATGTCCATTCCAGCTCGGGCACCATTGAGGGGACATATTACCTGGGCTCATTGGGGAGTTTCAAAAGTACTTCCGCGAGTCTGGATTTCAACATCTTACCCATCGTCACATCTGGCGACACCGAACAAGTCGATTTCGTCAGTCGCTTCGAGACGCATACCGTGAGCGGCACAACGAACATCACAGTCCTAGATCCAATCTTCATCACCCATCTCGTCTCACCTACAACCCCAGCCGCTTCTTCTCCCTCATCAAACCAGGACAACCCCCCAGGGGATTCCTCACCCTACCTCACTGTCCCCCCATTACGCGCGCTATTCGGACACCCTTCCTTCACCCCTCTACCTGATTCCACAACACCATCCACAGCAATGAAAAAGCTCCGTACCCTCCACTCAAAACACTCCTCCAACTCCGCTAACGTCTCAGTCGTCTACCCGAACGTGTGGGAGGGGAGTATCCATGCTAAAACCATCTCGGGGGATATCTCGGTTAAGGGGGAGGGATTGAGAACTATTAAGGAGAGGACGGGGTACGCGTATAAGGAATTCCTTGCGAGGAAGGGGGTTAATCATGGTGGGGAGGGGTGTTCGGCGGAGATGAGTGATATTGCTGGGACGTTGAGTTTTAGGGTTTGAAGTTAAGGGAGGTGGGTTGTAGGGAATGGTTAGGGATTGAAGAAATGTGGGGTGGGTGTATTTCTTCTCACGCGCTTATGGGTTAGCGATTGGACCTGGTTTGATTGGATTGGGTTGGATTGGATTGGATTGAAGCGTGGTATAGTACATGATTTTTGATGGCGTTGACTTGCTTACTGGCGTCTTTGGTGTTCATTGAGCGGTCTTTTACCTTTTTTCGATCTGTATATTTTATTTTTGGGATGAGATCTTGGGAAAGATAGGGTATGATGGATATTTAATGCAGGTTATTTGGTAATACTGAGTATATGCAGTTGGAAAGGCTCGGTAGCAATAAGGATAAGAATATAACATATGAGATATTAGGATACTGTTCGTTATATTGTGAGGGAGGTTTACGTGCGGTACCTAGGTAGACTAGATTATGTAGCGTATCATATTGGGGAGGGCCGCAGGGGAGGGGGGGGTGTTCTTGGTTTACACTGATAATTAGGGATTTCCATCTTGTTGAAAGGGTGATACGTAGTACCACACAACTCATCGGGCAGAGTGCTAGTAAGAACTAGAATTATTTTGTTCCTTCGCTTAACTTTGCTGTTTAGGGGGGGGGGCATATATTAGGAAATCGTCGTATTCTAGGGTTTAAATAGATATTTGATGTTTGTTAACGCTCGGCAAATGGACCCTATTCCATGGAATTCCACGATGGAATTCCACAGTTAAGAAGGATCTTACTATACCTTTAACCTTATTATCGCTTACTATCTAGTAGTACTAGGCTAACGCCCTATATACTATCGCGCTTTAGATAACTACTACGTAGACTTGCCTTGTAACGAATACTCAAACTGGCTAACTAAACTTGGCTGGGTGTTCCCTGGTTGGTATGCTATGATAAGAAGAAGACTATCGGGTTGTTCACTTGGAAGTGAACTCGTTACTTGTATCAAAGATGTCAAACTAATATGATAAGATTGATAACTAAGTTGAGCACGAAGCTCCTATCTAATGGCAGACGTGCCAGTCTTATATAGAACCTTCGTTCTCTCGATGTTCGCTCGTTCGACAATCGAACTGGCTAACTTCGCCTGTTCGCCCGGCTAACTGGCGAACTCCTAATATCACGTGATAACAATACAGAGAAATCCCTGGATCGCTTAGCTAATCCAGACGATCCCTATTTGCTATAAGAAACCTGGATGTGCCTTTCGAGGGTTGCGCCTCTTATTATGACAGGTATCACGTGAACACGTGATTCGTGACATAACTACTCTTAAGAATCTAAATATTTTCCTCTATACTTATTAATATAGTAAGTAAGTATAAAGACGAATAGGATAAATAGAATAGGGGATAGAATAGAGCTCTAGTGTGACGGTTATGGTCACGAGGGCTGGATGTCACATGCTCGCTTAGCCAGGCGCTAGCGCGCACGACCTGTATTTAGTTCCCAGCTCTCTCGAGCTCTCCTTCTTTCCTCGTCTTTTGTCCTAAGAATAGAGTGTTAATTGTTCTGAGTTCTACCTGAAGCACGTCTGTGTCACGAATCACGTAAGCATGTGACAAGTCAAGACCAGGCGGCATCCTGACAGGTCGAGCACTATCATATCTCTTATAGCAAATAGGGATGCTTAGACTAGCTAAGCGATCCAGGGATTTCATTACATTGTAACCACGTGACCATTTGCATCGCCAGTATCGACAGGCGATGCTGGCGACATGTCGACAGCATCGACAGGCGATGTAGGCGACGGCGGAACATGAAAGTTCTATATAAGACTGGCACGTCTACCATTAGATAGGAGCTTCGTGCTCAACTTAGTTATCAATCTTATCATATTAGTTTGACATCTTTGATACAAGTAACGAGTTCACTTCCAAGTGAACAACCCGATAGTCTTCTTCTTATCATAGCATACCAACCAGCGAACACCCAGCCAAGTTTAGTTAGCCAGTTTGAGTATTCGTTACATATAGGTAGCCTTATAGTCGAGCCTACTTCTCTAGCTTTTAGAGTTTCTAGTTATCCTAGGACGTCTCTTATAAGACTCCTTTCTAGCTTAGTATCTAGGCTCTTCTTGTGACGGAGCTGGATTTCATTTGACAGGATTTCATTCGCTTGGCCAAGCACGTGACGAGACTTGGCATTGGAACAACTTAAATAACTTCGCTCCTTTCAGATTCTCTTCTCTCTTTAGTTTGATTTCTTCGTACCTACAGTTTTAGTTCTAGCAATTGATTCAAAAGCTGTATACACTTTATCCTTTGTTGGCATCCGTGACACTTCTTATAAGCCTGTTAAGGTTTAATAGAGCCTTCTTCCTCTAGGCTTTTATACTCTTTATATAAAGGTTTCTCTACTACTTATCCTTAATCTTTATTATAAAAAGGCCTCTTATATTTCTAGGCTCTACTAGGGTACTACTCGCTTACTATTCGGCTTCTTTACTAAGGTAGAGACTCTAGTAATATATTATAGTTTAGTGATTAGTTAGTCTACTCCCTTCTTAAGTTAAATAACTATATAAATATTTAAAGCTATAATAGCCTTAGCCTTTATAGTAACCCTCGCTTTATTTATTAGTTTCTAGCTAGAACTAGAGGTTAGAGGAATTACCTAGTTATTTCCTAGGTTAATATTAATGTAACCGTGTGGAGTGAACCACTGCTTGCTGTGATGAATACGGAGTCAAACGGAAACTGCTGTATTGAGCGAACAACAAAGTGAGGAAGGAAGAGAGTTCCAGAGGAACGAGAGCTTAAATACAGGATGCCAGCAGCGCGCACGTGACACATACTACATGCTGCGCTACACGTGATCAACCCCTAGTTCCTCCAA